AAGGCAGTTAATGATAAAATTTAATAGTTCAATGTAATGTATTTGATGCAATTTATGAAGCAGGATGATACAGAACGAAAAACAAAATTTGGTAAAAATTCCGAAATTTTTCTATGTATAATATTGCCTATAATCTTTGTAGAAAATACTTTTTTGTTGGAACGGCGCCCGTAAGTAGCAATAACACTATATTCTAAACTGAGGTCAGATGGTTCTTACGATAGTATTATAGAAGAAGAAGAAGAAATATGCTACACGTCAGATTTTGTGGTTATACCCGCTGATTCAAACATATTTTAATTATTTAAAAAAATGGTTTCAATCCTTAATTCTATCGACACTGGTCATGAAGACATGATTCATGACGCAGAAGTGGATTATTATGGGCTGCGTTTAGCAACGTGTTCTTCAGATAATAGCGTAAAAGTATACGACATAAAAAGTGGGGCATCAACTCTGATAGACGATTTGAAGGGACACTTTGGCCCCGTTTGGCAAATTGCTTGGAGTCATCCGAAGTTTGGAAATCTCCTAGCATCGTGTTCGTATGACAGGAAAGTTATCATATGGAAAGAGCAGCAAAAGAAATGGGGAAAATATTATGAGTATGCCAACCATGATTCAAGTGTCAATTCAGTACAATTTGCTCCTTCGGAATTAGGACTGATCCTTGCTTGCGGTAGTAGTGACGGTTCCATTTCTGTTATAACATACAGTGCAGAAACTAATAGCTGGGATGCCAAGAAAATCCAAAATGCACATGCTATTGGCTGCAATGCCGTAAGCTGGGCGCCGGCAATTACACCTTTATTTGGTAGCAATGAAGGCGACCATCAGTCTCAACCTGTGAAACGTTTGGTGTCGGGAGGTTGTGACAATTTAGTTAAAATTTGGAGGGAAGATGGAGATCGTTGGATAGAAGAATCAAAATTAGAAGTACATTCTGATTGGGTTAGAGATGTCGCTTGGGCTCCTTCTGTAGGATTACATCGTTACACCATAGCCAGTTGTTCGCAAGACCGTCGAGTAGTTATCTGGACCAGTAACGACTACATTAACTGGAATTCCACAGTTTTACATACTTTTGATGATGTTGTTTGGAACGTAAGTTGGTCGCTCAATGGAAATATTTTAGCAGTCTCGGGAGGAGATAATAAAATTACATTGTGGGATCAGAATTCAGAAGGTGCCTGGCAATGTATTAGTGACGTAGCGAAAGGCCAAGGACAAATAAATCATTAATATTTGGAAAAGTATCTTGGGAAGAACAAGGGAATTTTCATGTTACTATAAGGTACACAAATTTTTTGGACATTTAAATTGTTATTAAAATATTGATAATCTTTCATAAAATAATGATTTCTTAAGGTAGAGTCTGTAGGATACTAAAATAGAATGTTACATCATTGAATGTTATTTTATTTGTTATACATTCACAAAATAAACAAATTAAAAAACAGCTACAACGTTGTTAAATATATTGTAACCTTTTTAATATCACTAAATATTGTATTGTTTTTATGAAAAAATAGAACTAATTATAATAGAACCGAAAATATAAAACTTAAAAAAACCTTACCTTAGTTTTATTTAAGTGATGAAAAATGTATTTGTTTTTTATTGCTTTCTACTGCATCTGAAAAAGTAAGTTCCATTTAAAGATATTCAATATTTTAGCAATATTGCTAATCTAAAACTTACTGTTTTCAAAATTCATTCACAAATAGTGAAGTTGATGATGCAGTCTAAAAGCCATTTAGACGTCCTATGTTTAATTTCAGCCATCTGATACTGTAAAGTGGGTGGATGGTCCTCTTCATATATTAAATAATGGCAGCATCTAGATACTTTACCATTTATGTTGGAGTGATATGGATAATTGAAAACATTCTCACAAGTTGAGGGAGTCGGGGCTCTGTGCAATATTCTGCCACCTCCACAAGTAATTAATAAACTGATAGAACCTTTCGTAAGCCGTAAATCATGAATTGTAATGGAATTAGTATGTCCATGTATGAAAAAGTATATTCCATCAAAAAGTTTTGGTAATTTCAGCAGAGAATTTAACACTGCTCTTCTTATTCCATTGTTTAATTTCGGTTTGGAGATAAAAACATAATTTGGTATTGGAACGAAGCAATTATTATTTTTAAAAAAATCATCTATCCACTCCTGAGGCAGCAAAAAACAACCATCTAACATTGCAACCATAATCTTTACAGACAGCTTATGTGTTTTCCGAATTATGAAATGTGTAACTTTTTTTGCATCGTATTCTTTTATAATACTAACAAGTTTGGATTTTGACAGTTTATGTTTATAAGATTCTTCTGTGTAATAAAAATAAACATTTATTTTTTTTGTACAGAATAATTCTTCATTCTTATCTATGAAGGTGATATTTTTGTTCAGTGTGTTTTTAATATTTTCATTTCGTGTACAATCCAGGGGTTTCTTCCCTAAATAATCAATTGTCTCTATATCAGCTTTATATCTTAATAATAATTCAATTAATTCTACATTTTCTCGTGTTACTGCTTTATGTAAAGGCGTAACATATTCCCCCCCAGGAACATTTACTAAAGCACCATTTTTCAATAACGTTTCAACTATTTCCACACTACCACTTTCAACTGCTTCATGCTGAAAATCATATTTTTGCCTGTTTAAAATTTATTATTTTATAAATACACTTACCAATGGCGCCCATCCAGCAAAATCTTTCACATTTAAATCAGTTTTCTTTTCTAATAGGGCAATTACTTCATCCAACCTTTTTCTCTTACATGCAATATGTAATGGAGTTTCGCCCTTAGCATTAACTTTACCACATATATCATCAATATAATTTACATGGTAAGTCTTATTATTGTATACAAAAGTATTTTCTGATAAATAAACATTGCCAGATATTACGGCAACTTCCTTATCGTAATTTTCGGTGGGAGATGTGGGATCTGGATCAGGTTGTAATAAATACTCCTTTAATTCAGATAACAAGTAATCAGTTTGTTTGGCAATATTATTGTAATCTACTTCACGTTCCTCATAGTAGGTTTTACAATTAGGGCATACGTGATCTTTTATTTTAAAACATTTTAAACAAAAGTAATGACCACATGCCTTTATTTTAACAGGATCAACACACTTTTTCAAACACACTGTGCATTTTAATGCTTCTTCTACGTTTTGTAACTGTTGAAGGATTAAATCAATGTCCATTTTTGTTATGCATACATTTATTTACGATTTGAATTTGAAGAAATAATCATCATAACCACAAACGAAGAAAAAACATCCGTTTTCGCGCCAAAAATCAGTAGTCGTTATCGAATATCCAGAGTACCAACTGATTGACAGGAATTTTTGAGCCCATCTGCCCATCATCGATGACAACCTGTAGAGTGACCATATAATTATAGATAGATACATCAAGAAAACACGCCACATCTCATAATTCGTAAAAGGGATTTATGAAAATCAGTGCATAGATAAATACATAGATAAGAGATATTCAGAAATATAAATAGAAGAATCAGTGCTCGTAATGATCCAGACACATCATTTTCTTTTTCTTTGAAATCATGACATAAGAATAAGAGGGAGATTTAGGGAGTACACATGTCCAAGACACAGTATATATTGTGCCCAATAATAGTCTAACAAAGTGTACAAACACAGGTAGTAAATACAGAATCAACAACAAATATTAATGGCATAAAGCAAGTAAATTGAGGCTAATGAAAACTGTGAAATATGTATTTCATAGTAGTGACAATATAATGGGATATGCTGTGATTTTAAAATGTTATTGAAAATTAAATACAGAGCGTAATGGAGTTATTATTGTGGAGTTGTAAGAGTACTAGATTATATACTTAAGAGTCTTAAGACTCTTAAAGAGTAAGAATGCATCCCCCATGTGAAATTAGGAACAGCATGATAAATTAATAAAGTGTCTAGCCGCAGAATGTTGGAATTTCTGTGCTGGGGCTTGATTTTTGAAAACAGGAGAACTGATTCTCCAGAGAAAAAATTCACCTGACAAATTTCACTTAAACACTTATTTTTGAACGTTGAAGGAATCCAATTCTCTAGAGAATTTAATTTATGCCGTATGTCGAGGATATATTTGCAACTGACCAATCAGCGGGCAGAGTTTTCTTCAATATTTCAGTGCCATTATTGGCGACCCTGATGTTTAGTCACTTGATTTGATTTTGAAGTTTGTTTTGTAAATGTCATTATATTCATCAGGGAGACTAGACATCTTCATGATATTTGTAGTAATTGAATATAACTTCAATTTGAATAGAAGTATATTTGAAAACACAAAAAATTTAATATTATTATAATTATGATGAAGCGTTCGTTCACGTCGAAAGCGCAAAAAATAAATTAATATGCTTAGAAACAACGAAAAACTTTAAAACGAAAGTTTTCTTCTACTTTTACTCACAAAAAGGCCCAAAAACAGTGGTCAGATATTGCTGAAACTTTAAATGGTTTAATTAATGTTGTCGCGGATGGTTTACAATTTCTGCAGCTTGCAAATTATTCATTATATTTAGAATTAATAATAAATTATTTGGATACATTACAAATTTCAAATGATTACGCACCTTCGAACAGCGAATGAATGAAGTGACTTTTTGCGCATGAGCATGAGATGACATTTGGATTCAAACTATTCGGAGAAAACGCCAATTCCCCCGACAAAACCCTGTGGAATTATTTCTCTTGATATCTAGAGAAAATATTCCACAAGAAAATTTCAAAAATCACATTATCTGTGTGTCAAGAGAAAATGACGTAATTTTCTCTAATGAACTAATTCTCCTGTTTTCAAAAATCAAGCCCCTGTGGTCTGGCTAATAATACACAATCGTGTGTGGCCAATGGTCATATTATTAGAAGAAGAAGTAGAAATAATCTAATCTAACCTTGCTTTTTAATATTCTGACTGACCTAATAATTCTAATTCCTGAGATTTTTAAGGAGCATAAAATTGTAATTCGTAGTACATAGAAACTCCAAAAAAAAATGAAGATTATTTCAGCATTATTAGCTAGAGGAAATCCCAAGGAACCAGTACCCTTTCAAGAAATTTTACCACTTAAATTAAAGCCTGTAGTTTCTGGTAAGGGCGACAAGTCTTCCGACGTTTGTTGTGTACATGAAATGAGCATTATGTTATCTTGTTTTAAAGAAAATGAATTTAATCAATCTTTGTGTTCCAAAGAAATAGAAATGTTCAAAACATGTTACAAAAATCATATGGATACGAAAAGGTTGAAAAAAGCTAAAGAAGCTAAAGGTATTCTTACTCCTGGAGAAAAATCATTATCACATAAACAAATTAATGTATTATTGAAACAGTTTCCAAATAAAACATAAAATATATATTATTAAATAGTTATTATATTTAAGTAGATTAATAAAGAAAGTTAAACAAGGTCCGTATCTTTATTTTTCTTTCAAATATAACACTAGCAACCTTTAGCTGGACTCTTATAAATATTAGCATTGTTTAATACAAAGTTGTATTAACTTTTATACTTTATGTACCATAAATTTTTATTCCTAATATCGGTAAATATTACTCTTGGTTCCCAGAAGATTAAATATCTTTTGAGAAATATGTACAATATTCTGTAATCCCTTGAATGTTGTATATACCACTACGTTTGATTAATCAAATAAATAAATGTGTTTATTTATTTATTATTACACCTTTCATACTGCCCGAGTTGTAGTGAACTTCGTAACAACGATCGTATTTTGCCGTGAGAATGATTTTCGAAATAAAACGTGTAAATACAGTAGACAATTGTTTATTAAATAACTTTTGTACAATTATATCAATTACTTAGTAGAAAATGTATACCAAAAACTAAACAACCATCATACTGTATTGTTACATCAGGTGGTCAATACCATAAAATTGAATGAAATTAAATTGCTGCGAGACTACACTAACAAAGTATGTATAGAATGTTTACATCTATTCAAACCATATCTAAATAATAATGCAACTTACAACTTGCAATAATAAAATCTGGATCCAAAGTTTGTAAAAAAAACTTTTTAGACTTAAGAAATAATAAATAAAGAAACAGCACAGGACAGCAAGCCTTGCCAATTCTGGAAAAAATACACCCAGCATATAAAAATAACTTCTCGTATCAATTCTTACAGACTATTTGTATACAGGAATCGGAACCTCTCACACCAAAGTCCATACTATAGAAGCTCTTAAATACAGTGTGGTATTACTCTAAACACTATCAGCTAAATGTACATGTAAAATAAGAGGTGGAAAAAACTAATCACTAACATTTAATGTACGTAAGTTAGACTAACTGTAAATAAGCACAAAAGGGTCCAGCCAGCTTTTGGCCCCTAGAGATCTCACTTTACATGTCTATATTTACACAATCACTTTTCAACGTCCACTTTTATCCCTTCTCGAAGTCTTTTTGCTGGAGGTTCGTCCACTTCTTCCTCTAAGCCGGGCAACTGTATTTTTGTATCCGATGCTTCCGAGGGCTGCAAATTCGCAATATTTTAAATTAATTTTCATTTCATGTACCCACCACCGGCCATAAATCCAAAATCCATATAAAAAATTACTCTATTTACAGGTACTATATTAAACTCTAATAACGACTCAAAACAAGCAAATTGGGGCACAAATTGAGTAAATCTAACTTATTTTGATCAACCAGTGATTTGAATTTTCCAAACACTAAATCTTACCTAGACTTACTAGAAGCTTCCTCAGGCTGAGCTAGAATTTTATTGTGGGACATCCACAAACATTTTTTACAAAAATTATGAGGGTCCCAGTATTTAAAAATATCGCATTAAATCAATTGGTTCGCCTTTTAGGAGGCAAGAAAAATAAAAATTGATGTAAGAAGAGCATTTTCTAAAAATTTTAAAGCAATCCATATTCAAAGTAACCAAGGGGACACGTTTTATTAGAGAAATCATCTTAAGTCTTAATACATATACATATCATCATCTTAATACATATGTATTTACTGCTGCAGGTAGACATATCGTGGTACTATTATATACTTTTTAATTATTGAAGTACGAAAAAATTTTAATAAAAAACTAAAAACAGAAAGGGGTCGTAAAGAACACTATAAATATTACATGCAACACAAGAAAAAATATTTCAAAATGTTATGTACTTCTATACCATGAACTTTCATAAGTTTTATTTACTTTTCTTTCAGTTTCACTTGAAACTGTAACTTATACACTGTGTAATACAGGGTGTAACTATAAGTGGAGGGCAGTTTTTTAGGGGTAATAGCACATGTTCTCCTAAATACAAATATGAAATCCTTTTTGTTTAAACAAATAAATATTCGAGTTATAATTAGTTTTTTAAAAAGCACTTTAATTCTTGTGTACCCTGCCACTGTAATATTCATGTATTACAAATCCATGAATTGTAGATAACCTACAGTACATGTGAAGGGAGATAGCCCGGATCAACGGTGACGAAGTGAAGGGGGTCAGTTGTTCCGCATTTGGAGACAGTACATCTAATTGTTAATTTGAACGTTTGTCATTGCTGGATGTGATCAACAGGTTACGGTGGTGCAGATCTGTTGTCTAATTATCTAATTAGCAACCATTATTCAGAGGGAAGCGAGGACAGAGGTGGTATATTAAATTTCTGTAAGAACTGAGAAACCCGCAAGGTATAGTCAGCCATTTTATGTCTTGCCAGTGACGATCGTTAGAAATTATATTTAAACAGAAAACAATTCGTTATTAAATTCCAAACGAACTGCATATCCTGAGGTCCACATAATTAAAGGTGGCAGGTTACACATTTAAGAAATTATGAGAGCTGTGAATGCCAATTCGCTAATATTGGACGGGAACAAATTCAGAGAAGTATTATAAATATCATGTGAGTAAACAGACTATTTTTGTGAATTTCATTTATCATTATTGATTACTGCTTGAGTTTTTTACTAGGTATTAAGTACTGTTTGTGTGGCAAACACCCACTCAACATAAGTAACTGGTGGCGAGTGGTGTGTAATTGTGCATGCGCTGCGATTAAAGCTCGCCGTTATTTGAGGTTACACTAGCTTGTCCAGCGGCGGGGTAAGAAAATTACTAATAAAGATTAAAAATTACCCCCACTCAAAGTTACACTCTGTATACATAAATGTCTTCAATTCTGAGTAAGCATTCTGAGTAAAATTATTTGTTGACAGGGTCTTTAAAAAGCTGTCTATATGAAAAATCATTAAATTCTTACTTACTCTTGTAATACATCCAATATTAGAAAAACTATTGATTTCCGAGATATTTGAACCTGAAAGTATTTTTATGGAAAACTACAAATTGCAGACCAGATTTGAATTTATGTGAAGTGCCCACATATCGATTACAAAGACCCACAAAAAAAAAATCTGTGCATTGGACTAGACCACTACATCCATCTGTTTTCGAGGTCACTGAGTCCGAATCCGAGGTCTGTTTGACCATGTCACGTCAGGTAATTTCAAGGTCAAACCGAGAAAAATCCTCTATGGTGGAGGCAACCATGGTTATTATATGTTTTTGGAGTCGCTAAGTCCGGATTCGAGGGCCGTTTGACTTTGTCAGGTCAGGTTAAGGTCATTTCAAGGTCAAACCGAGAAGCAAATCATTCTACACATCTTCCTTCGGAGCAATTGTAATCGTTTCCAGTATCCTTCATGGTAGCAGGATTGTAAAGACTCTATTAAAACATCATAGAAATGAGGCTTTTACTTATATGATTAATGATTAAAATTTGATGATTTTAATGGAGTTAGGCTTGTCAGTAAAGATATTTTATGTCCATTAATGCAGAGATATTTGTGCATTACGTTTCATTTTTCACCATAGAATACGAAACGAATATTACTATATTGTTGAGATCTACCACATAACCCATTCGACTGTCTACCAAAATTCTCCCTCAACTTCAAGTACTGCGACTATCCAGAACCTTTCTTACCGCGAAGGATGAAAGTGTTAGTAACCAATAACGCTTTATAAAATTATAGTATCGGATTTTCAAATATGATCGAAAAAGATCATGCTAATGTGAAGACTCCTGAATGTTGAGAATCTTTTGCTCCATTATAGATGAGCGAGGCCAAAATTGCTTTGTAAGACAAGCCAACTAATAGGTATTAGAATTAAGTAACTTTCAAATAACATTGACCCTGATACAACAAGGTCAAATTGAGTCCTAATAAAGCGACCAAAAAAACATGGAGTATTCCAACTAAACCCTATTTATGTAGCGTTCGGCTTCACTGTCCCATGCACCTTTTTGCCCAAAGGTTTAGTTGTCGTTCGTCTATTACCATATAATGTGAAAAGTGATTCATCGCTAGCTCTTGGACTAGTAAGGGGGATGAAGCGTGCCGGGAACGAAAATCCATTGGCGTGTCTGCGTAAAAGGCAACAAGATATAGAAAATATTGAAAAAACATAATAAAACATAACGTCTAATATTTTTTACGGTTTGCTATAACCGGCACTTTGATCAATTTTAATTATTACAGCATTTTAAAACGTCCCAGTTGTGTTTTTTTAATTTATAAATTTATTATAGCCATGGAATTAGACCCCTCGTCTACGCTTATGCTATGACGTTTCTCAGGTCGGGCAAATCAAGTCCGTTTATCTCCACTAAAAAAGCATTTCCCTATTCCCTACCAAGTGCAAAGACAGAGATAAAATATAGATCGACGTTCAGTGTAACTCAGTCTATATACGATTATAAATTCTACCGATGTGCATGGCGAGCGGCACAAAGATAAATAATATTGAACCGTACAGAAATCATTTTATATTTTATACGCATTATGGTAATAGTGTTTTTATATTATGTATTAGTCACTCTTTATAATTTCGGCCGCCGAGTATAGTTGCCGTTCGAGTACTCTAGTACGATTCAGTAAGAGTTCACTCTGTATGCTCAACCTGCGATAGGTAAAACAAATGGAGTGTGGTTATAAATATTAAATGATTGTAATATGTTTTCTAACATATGTTCCATAGAACATATTATAATATATTTCTAACATATTCAAAAATAGCAAGTCTTCCCAAATCAGCCAATCTAATATTCCTAATATTTGTAAACCGTAATTTAAATTCAAATTAATGGCTTGACTCCAGGTTAAATTTCTAACCACAAATCGGAGACAACCACAAAACCTGATGAGGAGTGACCACGTAATGACAAATTACAATGACACAATCACAAAACATAAAACATTAAACGCTATGACCGTTCGTTTACAAAAAGCTCCTTTAGCACGGTAGTCACGTGATTTTACTCTTAACTCTTGTCACTCTGGTTCCTAATAACCATGCCAAACGCTCCTTTAGAAGTTACTCAGTTTAACCTCAAAATGATATTGATGTTGATCCGGTAGAGACAAAAGAAACCCCAATTTGGACTCGGCAACACGAAAAAACATTTAATTACTGTGGTTGCCCCCACTATAGTGATTTTTCTCAGTTTGATATTGGAATAACCTTATAATGATTGAACCTAACCTAACAAGGCCAAACAAACTTCGGATTTGGACTCAGCGACCCCAAAAATATATAATAACCATAGTTGCCTCCACCAGGGATTTTTCTCGGTTTGACCTTAACCTGACCTGGCAAGGCCAAATAGACATCGGCTTCGGACTTAACGACCTCGAAAACATATGGATAGTGGTCTAGTACACAGAATTTTTTTTGTGGGGCTGTGTTATTTATTAAAAATATAAAATGTTATGATTTCTTTATACTCTTTGAAATTTTAAATACACACTACTACAAAAGAACTAGTAGTTTTTAATTAAAAACGTCACTTAAAAAATCCACATAAAGTTTTATAGAAGCATTTTAATATGTAAAAATTATGAATATTCCGTACCAAAAAGGATTACCCACTACTCTCATATCAAGCACAGAAAGTACAACAAATAAAACAATTTCATTGTTGACATACCTGGGCATCTATTCCACCGATAAAGTCTGTCTGCTATATACAGAAACAACATATATATCTAAATCTAAATATTTGATAGTGTGCCCAATTCTATAAGTTTAAAAAAATAATTTACATAATGCGTTTCATGATGAACTGTACCTAATGTAATGGCAGAGTGGGGCATCCCAGGTTAGTACGGAACGGCCACTTAAAAAAATTCTGGACCAGAATTCGAGGTACTTATTTAAGTTACCGCTTTGCCACTACAGTATACACAGTTTATCATGAAGCACCCAGTATACAGCAGCGAAATAAAAAGAACGATTATAAAAACTCATGCAGGTCTCAAAAAGATTTCATATTCAATATTTTTAATAAAAAATCGGTTTTTCAGTACAGAATTGGACACATATCCTGTAAATTTTGTCTATTTTATAAAAGCAAAACCTTAGCACTAACCTGCACGTCAGTACCTAACGGTCCGCATCCTTCGGGCTTCTTGGGCTTGGGCTTCTTCTGCTTATCACTGTTCAACATGGAGAGTGTTATGCTGGTCTTCTTGTTGGGCTGGTACTGCAATTCCGGCGGTAGAAAAACACGGGTATTCACGAAATCATGCTGCGGCGAGAAATACATGGTGGGGATACGGGTATCGGTGGGGAAATCCTTCAAGTCGTAATTCGTGGTTCTCGTCAGGAGTAAGCCGGAGGCGAGGTCGCAAAGAGCCCACAGTTTCTGCAAAGCAAAACAAGTTCTTTCCACGGTCTGAAAAGGATGTGTCCGCTTACTTACGTAATTTATGCAGTCGTCGTCCGGCCTAACGGCGTCCTTGTGATTTTTCATCCTCTCGATGAGGGTTTTGTAAAAGCCGTAGCTGAAATAATCGCTCTTGGTTACCAGCGGTTCCAGTATGAACCACAAACACTGCTTGGCTTTAGTCAACTCTTGCACATCGTCCCACTTTGAAAGGTGGGGATCGTGCGCTAAAACTGGTACAGCAAATACAAGCATATAATCGGGTAAGATATGTGGTAGCTGACTCATTGCCTTGTCCGCCTGTCCAGCGCCCATTGTCAGGGTTTTAACATAGTCGCGCCTACGATTAATATCTGCAATCATGTAATTACGTACCGTAGTTCGCAGGCGATTTTCCATTTCTCTGCCCGCAAGCGCGTAATACCCCATGAAATCCAGAGGCAAGCACTTGTTAGGCAGGCCCTTGCTGAGCCCTTTGTGTAGTTTTGCGGAGAAAATCTCCCGAACCTGTTTCACTTCGTCCACCATCAGTTGGGAGAGGTTGTAGAACTGTTCGGCGGTGTACTGATCGCCGACGCCTTTCTGTTCGCAAACCTTAAGCATGGCGCAACCGGCGGCCAATCTAAGCCAAGACATTTCAGCTTTGGAGAGTCTGCCGGACTGCAGCAGGTCGCCTTTGTGCAGTATGAACGCGTTCAGCATTCTGAATGTTTTCTGGGCAGACGCCGTATCTTGCTTTAAACCGAGGAGCCATCTCGCCATCGCCTTGAGGCCCTCTACTTTACATCTGGTTTCTTCGGGAAGTTCCTCCTCGGAACACCAGGGCTCCGAGTCCTTTATCTCACTCTCGCCTTCCCGTGCCTCTTTAACTAGAAGTTCTTTTACAATCTAAAACGAAAACACATAACTCATCTCAACAATTTAAAGGTGCTGTTATCTTGAAGGCTTCTACAAAGGCGAAAGATTTTAAACATTTAACATACAAACTATTTAAGTTTTCGTGAATGACAGTAACTTTATGTTGACATCGGTGGTATTTTCAAGAGAAAAAAAGTAGACCAAACATTTCCATATAATTTCAAAAAGTGTTTTATATTATTTTAGTTTTAAAAAAAATAAAAATAAATAAATAAATATATTTTAAAAACGATAAGTGGCTGTCATAAAAGGAACTTTCATCATTTTAACTTGATTAAAAGTTTTCATCATTTTGATTTGTTCAAGTTGAAATTCTTGAAAATATTATTTTGAATATTGTATTGAATATATTGAAACCACTCAGACAATAAAAACACAAGACCTAACGACAAACAAATGAAAATTTAGAGAGGTTTTTACTCTATATAAGACAAAATGATAAGTAGTATGAACTAGAATCAGGAAAGGGTAAAACCAGTAGTTAGAGTGCCCGTCGGCAAAACTTTTATTGATACATATCCTCTTCAAACTTCTTATATAGCTTCATTAGGCCTAGTCTGACACCTTTTTCCTGTGACTTTTTTCGATTTTGGGGCGTTTTCTCTCTAGACCTAGTATTGACGACATATGAAAAATTTATAGTTTTTTTTTTTTAATTGAATAAAAACTTCAAATGTAACGTGAAAATAATATTTTCTGACAAAAGATATGAGCCATTCAAAATGTCTGCAACCTCAAACATGTCAGAAAAATTTATTTATAATGAGCTGATTTTCTCAAGATCTTATCTTTAAGAAGAATTTAGAACAGGGTTGTCCAACTGGCGGCCCGCGATGCTATTAGTTGTGGCCCGCGTAATGTTTTACGAAAAGCATATATTTTCTTTAAATGCTGCCATTGTGAAAAAAGATTTATATTCTATGGTCTCTCTAACACTGTTTTTACAACTTTTCATTATTATTGCAATGTTTGTCTTAGTTCTTGAAAAAAATTATGTTAAATTTTCCATTTTTTTAGATAAATTTTATCTAAAAAATGTAGTTGTTGAGCAATAAAAGAAATAACACTCCTTTTTTGTTTCAATTATTTTTATACCTCACGTTATTTTGTTATTACTTTAACAAAATTATTATATGGCCCGCAACCACATCAAAGGTTTTAGTTTTGGCCCTTGAAGCCTTGCAAGTTGGACACCCCTGATTTAGAATATGATAAAAAATTGTCTGATATTGAAACAGAGCCCTTTACATGAAAATACTAAATAAAATAATTTTTAATTTAGTTCTCTAGCTACGCTTGGACCTTGCATTCGCAAGTATAAATTGAGACCATATTTATTAATAACTTGCTGATTTTTTCACTATAGATTAATTAAAATAAATAGAATATAATTTTTTAATTGTTTGATAAAATATATTTTCCAATTTTTCAGTCTGATGCAAGAAATACAATTTTTTCATATTAATCTTTGAAGAATAAATGTTATTACTTCAGAAATCAAATGCAAACATTCAATAATTGCTTTTCCGATTTTATATTTTTCATCAAACAATTACCAAGAAAAACATGTTTGGAAAATTAAGAATTTTACCTTTAACTGAATGCTCTAACTATTTTGGTGGAACTTTTCTCAGCCAATTTTGTATAAATTGAGCTAAAAATTGTTTTAAATATACATTGCAATATTACGAAGGGCACAATATAACCATTTTATGAAAATTTTAATAAAAGCTATGGTAGTCTTTTCTTCATTTTAACCTAAAATTGCCGCCTTTTGTTCATTTTTAGGCTCTTATGAAGAGAAATATTATTCGATGTTTGGGACATATTTTCTGGACGAGTGTGATTGTCGCCTGAGCGAACTTGCACAATTATATAAACGTCTTTTGAAAAATATTATTAGAATATTTCAAATTATGTATCAAAAATTTCAGCTCAAAATTTTCCCGGAATACATGATATTCATTTATTAATTACCTAATTAATGTAGTTTTTATTTATAGTACCGTAAAAAAACTGAATAACGATTATTGAAATAATAATTATTACAAACTAGAATATAGGACTGTCATTGTTGAAAAATGTCATTTTTTCGTCAGACTCTAGTTACGCCCCACTATATTTGTCAGAGATGTGTACCACATATTAAGTACTGCTTTTCTGCATATAATTTTTCAATGTCGGAGGGTTATTAATACATTTTTTGTAGTCATGAAATCGACAACTTTGACACGTCAGACTGGAAAATCGGAAAATATTTTTCGTCAAACAATATGAATAGTTGTTTTTGCAGTTCTTAAAGATAGGATCTTGAGAAAATCAGCTGGATATTAAAAAAATTTTTTATAATAGTTTTTCTAAAATGTTCGAGTTAAGAAATTTTGAACGACTCATCTTTCGTCAGAGAATTTTATTTTCACGTTTCATTTGAAATGTTTAAGGGCACCGTATTCTTTAAATAGTGTTTTCCACAAAGACAAATAATTTCAAACATTTAATAACTGAATAATCTAAAGCTTATCAAATAATATGAATGTTATGTCATGCCACCTGAGTATTTTCAAAGATGCCGCAGTAAAATGAATAAACAGGTGCAAAAAACTATCAAACCATCAAGGCTTTAAGTACTGAAATCTACGAAAATACTAACTTTTTTATATATATAACTCTACATGTAAATATTCTTATACCATTTACTTGCTTAGTCCTACATATAAAATTGTTTACTTTTATTTATAAGTACGCGAAAATAATTCTTAAAATGTGGGATTTGGATAACAGCAAACGCATGTTTTACAAACGCTTTTTTTAAGTTATTATTTTATTTGAGTAAATTTAACAATGAATAAACAGAACATCAAGGTTTTATTTTTGTGCTTACTTTTGTTCCACGTTTTACTTTTCAAGATTTCAGTACCTAAAAACGCCAGAAATTTGACTATTTTTCGGTCAGGGATATGGTCACCTTAAGCTATTCAATTAAAAAAAAAAAAAAACAGTATCTATAAATTTTTCACGTCGTCAAAACGACGTGTTTGGGAAAAATTAGAGGGAAAACGCCCCAAAATCGAAAAAAGTCACAGAGGAAAAGGTGTCAGACTAAGCCTAATGAAGTTATATAAGAAGTTTGGGAAGAGTATGTATCAATAAAAGTTTTTCCGACGGGCACTCTTAACTATAGGGTTTGGTAAATTTTTGCTGCATTTTTTTTGACATGAAATTTTTTCGGTTATTTAAGAATACTGTAATAGATTTGTTCTTATTTAAATAATTTAAAAAATCAAATAATTTGTATTCAGAAATGGGTTTCGTAAATAAAAAACGCAAGAAATTCTTTTATTTCAATATTTGATTTTATATAGACCGTCATCAAGGAAAATGGGGCACTATGCATTTTCCGACCCGTTTGTAGAAAAAATTTTTTTATTCTGAGAAATTCTATTACCAGGTTTGGTTTATGCAATTCAGGATACCCAATAATATAATTACAGAATACGAGAATTTTTACATAATAATTTGGCGACATCCAGCGGCAGCACCTTGGAAATCAAGATCAATTATAATTATTGGTGTCATAAAAAATTCTAGGAAAATTCAAGATCTATGAAATTCCCTGATAATTTCAGGTTTTCCAGTGTTATATGGCCTATTAAATATTTTTTCTCTTCAAAATAACTGATACTATTTAATTGTGATACAGTAAAAATTGAAGTTAGGCGAGGATTGTATTTGTTTTCCTTTTTGGTATTAAATTGTGACAAATTATCACTTTTGATATTCCATATAAATCAACATTTTCAATAATCCTTTTAGTAAAAAATTGACAATCAACAATTAACAATAACACTTAAATTTCCAATCATTATTATTTATAACTTCAATGATATTTAAAGTTTCTAACTTAAAACTTACTGTATTCTAAAACATATAAACCTTGTAAGTTATATTCCTATTTTCACTAACCTTTCTGGAAACGATGTTTTTGATTTGAACTTTGTAGCGCTCTGGAACATTGAAGGCGATATGTCCGAGGGTGACAATGGCAGTTCTGTAATGAGGTGATTCTGGGGTTAAATTGTTCTTTAAAGACTCTAATATACCCGGGAATATGTTTTCGTAAGGCATATTTTTAAATATACAGTGGATAGCACCTTTCGCTTGCTTCGGTGTGCCAGTTTGAGCCAGTTCTTTGCAAATAGGCGCCATCGAATCCATCAAATCGGGAAACTGTTCATCTAAAAAAAAAAAAATGGAAATATATTCTGTACACTTACCGCTGTCCAAAGTTGCTTTGTTTCTCCGCTAGAGGGCACCAAAGTTAACAAAGGCTCAATTTTTCCGAATAACTTTAAAACACTTTGTCTTATTTAAATGAAACTTGCTTTGCTGTATGTAACGATGTCGTTTTTTCACATAATACAACTGTACTTGTATACAATGATATTGTGAGAAACAACTCTACAAAGTACACCAGTAATATCTATTAGAACTGAATTAATTTTGAGGGATAATAGATGGCATAAATGATGCTATATCACATCGGACATAATTATATTCATGTCAAATTCAAAGCTCTGTCAGTAAGCTTTACTTTTTAATATGTCATTTTGCTGAAGTATAAACAACATAAATTTTTCGCATCTCAGAAGATGTCAAATACCAGCCAACAAAATACCATTTGCGGGAAGTTTTACTTTCCCTGTTTAATTCAAAGAAAAGTGCTGCATGCTGTTGAAAACTTACGGTGAGCATACACCATCGATAAAAACGTGTGAGTATGGATTTCGACGTTTTAGAAGTGGTGATTTTGATATAGTTGACAAAGAACGCTCTGGCAATCGAAAAAGTTTGAAGATGAGGAATTGGAAACATTACTCAACCAAGATTCATGCCAAATGTAAGAACTTGCTGAATCGTTAAATGTTGATCGCACAACATTTTCCAAACGTTTAAATGCACTGGGTATGATTCAAAAGCAAAGAAATTGGGTGCCATGAATTGAAGCTGAGAGATGTTGAATCGTGTGGTTAGTAGGTCACTCTTCGCCACAGAAATGGAAGATCAAATATTTAACTTACTGAATAATAAAAATGAAATACATTTTTGCGAAATTCAGACACTTGTAATCCAATGTCAAGGTCACGAATATTTTTGGAAATCACCACCATTTTCAGTAATACATAAATCTGTTAAAAAAAATATCAATCACTTTCATTTAAGATTCTCCTCAAACTGCAAATTTATGACTAGAAGTTACTCTCCAAATTAATGTAATTTTATGCTTCTCATATAAAATCAATAACAGAACTTTGAAATTGGTAAAGACACAATTTACAGATTGAGCAGATCGAGAGAAGTCTGTGATAAATGAGAATATGTGTATTTTATTTATTCAAATATTATAATTATTTCCAAAAATCTACAAAGAATCCTATAAAACATATTCATATTTTTAGTATGGAACTAATATAATAATTAATTACACAATAACCTTAAAACAAACAAATATAAACACAGAAAGAGAGACAACTTGCCAAAAACTTTTTTATTTGTTTGATAAAACAAGAACTAAAGCTGTAAGGTCTCACACACAAAAAAATACGAACCATTTTGTTTAACGGTGGAAGAAATGTTTTCATTTAGCACACAAGTACTGACATAGCAAACTTAATTTGGACAAAGCATTTTAGTTATTCGGAAAAAATTGAAATGTTTTCTAACTTTGACCCCTCCAGAGATGGGATAGAGGTAAATTTAGTTAAATTATCTTATTTTAACCTAAAGATTATGTAGTAATTCCATGTACGATGAACATTGGGACACTTTGTATATAAATTTTTGAATTACCGACAAAAATATTTCTTACTTATTTAGTCATAAAAACAATCAATTGAAAAAAAATTAATATTAATAATAAATACTCTTATTTCCTTCAAAATCCTAAGCTATTTAGTTCAGGCATGAAATCAATGAATGGACAACAAATTAAATGTGATAAATAAAATCTCATTATAGTTAACAAATTTTCTTCAAATTTTTAGGTATTAATGACAAAATCTACTTACACAGACATCTATATTTGCCAAGGAAAGTGAACACGGACAGTACCAGAGGCGCCACATTTTCATCTTCCAATCTGAGCAGTCCCATCAACTGTTCCAGAACATCGGCATAGTGAAAATGACAGGGAAACACGACGCTTAACATCACCAATAACTTAAGACCACGATCACCAGCAGTTGCAGGGTGCAATCCTACCTCTTCTATGGTATTGCCGCCCCTCAAACAATCCTCGACATATCCAACAAGTAATCTAATGGCTTCATGATCGATCATGACAGAGCTGATACGTTCCAACAGCATTTTCACCGTGTTATAGTAGAGATTGGTCATTACAGGCGGACCCAATTTTTTTAACACAGTGGCTGTTGCTTCCGAGCATTCCTTGCAACTCACTGAAGGCCTGGCGACAATTTCAAAATGTTCAAGTAGAGACGAGTCACGTTTAAGGTGATTACTAAATTTCGTCAGAAATTCATGAGCTTTGACAGGTTCAGGTAGGCACCTCGATAAAGCCTGAACTTTAAGGGCCATTTCTTTTTGCAATTCCGCCGTTTGAATGGGTCTTCTGTGTAATTCCAACCACTCCAATACGAGCTTTCTCACACATAACTGATTCTTCTGCAGCTCCATAAACGCCTTAGTAGCATGCTCATCTACGGTACCCAACAGGTGGTACAGTTTCTTCATTCTTTCTGCGGCTGGCAATTGGTACGGTACGAGACAAGTGTTCAACAAACGTTCAACCAACAGACGGTCTTCCATACCAGCCATGTAATAACCGTGAAGAATCTTATCTTTTATCCACGTCACCGCCTTCTTTGTTGCATTTGGTACATCGGGATCACTCAGATGCTTTCTATATATTAAGGCCAGTCCAGACATGGCCTCCTTGCGAATTTTAAATTTTTTATCTAGCGTCCTTTCCTTCACAAATTCTAAAAGGTCTTCAGAGTCAGACACTACCTGAAAATCGTTTCTTGCAGTAGTTACGATAGCCATGACCACCTGGTACCTCACATTTTCCTCCGAGTCGTGTTGTCTCATTTTCAGCGTGTCTGTGATGTCTTTCCTCAAATCGGGATGATTTAAGAGGAAATGCATAGAGTACTGAACGCACTTGGTTCTGATTGCTATCGAAATATCATTGAATCTACCTAAAAATGCCCTCCATAGTGACGTGTGTCGTCTTGCCAATTCTGAATCTTTCTCACTGAACATTTTAGCTAAAAGGGCTACTGCCGCTAATCTTTCGTTTTCTAGGGGGCTTTTCAACTTACACTCCAATTGAGGCAAAACAGCTAGTAATATTTGAGGACAGATGTGATTTAACTCGTAAATCAAGTCATATACCTTTCCACAAATCTGCAAGTTTTTATCTTCTTTTCCTAATATAAGAACATGATTGAAGAAAGCTTGTATGTAAGGCTCCAAGGTTTCCGATGTTTTCACTATTAATTCTTTGGCTAGGTAATAAGCGTTCTTCTGCTGTGTTTTATTGGGTTCGACTATATTCATTAAAATGATATCCAGCAGATCATTACTGACCATGTCACTTTCGGTTATGAGGGGGCACAAAACGTCTAACATGAAACTTTTCACTCTTCCCGAGTGTTCATCATTTACTATCTTAAACATCAAATGGAACAGAGCACAAAATATTTCCTGGCAATCCTGAAGTTCGAAACACATGTTAAACGACTTAACATATGCCAGATTTTCTAACAAATAAAAATATCTCTTAAACGCTGCATCTTTAGGATCTTTTAGACCCGACAGTTGTGTGATGAGAAACAAAAATATAGTTTTGACTTGATCTGGGTCTTTGTACGGAGCTTCCGGGGCATACACCCGAAGTACATCAGCTATGCAGCAAGCTATGAGCAGCTGAACGTCTCGAGAAGGGTGAGAAAGGAATTGTTCCTCGGCAAGGTGGAGGGACAATGGGATATACTGTTTGTAAGCTCCGTCATCTTGGCCCATAGCTTGAAGTGTATGTGCCAAGGTTTTTAATCGACGGATCAATTCATCTGTATTCAGATCGTCACTTATAGGCCGGCAACCTGGTGGGTACACAATTTCAGCCATTTTGCTTTCTGAAACGGTAACAATATAATTTTATACACCTAACTTTCCTTCCAACCTGAATATGAAATTTGTTATGTAAAGTAAATATCGATCTGAGTCAGAGAAATATATACATGCCATTATATTAGTAATAAATTATTTAAGTTATTGGAGCTACACCTTACTGAGAAAATGTTAATTTTACAAATTTTTTTCCACCATAGCAAAATGTAGCAGCAAAATATTTTTAGGTACTGTGAAAAAACAGCAGTAATATTAATTCCAATAATAATCATTAATACTGTACAAGTAAAAGTTGGTGGCGATCACTTAAATAAAGGAAAAATATAATATTAAAAACACATTTCAGGTATATCACAATTTTTTAAATATATTTAATATACAATAATTAAGTAATACATTTTATAATTGAATATACTGATTCTCCAAGTAAAATTTCAAATGTACCCTTTTTTGACATCGTTTATTTTTAAAATCATATATACAGTTGCTGAAGTATACATACATATTTTATACAAATTGATACTAAAAGAATTCACAAATCTGAAGTAGTTAATTGCCAATTAAATAACTTGTAATATAACAGAAATGTGAATAATTTTCAACGTTAGGCATCCACTAATAAGACTCCTCTATCAGTGAAACTAAAGCTTTGTTTTTTTTATTAGAAGGTACCAAGTCACTAAACCAAATTAGATCGCAATAAGAGAGCACAGAGAGGTACACATATATTCATACTCTTCAGTTTAATGGTAATGAAATGAAATATTAGTAGTATTTAACTTTCATTTATAGTCTATATAAATTGAAAAAATATCACATTTTCTAGCAGTAAATAATAAAACTTCTCCGAAAATATTACTTCCTTAAAACAATTCTAAAAGAGTCAAGTTTATGATTAGTTGTGTTTTTATACTTGAACAATATTTATGAATTATGACAATCACATTTCAAAAAAAATACGTTCATAATATTAGCGAGTTGAAAATATGTATTCACTAGTTGTGTTCTGCTCCCATGTTATAGGTAAATTTCTAAAATGTATAGCTAGATATCATAGATGATTTTAGTTATTTTTTAGTGCATGTATCGAATGCCAGTAACAACATATTAATGTGAGAAACATAAATATAAGGAAATATGTCTATATAAATAGTTTAAACATGGTAAAAGACACTGCAATATTTACCTGAGCACGGAGTATACTACCGATATTTGGTTGAGGTAGATCAGTCGTATTCCTATCAAAACGTTGAGAAATAAAGACATAAGTTTAATAGATATAACATTTCAAGATTAGCTCAACATATTTTCTTAAAAAATAAACGATTTTTAATCATTTAAAACCATTTTTTCCTATACGCAGGGACGCGCACAACAACAGAACATACGAAGTGCATTTTACTAATGAGAAGTTAACTTCACATCAGTATTTTTCAGTAAATACAAAATAAAAATCCCTAAATTTGTAACGAATTAATATGGTAGAGGGCGACAAAAAGAAACTTCATGTAAGGTTCTAGATATAATTGCAGAAGTATTATTATGCTGCAATTAGTACTGAAAACTTATTTAACCCTTATTTTGCCGTTTCAATGTGGAAGTAGTTTGAAATTTTAAATTATTAGAAAATTATGACAAGTGATCCCAAGAACCAAGAAATGACCCGTGGATTGGCCATGGCATGGCGATTCCAGCATTCGACGTCACCTGGTGTCGAGTATCAGAGTTATATCAAAAAGAGTAATGTTTTGTTTTAATCGCGACATTCTTCCATGGCTAGAAATTGGCCTCAATGATTTGTGATCAAGGGGGATTATCCCTCTTTATCCTGCCTCATCTCGTGTAGGCCTAGACAGCCTTCGTAGGTGGGCCCCATCCGTCGTCTACCCCGACCGCAAATGCGGCTGGTGTAGGCGCTTTGTGGGACCTCCTTTTGTCCTGGCTGGGCTCCGCCGGCTAGGGCCCTTTTTTCTGGCACTTTTCTTGCACCCCGGGGGTAGTGTCATGTTTATGTGTGGTATGGTAGGGTAGTGCGGCTCATAGATAATAGAAGAGAGTGCGGCTATGCAGCCTGGGTGCCTGGGATGCGCTTTGCTAAGGTGGCCTTTAGGCTAGCGCGGGAGGAAGGGGAAAGGAGGGTATGGGGGTGTGTGTATGTGTGTGTGTCGTTGTCTTCGTTTCTTGATCCTGGCGGTTTCTGAAACAGAATAGGATAGCGGGCAGGGGGCGGATCTGTTTACATCATTAGATTTATTAAGTTTTTCTTGTTTTTGTGAAATTAGTTAATTATGTCAATAAATTGTTCTTTTCACTTTTTTGTGTTATTTTGCTACATATCCCACCAAATAGGTGGAAGAAAATTGTACTTAATGCAAATCGTGTATAAAATGTCATTCTAGAAAATTCGTTAATAAGAGCAATAGAACGATTTAATTTCGTTATCTTCTAAAAAAATAAATGAATGATTTTTAAGTTGTTGTATATAAAATAAATGCAATATATAAAAGCTGTATAGTTACGTTCAAATTTTAGTATGACCTTAATTTAGAGACAAAAAAACACAAAATTGGAAGATCAATATGTATAGACTGTAAACGTTTATAACCCCAAATTTTTAAATGAATAAATTTAAAATTAATAGGTATTCAGGCCATCTCGATCACGAACTGCCACAATTCCAAATTGTCAATTTTAAATGTATTGATATGCATACAAGAGAAGGTTATCTGCATGGAGACTGCACACTGTCACTCCCTGGTTATCTGGATATCGTTGAGTAGACATATTTGGTTTATATTTTTATAATGATTACGAATGTCACTACCAAAGATAAATGTTTTTCATTCAGTATTTTTTACTCCGTAAAGTTTATTGTCTGTGGTTTACGATCGCGATGGATACGATCTTTTCTCTGTTTTGTGGATACGATGCATAGGTAACCATGGCAACACAAATTTATACGTTTGTGGGAAAAATAGTTTCGAAGGGTGAGTAAAATTTTAAAATTTTTTCATAAAATTTTATAATACAATTTTAGCTGAAAAAATAGTTTATTATAATTGTTACCAATATGATTATAGGAACTTGAATGAAACAAATTAACATTTAATTTAGCTGTAATTTTATATTTTCAAGCAGAAAATATGCAGTCGGATTTATTAAAAAAAGAAGACGAATTTTACAAGGAGAATGAAAAATTAGAGCAGAGAACAAAGGAATTAATGAAGAAAGTTAACGACGTAATGGTAAAATACAATTTTCATAAAAAAAATTTGAAATAATAAAACACCATTTTAGAAAATTCAAGATAATTTAATAAAAGAAACTTTAAAAACTAGTACTGAATTCAATAAGGCCAAAATAAGCAGTTTGGAAATAAAAAGCACTAATAACTCACTACAGCGATTTGCTTCAACTGAAGACTCCAAAAATGAAGATTTAAATATCCCAAGCAGCGTCAATGGAATGGGGAAAAAAGGCGTTATCCATTTTTATAGAGCTAAAATAAAATCTTTACAAGAAGAAAACTCAAATTTGCATACTGAAAGCAGGAAAAGGGTAATATTATAATACATATTATACAGATAAAAAATTTAATGTATTGTTTGATAAATTTTAAGTTAAACATTTTCAAAAACTACAACTACTACTTTCTACTTATTTGAATAGGGCGAAGAAGTGAAAAAGTTGCAAAAAGAAAACCAAAATATTTTGGAGGAAAAAGATAAATGGTTTAGTTCTTATAACACTGTGAAAAATACTGTAGGAAAATTAGAAACTCAAGTAAGTTTTAAAATTTTTAATAACAATGAATTAGCACATAATTACAGCATCTTTATCCATAGTTGTCTTCTTTAAACTCAAAATTACAAAGTAAAGACAATGAAATGACATCTGTACGAAAGGAAATAGAACAAATTAAAAAGGAATTGAAAAACTCGAATTTAAATTTAAATAGTTCTGAAGTTCGTTTGAATAGGGCTTATGAAGAGAATGAGAAATTGAAAACAACAATAAAATCTATGAAAGAGGAAGAGAAGGTAAAAAACTAACGTAAAATAATTGGCACTTGATATTAAATATTTTTTCTAGGAATTAAAGGAATCATACAAAAAACAAATAAATGACTTAGCAGCAACTGTAAAACGTATAGAACAACACAAAACCGAACTTCTTAATGGATTTAAGAAACAACTGCAACTCATTGACAATCTGAAAAGGCAAAAAGTAAGCATTTAATATGTAACGAAGTTTATTCTTATCATATCGACTTGAAATTAGGTATTTTTAGTTTAGTCGATTATTTAATTTCAAGCGTTTTCAGTATGGTGATAAAAAAAAGAAATTGCGATGTATAAACATGTTTAAAATTTTTTTGCAGATGTACTTAGAAGCACAGAAGGTAGCCGAATTATCAGAATGTGAATATTTAAAAATTTTGGACTGCAAGTTTGATTGAATAGTAAATTATTATATTTAAAAATATTTTTATATAAGTATTGTTAAGATTTAATAAGGCATTCTAAATACATAAATACATTTTTTACACATTCCTAGAATATATATTTATGTCGACAACTCTTCATTACTCTCATTTATAATATACAGGGTGTTTCTCATAAGAACAGACACAAAGCAGGGGGATGTAGGGGAACCCAAAATATGGTGATTTAATGCAGCTTACCTTTACACTAAGCTGCACCCCTGAGAAAATGGGGTTTCAAATTTTGAAAAAAATCATTATCTCATAGTTGAATTTGGAAAAACCAAACTTGGTACACGGTGTGAGTGTACCAAGAGAATTAATCGTCAGTAAGTAGAGTTAATTGAAGCATTTTAAAAGGTTGATAAGAGATGATGCACCATTAAAACGTGACAGAATTTTTTATCCCGTTGGCAGACTTAAAAAATTATTACTTACACATGCTATTAGTTTTAGGTTTCTGTGAAGGAAACGACAGAAGAAGTGTTGAAGAATATCGGAGATTTTCAAATCGTGTAATCCCTTATAGAGAAATATTTTCCAATGTTGAGAGACAGGCTCGAGAAAGAGGCAAATTTATTAGTAACACTCGAGAGCATGCTATTGCAATCAGGGCACAAGACGAAGAACTTATTTTGAAAACCACTGAAGATGACCCATTTATTAGTACTAGAATTTTATCTTGACAAACTGGTATATCGCAAACTTCTGTGAACCGACTGATCAGACGTAATCTACTACACCCATATCATATCCAAAAAGTTTACCGAATTGTTACCGAATGATTTAGTTAGAGTGAATTTATTTTACATCAAGGCATTAATTAAAAGAAAATTCTCCTTACTGATGTAGCTTGTTTTACTCACAGAGGTATTACAAATTTACGTAATCATCATGAGTATTCCGATGTAAACCCACAACAGTAACTCCTCGACATTTCTAATACAAGTTTAAAATGTTTGCATCGGTGTTGTTGATCGGTATTTAATTGGTCGTTATTTTAGAATTTCTCCAAAACACTCTCCTGGATCTACTTGACGAGGTGCCACAACTCAGACTGGAACATTGGTTTATGCATGATGGAGCACTCCCTCATTTTTGTACTTTTGCTAAGGACTTGTTAAACCACCAGTATCCAAATAAATGGATTGGAAGAGGAAATAATTGCCCAACAAGTTTGGCTTCCACGATCACCAGACCTCAACAAATGTGAAGGAACGTTAAAAGGATTTGTGGATTCCTCGCCGGTTGCGTCTCGAGCAGAATTGTTGAATCACATTACGGATAAATGTATATGCATTAGAAACAATCAGCAGTTATTGGATACAGTAGACTTCAATTTTCGACGAAGAATAAATTTATGCCCGAGAGAAAATGGTGATAATTTTGAATTTCTATAACTTGGAATTGCAAATTGTATGTTATTTCTGTTGTTTTAAGTTGTTGGTTTTTATATTAAATTATTCTTATTCCAATTTTTTTCCTGATCGTCAAGATGTTTAAATTCATAGCAAACTTTTGAATTTTCGATGATTTTAAATAACAGCTACAATACGCATTAGTTATTCGTATTTTTGTTGAAAACGACAAAGTTTTTTGAGAACTAACAAGAGTAATAATTTTTAGAATTAAATTCCCCATAAAATAAAGTAATAATTTTTTAAGTATGCAAAGGAGTTAAAAAATTCTCAATTTTAATTGTGCATCATCCCTTATCATTAGAATGCTTCAATTGATCTCTACTTACTGTCTGCTCTTGGTACACTCACACCGTTTTTCTAAGTTCAACTATAACCGATCCACTTTTTTCGAAATTTGAACCTTTTTCAAGGCCTATAAGAGGTGCAACTTAGTATAAAGGCAAGTTGCGTAAAGTCACCATATTTTGAGTTCTACATGCTTTTGCAGTTTTGGTTTTTTAACGAAACACCATATATTTTGTATGTATTAAGCTAATTCAAATTAATTCTAAAAATGCTTATCAAATGAATTCACATATACAGGGTATTCTTAAAGTTGAGTCATTTATTTTAATAGCTGGTAGAACTCATAAAATAATGTCGATTTACCAAAAATTGTTTATATATAAGTTGTCAAATAAAGCAACAATTATTTTAAAAAAAATGAAATTTAAAAACTTTATAATACAAACCTGATTTATTGTCATTTTCGACCACTCCGTTGTAAAAACAGTATGTCTTTTTTTGTAGTTGCACGGTTTTGAGTACGCTTTTCGATTTGACGGTGCTAAATAATTTGTACAGTAGTGCATATTATTTTTGATTTGTCAGTGTTTTCTGTAATAAAAATGGCACGTTTATGAAAACAATGAACTAGTTAGTGGACATAATATCAACATACGGTGAGTGTCAACAAAATGCAGCCATAGCATGTCGCTTGTAAGCGGAAAGATTTCCTTCACGAAATCATCCGGCTCTGTAGATGTTTGTAAATTAAGTTATAAGACTCCGCGACACAGGGTATTTAAAGGAACAAGGTCACGCTGGAAGACCTTCTCCACGCGAAATGGTGCAGATCGAGGGAGAAATTTTAAAAATTGTCGAAAAGGACCCAACAACTAGGTCCACGTTAGTAAACAAACAATTTATCTTCTAGCGTGAGGGTTGCTTTCGCTGTACAGCAAAAATAAAATGCTCTCTCAATGGTAAAAATATTTTCATTGAAAACTAAGCTTGTGAAAAGACGTGTTGTCGGTTCGAGTATTTGCTGGAGAGTCGTCTTGGCGTGGAGTCGCTCGCAGAAGTACCTGGTCCTTGGCGCCAATCTGCCGGGGTCGTCTTTCGGGAACCCTGGTGCGTCCGGGCCGCATCTGCCTGGCGCTCTTGACATTGTACTTAAAAATGGGTCACTTGCGAACATGTGTACCTACAAGCATGACCTCCTCGTTGTTCCTGTGTCGCGTGTTAATAATTGCTTATTTGACAACTTTTATATAAATGATTTTTGGTAAATCAACTTTTTTACGAGTTCTACCAACTGTTAAAATAAATGATTCAACTTTGAGAACATCCTGTATAAGGTAAGAATGTGACGCAGGGATTCTTGGAATTCTATCTCAACAAATATCGTACGGACTATAGCATGTTCAATTGGTAAGTTAAAATTAATTTGTTTTAAATAAAATAATTGTGTTTGTCATTTTATAAAAAGTGCACAATAAAAAATCCGACATATTCGAAAAAATTTATAAAATCATTTCAAGATTTTAATGAAAAATACTATAGGCTTTTTTTCGCGAGTGAATATTGGTGAATACGTCTGACTTGTAGTTACTGTTTCTATCTCTTTTAATCTTATTTCTAACCTTGTCTAACCTGAACAGATCGCGAAAATGTATATATTCACTATTCAGTGCTGCAGCCTGTCATATGTACTTTGACGACTTTGACATATGGGTGATATGGGTTCTAACTTCTACCCAGTAACCATAATTTGTCATCCTTTATTGCTTCCAGTAATCTAGTGTTGTGGGAATTGGTGTTATCACACTATATAATATATGTATTTGCTTCAAATAAAACTGAAGGAATATATCAATGCTTTCTTTGGAATATTTTTAAGTGGCAAATTTAAAAAGCGTGAAAAGTTTGTAGATTCTGATGTTGCAAGATATGCGAATATTCGACATAATCGTTATCGTAAGAGAATGGAATTTGGTCATTTATGTCAATGACTACAAAACAGAAATTGTGACATGGCTCTATATTTTTTGATATTTTTGTGGAATGAGGATGATGATGTTCCTTATGTATGTTATAAGTTTAGAGAATCATATCATATATTCGGTTTTTTATGTAATTCATACGAAAAAGACCTGAATTACAAATGATTCTACCAATATTATCTGGCCTAGGTCACAAAAAAGGAGGATAATCCTGAAGCAAAGTGGATCGCAAATATGTCCCACATAAAAAATTAATCTTACCATTAAGTAAAATATTTGCTGTTTCAACGTCTACGTTTACTAAAACATCTGTGACTCTAAATTTTTAATTTAAACTGACCACTTCCACAGCCGTATCAGAATCCATCAATTTGCTGAACGATTTTTATCCTCATTCAAACAAAATGTGAAAAAGAAAAAGGTTAAGTTACCGGCTGACAATACTAGTTGAATATACCAACAGAATATTCAGCTGAAGGGTGAAGAATTCAGTCATTTGATCTAAACTTGTAACGTCACATAGTAGTTTAAATGACTGACTATTCTCGCAAAAACGTAATATTCACTCATACTACACATACTACAACATACGACTTCACTCGCGAAAAAAAGCCTTATATCTTAAAGCAGTGTTCAGTTTGTGAATCTCAATGTCAGTGACCTGTGAAAATTACCTAATTTAAGTGAACTACATATCAATACACCTGATGTGATACGACAACATAGTGCTAAGCAGGCAGAAAACAAACGACCAACACTAATTTAGTGAAATGAGAATGGGTGACTATAGCACCACTTCATTTTGTTTTGTTTAGTTTATCAGCCTCCGGAGAGTTTGCAATACGGTAATTTTTTAATGGAGTGGAAACCGAATTTGTACAGTGCAGTTACTTTTTTAGTAAAATTCGAAGACCTTATGTCTTCAATCTTAAATTTCTTTGATAGCCTGTCCAACGGCAGGGTATGAAAATTACGATTACGATATGCGAGTCTACAGTTACAAAATATATATTATTTGAGGCCGTTTCTTTTTCAAGTAGGGGAATATTCAAACGAAACCAACTGCGGACATGCCTTTTAAAATTTTATTGAAAAAATTATAAAAATAACTCTTATTTATATAAAACGTATGGTTTAGGAGAAACTAAACCACTTAAAAATGATCATACTCAACTGTCCTACACGAACAAACATAACAAAGTAATCTAAGTTTTAATGAAAAGTAATGGTCGTACGCTATTAAATGAAGCATACAACTGCTACCGCGTCTGTTCCATAATGAGACTTTTAAATTCGAGTCATCGAAATTCTCACTTATCTAACTATAAACTCCTACATTATAAACATTAAATTTAGTTGAAGCCAACATTTGTGTAAAATTTAAGTTTAGGACCAGTAATTTGCAAATGCATTCGGTAAATGCAACGACAAACTCCTGATGTATAAAAATACTTTTTTTTTTTTGTAGAAATAACTATTTTAAAAAACTTTTTAATTTTTGTAAAAAGACTTTATGTTGCATAAAAGATAACTAAATAACATGTCATGTTATGATTTAAAAAAAAATCCACTAACAGGAATGAAAACAGAAAACGATAGTCGTCCAACAAAAGCGCAGTTTACAAGTAATAGAGGACATTTTCCAGTGCCCTATGTGCCGGTCTGTGCAAGCTCTGGGCGACCAAGAACGCCAATTTGTGGGCGTACTGGCAGGGAGCCGGCACACGAACCGTTCCGCTCCAGTTATAATACATATGGCACAACTTATAGGTTAAGATTTGCATGCGGTCTGGAGGAAGTCCCATCGTGTCCTCGATGACGTTGTAACTAGTCGGTGCGACAGAGCCCTGACGGACACACTGGCTTACAATGAAGAAGTCGTACCTGAAAACAAAAGAACGTTTTTATGTAAATTATGTACCAATTGGGAACTTTAACACAAGGTGTTCCATTTAAGATTGATTCTTTCAAAAAGTGTTCAAAATGGAGCAAAAAATGCAGAAATTGAGCCGTTTTTGGTTTAGAAATTTTAATAAAAAGTACCTAAATCGATGCAAATGCATTGAGCCCCTACATTGACTGTGTTCATAGCTAGCTATGACTTTATAGTTTGACAATCCTAAACGTTTTTATGTATTTTGATAATAACCAATACTACCGTTCAGTTAGCAGTGATTTTCTCGAAAACCGTTAGTTGTATCAAAAAAATGTAGAGCTAAAATTCAAGGTCAATGCATTACTGATTAAATGGTAAAAATAAATTTAAAAATTTTTCACCGTAAATAATTAATCAAATTTGGAAATGGGGTGTGCATTTAACTCTTCATCAGCCAATATCTTAGAAACGGTTGGTCTGAGAGATTTCAACCAAGTTTACCATTTTTTATTAAAATTGATAGGGGAATAAACGTACTAATATGAAATGTCAATGTACAGGGTAGCAAAAATGTTAGGACCCATTTAATTCAAGCGTATCCTTATAGGTGGCGCCCTCTACAAGCAGCATCAAAAGCAATGCCATATTTAAATTTACCATCCCAAAAAAACCCCGTACCCCAAGTTCTATGCAAACATTCAAACCTGTTTGGAAATTATTTATAAAAAAAAATATTAAAAAATAAAAAACTAACATCCTGTATAACGAAAACTAAGCATTTGTAGACCCACATTTATAGGAAAAAAGTCTTGTTTCGACCTCAAAAATACGTCACTAAATTTCTTGTACTGAATTTTTAATCAGCCTGTATATTCCGAACTGTAAGTTACCTACACAGGGTGTTTCACAAAAACTTCCCATAAATACAAGGGGTGATAGTACGTCAATAAATAAGAATTTTTGTCTTACGAACAATATGTCTATCTCCTCTTGTTTTTGAGATAGAGTAAAATTTTTAAAATAGAATTTTTACGAACATATCCAAACGGTGCTAACCATTTTTATGAAATTTGGTATTCCGGGGTTTTTAAGGATGCCAAATATGCTGGTTTAATTATTTTTTGAATATTTCATAGAGGGCGCTAGTTATGTTACATTCTTATTATATTTTAAGTTCTAATTGTTTTAAGCTTAGGTTTTTTACAATTATATATATAGAGGAGATAGACATATAGTTCATAAGAAGCATAAGACAAAACATTCTTATTTTTTGACGTACTATCATCCCCCTGTATTTAAGGGAGGTTTTTCTGAAACACCCTGTATATAACATTAAAATAATAATTTGATCTAACATAACTATGTAGAAATCTACATACAGCGCATTACAAAAAAGTGATACAAGTTGTTAACCAAATTCTTTCTACGACGGAACTTTCCTAAAAAAATTTTTATTAATAACTCTGCTGCTTTTGAAGGTGTTGATTTTTTGTAGACTTTTTCCATATGCAGACGTTATTTGCACAATTTTGGTCCAAAAATAAAAGTACGAACTCAGAAATAGAAGATTGTAGTACCCGTTAATTTCCTCAGACTTTGTTCTGCACGTGCCCATGGTTCAAGGCCATTGTTTTTTCTCATTTTTTTTTTACTCTTGCAAAACTTCGACTGAGGGCTTGGTTACAAGACAGTAATTTCTTTTAGAGATGTTCGATGATCAATTTTTATATGAAAAAGTCAAGTTTGTATTTTGTATTTAAATTAAGGAATACAAAAGCTATCAGATGATTTTAAGGCCAAAATATGATAATTGCAAGTTAGATGATGTAAATATCTCAAGAGATGTTTGACACTTGTAATTTGTAACCGACGACTTGTTTTTCAAATAAAATACAGGGAATCTTTTTTTTGAATACAATTGTGATTCAAATGAATATATATAATTTCCGAAATACTCAGTGCCGTTGAATTCCTGGGATTCTTAGTGAAAATGTCTTCTATTTTATCCACCACTGGTCGAAATATTTGCATATTATTGATGTTCCTCACAAAATCAAATACTTGCAAATAAGGCAATTTTGGACTAAGGTCTATTCTGTCCAACTTGTGCTCTTTCAATTAAGTACACCCTGTATATGAATTCGGAATTATGAATAAAAACAAATTGAACAAAATAATCTATTTTTATCTAATTTAGATAAATTACACTTGCTTTAAAAGCAGAGTTCAGAATCCAAAATAACGAAATATGCTTAAATGTTAAGTCTTTTCTGTTTATTGTCAAACTAACTTTATTTTTTTATTAAATCTAGCCTAACAATCAAGACTTTCTATAATTTTTAAGAAAACAATTTTCTCAAGGTGCAATTCAAAATCATGTTATAAAATATTACGAGTACCATTCGTGTTTGACAAAACATTTTAACAAAAAAATCTTCTAATATTTACCAAAAATTATTTAAAAAGGGAAACAAATTCAGCCTTTTTTCCTTCAGAACCTACCTGAGCAAAATTAAGAATGAAAATATGAGAACTTTAAGAAATATAAACAAAAATATTTTCATTAAAAACAAAACTAAAAGAGAAACGATATTTATAAATTTACTCTATGAATAAAAATAGCATTTACCTTTCTGGCAAGGTGATAACATCATCGACAACCGTTCCCGGGGGAGGATTGCCCCTTTCGCCAAATATTCTTGTATTTATCCTTTTCGATACGACAATAAACGCCATCTTCAAATCGTTATTCTTATAGATCTCCTCCGTCAATTTCCTTTTAATGTTTACGACTTCGTGCTCGTAAACATACTGTAACTGTCCGTCACCCACACCGTCTCTATAGATTAATATGCGCTCCGGATACCTGCCACTGGTGTCCTTAAAACGTTGACACGCTAGGAGCAAGAAAGCTGCAAAGTTATCAGATAACTCCTCTTCGAACTTATGTTCGGTGGTATAGCTGTAGTAGCGGGTGGCCTGCCTGTCGAGAGAAGCCACCATACCTCCGAAACTTCTGCCCTTGTTGGCCGTGTCTCGGCAAACGTCGTATCCGACAATCATTAGGTTGGACAAAGGCAAGATTACCGTCCAGGGTGCACCGCCGATTTTACAATTCAATTGAATGGCAACCTTGGTAGCGATGGACATTACACCTGGAAGAATGCGTTATGTTAGCAAATTACGGCATCATCCCAATCATATACTGATAAAAAATTGTAGTTATCGGAACATTGTTAATTATCCAAACATCATGCACCACCACCACTGCACATTTTAATCTGACTTTTACTTATTTACTAAAACTTAGCAACTGTAATAGCTTTCCAATTGTCAATTGCGTATAGTCAAAACTCCTTATTCGCTGACCAAAAAATTGTGACCACTTCCCTTATTCACGGGTGAAAAATTCTGGATCCAAAATTAATGATACATATTGTATTTTTAGAATAATGTGTATTTATCTATAAAAATAAACAAGTAGGTATCAAAATATTTATAAACAAACAAGTTTTAGTTTCGTGAAGTCGAAAATACTTTGACAAAAGTCGTCACTAATGCCGCTCGCTTACACGTGCCACTATGGCATTTGATAAATGTGACGTTAAACTTAAAAAACTTGACTAAAGGTTTACGGATGGCAAATGAGCTTTGTGATTTCTTCATAAAAATTGATCCGTCTGTAGAAAGAAGTCTTGTTTTTACGAGGCAAATTAATAATGTCATAATTGAATATCAATCCGAATTAAAAGACCTTTTATTAGTTGCAAAACAAGAAGAAATCACTAAGTTCTTTAAACCATTGCCTAAACCTGATAATAATAATTAACATTGTTCAAATTTATCTCAGTAAATTACCTTCATTATTTTGCAACCTTGGAATGTATCTCCTATACAGGGTGTCCCACCACGAACGTCATCGATGAATATCTGGGAAACCGCTTGAAGGATTTTTTTGAAATTGTGACGGTGTGATACGGACTGTGGGGCTTACCAAGCTAAAATAATTTCAAGGTAATTGTACTTCCGGTTATACCGGAAGTCGATACTCACTTTATTTTAAATGGAACCCCCTGTATATTATTGCATTTTTGGAAAGGGCATCTATTTTTAAGTTGAAAACATATAACACATCCCATACTTAGGATTGACGGTAGAGATGGGCAATGGGAAATTGTCCGTCCCGGAAAGTTTCCAAAACGGAAATTTTCCGGGAAGAAATAATCGAAGCTTGAGAAATTTTTCCTGGAAAGTTTCTGAAAAAATTTCCGTCGGAAATTTTCCGGGAATATTTCTAACAATTTGTAAACTTGGAGCCAATTTTACTTCTAACTTCTATGAACATACACAAAAAATCGTTGGTTAATTTCTGATTTTCGGTTAATTCGGAATACCAGAATACCATATTATTGAAATTAGACAGAAAATACTTACACTTACTTATTTTAATCTTTGTTAAGTCTACAATCTACATAATAGAGAGCAATACAAGACTCATAAATTGCCTCTTTTTCAAATTTAATATGAATTTTGATAGTTGAACCAAAGTACAATTACATTTTAAAACTAGTATAATTATTTAATGTACTTACTATTTGTTTGTTAAAAAATAAAGATAAATATTGTATACTGTATAGTGTTTACACACTGTAACTCTCAGCATGTAATTTTTTCTAACGGATGATTAATACATAATTTATATTTTTCCAATATTTATACCAATATAAATAAAAATGTATATGAGTATTTGGTCTTTTTGGAAAGCTGATGACATCTAGAACACAATACAAAACCCAAAAAAAATTTTTTGAAATTTTCAGAAAATTTCCGGAATTTTCAATGGAAACTTTCCAGGAATTTTCATAATTTGGGAATTTTCCCATCTCTAATTGACGGTTTCCGAGACATTTTGATTTTTAAGCAAAAATTGACATGTGCAGACTGCCAGCAAAATTTAGTTTTCCCGGAAACATAGGTTTATTTTTTTGTGCAAATTGGAAATTTTTTAGAGGATGATCTAATTTATCGAATTTGATATGAAAATTTTCCAGTTTTTATACAGGGTGATCAAATTTTTTTATTGAATATGTAGTTCAGAAAATGTGAAAAACTCGAATTTTTAAATGGAGACCCCTAATTTTTTAAACGTATTTGCATTCTGCACTAAAATTAAGTGTAACTTTGTTAAAGTTTCCCTTTAACTAAACCCAGTGGTTTTCATTTTATTTACGAATAAATATTTCCCTTTTCTTAAAATGTTTCCATTTGTTTTGCACATTTTAGGTTGGCCGTGATAGGTACGTAACGATCAACATGACAACTGTCACAGGTTTATAATTGTCAAATTTACTTTAATAAATAAATGTTCAAAATGTCTTGCTTCAACTTCTTAATTTCTAAACATTTTTCACACCTTCGGACTAGTTCCTTGTGGGTCGCTGCTCTAATAGAATGCGGTGATAGATGCTCAAATGCTTGCCTTATTCTATGCATAGAATTTTTCTTTACTGTTATTGGAGTACTATACACACTATTTTTAGTGTCCCAAATAAAATAGTATATATCACCGGATTCTATTGGAGCAGCGACCCACAAGGAACTAAATAAATTTGACAATTAAAAACCTGTGACAGTTGTCATGTTGATTGTTACTTACTTGTCACAGTGTACCTAAAATGTGCAAAACAAATGGAAACATCATTTTAAGGAAGGGGAATGTTTATTCGTAAATAAAATGAAAACCACTGGGTTTAGGTAAAGGGAAACATTAACAAAGTTACACTTAATTTTAGTGCAGAATGGGAATACGGTAAAAAACTTAGGTTTCCATTTAAAAATTTCGAGTTTTTCACATATTCTGAACTTCAAATTCGATAAAAAAAATTTGACCACCCTGTATAAAACCTGGAAAATTTTCATATCAAATTCGATAAATTAAATCTTCCTCTACAAAATTTCCAATTTGCACAAAAAAATAAACCTATGTTTCTGGGAAAACGGTCTGCATGTCAATTGTTGCTTAAAATTCAAAATATCTCTGAAACGGTCAATCCTAAGTATGGAGTGTGCTACATGTTTTCAACTTAAGAATAGATGCTCTTTCCAAAAATGCAATAATATACAGGGGGCTCCATTTAAAATAAGAAAGTTAATATCGGCTTCCGGTATAACCAGAAGTACGATGACCTTGAAAATATTTTAGCTTGGTAGGCCCCACGGTCCGTATCACACCATCACAATTCCAAAAAAATCCTTCGAGCAGTTTCCCAGACATCTATCGCTGGAGTTCGTGTTAGGAAACCCTGTATTTCCATACAAAATGCCACTCGGTATTCACGGTACATTTTCGGAAGTATCCCCCACGAGTAAGGAGCTTCGACTGTATTTATTAAAAAATCTTACCTATCAAAGTACAGTTCTGAATAATTTTTAAACGCGAACAGTTAAAGAAGTTCCGAGGGAAAAAGGCCAACAAATAAGTCGAAAATATCTACAAGGGAGCTTTGAAAATAGTGTTAAGTAACGACTTTCCATTAAAAAAAATTGAGTCGTAGTTTCTATATGTTTTTCTGTATTTACCATCTAGCGTTTTTCTTTGTGAGACAAAAATATCAACAAAAAAAATTGAAATTAAAATAAATATGCAGAATTATTTATTCGCAAACTTGCCACTCTAGTATTTACGAATAACATAATTTGTTCATTCTGAACAGGAAATCAACTACCCAGTGTTGCACAGAGGTCTTAAATCCTAACTAAAAAGTTAAATATACATTTTTATTTAGACTTTACATAAAAAATATCTGAAATATGTGATGCCCTATTAGTTATATATTTTGTATTGGTGATTGCCGGGTGGTGGCGCGAAAGAAGTGAGTGGAGAGATGTGCGCGAGTGGACTAGAGAGAGGAACGGCCGTGGCAGTGGGGAAAAATCAGTGGCCGTGGCCATATGTGGAACCACAATTCGCCAAAAAAACAATAAAGAAATCGCCTTATTGTTAAAGACAAAATACCACAAACAAGTATTAGTAATAGTGTGGAAGTTGTTGTGAAACTGTATTTAAAAATAAATTACCAAAGTTGGTATAAAAGATTATCTAGGAAATATTTCTTTCCCCTCCAGTTCAAGAGCCCGAAATACATAAGAACTAAAGAAAAAAAAAGAAAAAAGTTCATCTCAAATATCTTTATAAAAATGTTTATGGCCTCTTTCGACAAAATTTGGGGTTTACAAAATCCACGAGTAACTTAAGAAACAAATGCATCCACAACGTGGTACAGATTTTGGACTAGAAGCATCATTGGAACATTTTTCTTCAAAAATGTGTCTAGTCAGGCAATAAGTTAATGGTGCACGCTATCGTGACATGATAATCCAGTTTTCTATTGCTAAATTGCAAGATGTGGATGTAGACGGTAGACGACATGTGCTTTCAACAAGCCGGTGACACATGCTGTACAGCCCAAGAAACAATTCAATTACTGCAGAAGTAATTTCCTGGTTATGTAATTTCCCGTTTTGGTGATCAACTGGCGACTCAAATCATGCGATTTAATGCCGTTGGACTTTTTTTCCTTAGTTAGGGTTTTTGAAGTCTAAAGGTTTATGCGCCAATAAACTTACGACCACCCACCCCATTTATGCAAAACGGTCATGGAAAATTTCGACAAAAGAGGGCATATGTAGAAGCAAAGCCATGCAGGCCCGACCCCATATACTGTTCCATACATAACCCTGAGCACATACATTTTATGAATTTATAAAAAAATTTACAATTTTTAATTAAAAACCTGCGTTTTCTATCAAAATTTTCTATCACGCCCTGCGTGAATTTATAAACAATCTGATAATTCAATTCAATTAATTTGGATAATCAAACGAAACTGTAAACACCGTAAACGAAATAAAAATTCACTAACCTTTTGAAGACAAATTCTTTGCGAGTATGACTTGTGTGGGTACTCCACGGTCAACGCATCCCTTCTTTTTAATTGCCGAGTACCGATCTTGTGAGGCGTTTGGTACAACACACATTATCATATGAGGGTTGTTTTTCGTTATTATATTCTCCATTTGATCTAAATATGTCTGTGATCGATCATCTGGAATATCAAAAATCCTGGGCTGACCTATGTCCCAGCTCATGCCCCTAGCCGAACGCTGGAGACACTGTACAAACTCTTGGCAAGGTCCCTTGAATTTCGAAGGGCAGATGATGGCAAACTTTTGCATCACTCCAGGTACAAACATAGGAAGAGCTCTTAATTCTTTGGTCCAATCTGCTTGATTTCCTGCTGAATATTTGGCGTTGTTTCCTACAAAGCACATTTGATATATATTATTAATCACCGTTTATAAATACAGAGCACATAGGCACTAAGTGCAAAAATGTGGAGTGCGATTTCTTCTTGAAAATTGAATATTAACGGAGTTACATAAAATTCAAAATTTTTATTTTATTGATTATTTATTGTCTTCAGTGCACAAAAAAAAATTTCAAAACTTTTTTGCGTTTTTTCATTTATTAAAGGTTATTAAAATCGAATGTTCTCTTGTTAATCATTTCCGTGAAAAAATATATTTTATGCTTTTCGACAATATTTTTAACGATTGTTTCTGTCTAAATCCCGATAAATTATTATTTTTAACTTTCACAATTTTTATAAATCAAACGATATTCAATTCTGAGGTAGATTTACGAGCAATTACATTACATATTTAGATCCACTACTCACTAAACTGCTAGTCAAATATTAACAAAAAACTAAAAAGATCAACAGAATCAAAATTATTAGTTTCACAACTTATCAGTCCAGTTCCAATATTACTGTAGAAAAAATTAGGAGTTTAAAATTGTAGCAAGAAATTTAAATTGTGGAAAAGTTTCAAAAGTTTCATTTTTTACAAGATTTTTAAACTGCCAAAAATATCAATTTTAAATTTCATACGAATATTCACTGCCTCAAAGATATGTGTGTGATTGTGCAAACGCAAATAGAACCGTGGGCTGATATTTCCATACAGGGGCAGTTATTTACTATTTGTCACATCCCCGTTACAAATCCAAAATCTTAAAACCTGCTGAAATATTGGCCTCCATATTTGATGAAACTTGTGTAACTACAACTATTGAAGAAAATAGTGATGGTGATTTAGCTCCGATTTTAAATAATTCTGATTGTAGTTATACGGGGTGATTCAAAAAACCGCTGACAGACTTCTAGGGTAGATAATACATAAAAAATTAAGACGAAAAGTTTTAATAAACATAGGGTCGCAAATGCCTCCTTAACGAGATACAGGGTGTCAAAGTTTCTGTAAAATTAAACATTGTCTGCAATAATTCCAAAATGCCTAAACATTTCTATTTCAAATTTGCTATGCGTAGTTAGCACCTTAAGACCAATGTTTGATGTACAGCTCAAAATTTTATGAGCAGCAGTGTCGTAGAGACGGGGTCAACGTCTCTTTTTTAAAAATATTTTCTACGCCACTGCTAATTTTGTCAAAAGGGCACTATTTTCGTGTAGTGTTCAATTGTCTATGGAATTGGTCTCTTGCAAAATTTGGATTAAAGCAACCATTTTTAAGAGAAACCTTTGTAGAGAATTTGAGAATTTGTCCAATTTTATTTTCATTAAATTTAGTTTCGCATAGTAGGCTTGTGCTATTCAAAATAAAATTAAACATCGCCTGTCACTAATGTCAATGTGTACAAGTGAGTTAAAACTAGATTATAAGCTTCTTTTTGTCATTTTTACGCTTTAATTTTATGGAAACTTTGACGCCCTGTATATCATTAAGGAGGCATTTGCGACCCTATGTTTATTAAGATTTTTCGTCTTAATTTTTCATGTATTACTTACCCTAGAATTCTGTCAGCGGTTTTTTGAATCACCCTGTATATACTTTAATGATTGTTTCTGTCAAACTAAACATCTGGATTTTATTTTTTTTATCTATGTTCCACCAATTCGATTCTTCTGTAATTTTTATATACTAGAAAGCTAGGGAAGTCCGCTGCACCGGACTTGACCTTTCACTCCGGCCTTCGGCCCACGAACCCGAGCTCCGCGGTGCATTCCCTGTGGGTCTGTAAATAAATAACATTTTTCAGAAAAAAAAAAAATGAGACCCTCCTGCAATTCCAACCCCGGACCTTCGGCTTCGCAGTCGGGAGTTTTCAAAATGAACTACGGCGATCTTACGCTGGGTGGAGCCTGCACGGGCTATTTGAAACCTTGGGTCTCCGCGAATGTAAACAGAAAATTGAAAATGTTCAAATCAAAGTAGCGTCTCTAAAAGATTGGAACCGGTGCTTAGCGGCAGAATAACGACTCACCGTGGCCCGATCGGCCGGGAAAACGTGTTAAATGGCAAAATTTATTTTGACGTCTTCACTGATGTTTGTCTCCATTTCCGTTTAAATATCGGATATGCTTTGGTTATCTCTCTCACACCGAAAAATTTCGATTTTCGGCAAGGACTCTTTTGAAAGTGGAAATTTCACATAGAAGGCGCGAACAGATCACCTTCAGAATACGACGTTGGGATAAAAGAAGGACCGAGGGGGGCCCCTCAGCTCACAGCATGGCTCACGAAGAAAGAATTTGATAAAACCATACGCCTCTTTTTGCAGTCGAGTGTGGGAGCGAGAGTAACCTTCAACTTATAATATACAGCATGTCCCGCTGTAATGTCCGGAAGAAGGAAAAGTTCTTTATTTGTGGGATTACGATAAAAAGTTACTCTTTGTAAAAACTTCTGCGTGTTCCAAAACGGTCAAAACTGTTAAAATATTTGTCATTTGTCAGCTGCTCGCATTAAGAAAAAAATTAAAATTTAATTTTAATCCCCTGATCCTAAATGACATCCCTGATATTTTTCGATATTGTCAAAAATAACAGTACTTTACTCTTAGCGACTAACAATATTTTTCTAAATAACACACATTTCTGAACACCCTATATAAAAAATGACAAATATCTTAACAGTTTTGACCATTTTGGAACATGCAGGAGTTTTTACAAAGAGTAACTTTTTGTCGTAAACCCACAAATAAAAACCTTTTCCCTCTTCTGGTCATTACAGAAACAAATAAGTCAAGCTAACTGGGGGGCAGAAGTCTGATTAAGTGTCAAGATGTTTTAGACGAAGTACAATAAATTCAATGTAACAAACTCTTCATTAGACGCTGGTGCAGTTTTTATATGCTTAATCGGCTATACCATTTGAATTACCTAAAAATGTTACAAAATATTAATTTACGAAAAAATTACTTCAAGGCTATGTAATTCCATTAATATTCAGTTATCGAAAAAATGCTATAGTGACTTTACCATTATTTTTATGAGCTAATAACCTTCAACCTTTTGCTTATAGTTTTCCAATGTTCACTTTTATGTATATCGCAAAAAAAACTTACCTCCCACTATGGTCTCCGGTGGTAATACTCTGCCCGTGAATCTCACCAAGGAATCGGCAACATTCAAATCCCATCTTCTTATCTCATTCATACAATCCTGGGAGTTTCTCATTCTGCGACTGAACTCCATCAGTTTTTCGATACGACCCTGCGGACCGACACGGGTGTGATCGGCTAATGCTCTCATTAAATGGAAATTTTCGCGCTGCCTATCAGTCAACCCGGTCAACTGACACAGTTCCGGTACCAATAGCACAGTTTCCGGCATGCCGGCTCTTATCTCCCTCGGTTTGCTTCTCGATACCAACATCGGCTGATCCTTTACTTGGACGTTGATGTTATACTTCTGGTTGCAATATTGTATGAATGACATCTGCGAACCGTCACGCATCGTGAAAGTACTTTCCGGAGTCTTCGAAAAATCAACATCGTCGATTCTGTACGTCTTGTTGTTGTAGTAGGTAAGTACTATGCTGCCGATGATCTTCGACTGGAACTCTTTTCTCATGTTGGCTCCACGACATTCCAATAACATGTCGTAAACGTTGTCCATGCGCATCACTTTGAACTGAACATCGCAGTTCATCAGAATGTCTCTTTCGTGTTGGCGCATAGACGTGTAGTATCCGGGCCACAGTTCCATTTTGTGCTCGGGTAGGCTTATCTAAAACATCGTTGAGCTGGTGTTACAATAAGCGTATACCAAAAAATAACAAATACACTGTTTATATGCAAATACCAAATTAGGAACTTGTTTATTTTTTGAGTGCCTACGCAGAATGTTCCGATATTCCATGCAAATAACCCAAGTTCTTGGAATCAAATTAAGACAATTTAATTAAATTTAACCTCCACTCAAGACACTTTATTTAACCGATAAAGGGCGTTAATGTTGGTAAAAAAATATAAATTTTTTACCACACGTTTCTAAAATGGTTTGATATTAATTTAATTTTGTGTGCTAATTTTGCGTATAAATGACATTTTTTGACGTAATAAATATGCAGTTTAGTGCATCTAAAAATGCATGTGGGCAAGACAATGCTGTCATATTTAGAAAATGGTGTTAATGTTGTCATTTACCAGGCACGTAAATATGAAACTGGAATTTTTGAATACAGGGTGTTAGAAATTGGTCTGCTTTAATTTTAACTGACGACAGAATACATTAAAAGAAACAAAAAAAAAACTTATATGACATGGGTCCTAAACTCAACCATTTCCGAGAAAAAAATTATCATAGTCTATAACTTGATGTACAAAAGTTCGATTAATTAAGGAATATTGACATTATTGCGTGCACAGAATACCATAAAATACAATGTTTATCACTTTTTTTGAACTTCTTTATGTAAGCACTCTAAAAAATAATTAGTGTTGTAATAAATTTCATATTACAATGTGACAACGGCGCGGCGGATAACACGAGGTACTAAGTTGTCCAGCATTACGCAATTCAATTGGTATCTGGAATTGGACCGTGTCTGAGTATTTTTTGTGTACCACTATTTCCTTTCCTCGAGGTGTTTTCCAGTGAGTGGAAAATTGGATTCGAAGGTGTCGTGCGTGCATCAAAAATGGTGATGGACATTTTAAGCATATGTTGTAGTTTGTTTTGTACTTGTGCCTTTAAAAATTACTGAATTTTGCTTGTTTGTAAGTACCTAAATTATTTTTAATACGTATGATTATTTGGATGACGTGAATCTTTGGGTACTTTAATTACATATTTTTTAAATTCATAATTTGATTAAAAGACACGTTCCTGTTTTATGAGATTCGTAATTACTAAAATTCGAGTTAAAATTTAAACACAATACAGACTTTATACTACAAAATCGATACATTTTATTTTATTTATTTAAAAATTGGAAAACAATTGTCTTGAAATTTACTAAATGTTTCACAGTAATAGAATAGAATACACTTTATTGACTTTTATACATACAATAGTTGTTTACATTTTTTCCGTAGGATAAGTCTGCTGTGTGCACATGTGGTATGCACCAGACGTGTAGCGTTAAGTTAAACGCTGTTGTCACGTTGTGATGAAACTCCCCAATATTAATACTCTCTGTATTTTTAAAACTGTTAATCTTACAGTCCTGTAATATACAACTTTTTTGTTCATTTATGATTACTCTATCTCATGCTGAAATAGTGGCAGTCAAACTTCTTACACCCTGTAGAAAACACATGTTTATTGTATGAAAATGATAGAAAACCTTTTATTTAAAATATTGTCCATTACTAGCTATACATTTTTCCCATCCGTCTGGTATTTTGTGGAAGTCGTGCCGAAAAAATTGTTACGCTATTGAGACAAACCAGCATCCAGCCATTTTTGTAAATTTTCATAAGAAAAATGCCGCTCTCGGGAAGTGCGTGTCCCTTCAATACAAATAAGTGGTAATCAGACTGAGCCAAGTCTGGTAAGTAAGCCCCATGTGAAAGTATTTCCCTTGACCAGTTTGGCCGTGTGTGATGGTGCATAATCATAAAGCAAGATCACTTTGTGTTACATTTTTTGATGTTCTGGTCATTTTTTACGCAAAACTTGATTCAAATCAATCATTTGTTGTCGGTAGCGTTCAGTATTAACGATTTCATAACAGCTCATAAAAGATCACACCCTTCTGATCCCACCAAACACAAAGCATCGTCTTCCATCCACAGCGATTTGGCCTTGTAATTTCCAGGCACAAAAATCGACATGTTCAAAGCTTAACAAACTATGTTGGAGTAAGGAGCTTCCATTGTTGTTGGGAGTTAAAAATTTTTGTCAGATCTAAACAAAGCAAATGGTACCAATGACGCGACTTGACGGTAACTACATTGACAAAAAAAATTCTATTTCAGTTTTTTTTTAATTTTTATAACCAACAAACACATCTTTCACCGTTCAATTAAATGATATTTTTTATATTGTGGGGGACTTACCCTGTACAAGGAATATTTGGTCTACCTATGAGAGTTAATTAAGTTTGTCATTTCAACAGAACAAGTACTTACCCTTGCATTTGGGTCGAAGTAATTCCTGCCGACCAACTGGAACTGCATATAAGTCAGGCATTTTCTGATTATAATATTAAATAGTTGGATATAATGGTTGTCAGTCCAGGCCACGTCTCCTACCAATCGAATGGTTATCCTGACATTTTCACCGTTGGCGGTTTGTACAAACACTTCCAACGGATCTGGCTGAATACGAGTTGTCGTATATAATACTGTCCCGTCGAATAGATATCCAAGTATCTGAACGTTTTGCAGGCCGGTGCGAAGCAGAGCCTTCTTTTGTCCAGTATGATCAATTTCTGGGTTGAAATCTACCCGGTACTGGTTAAGGCTCCACTTGCCGGCTTGTATAAGGGCGAAGTAATTCGCGCTTAGCTGAATCTGCTGCCCAGAACTTCCTAAATAAGAAATCAAATTTTTACCCCATATTTATTATATATTATTTAAAATAATTAAGAAGAATTAAACCAACAACTAAACAAAATACCGATGATTGTTTTTAAAACATTTTGTAACATTCACTATCGGCATAACGTGAACGTCACAGTTTTTTAGCAATATCATTCATTTACAACAATTAACACCTTGAGATCCGAGCATTTGTCAGTAAACACCGCAAACACAAACATGAGCAGAGCAATAATGTGGACGGTTCGTAATAGGAGCATGTCAGTGTATCAATCAGCATTCTGTAAATTTTGGGTGTGATCATAAGATGGAGTGAAGAAAAATGTTTAGATTTAATCGAATACAAAAATACCCCGATTTTATTGGATCTAAAAGATTATTACTTTTATAAAAAACATTTAAAATGAAGATGTCTAGGTGACTATAAGTGATGTACTAAGTCCGCCTACAATTGCTGCAAAATGTAAACAAATATGTTACCTATATGTTCCATTAATCTACCAACGAGGGTTTGACAAACATGTCAAAGTCACAGCTAATTGTCTTGCACTGAAATAGCTTCCCTAAAGGTATCTTTTTTGAATTCTTGGTCTCACTAGATCGATTATATATTCAAAATCTGAAGAATCAATGTGTGTAAAATTTTTGTAATTGATTGAAATTTCAAATCTGAAAGTAAAGCAGAGCCATTTCTTTGTACAAAACATGTTTTCAAAATCTTTGTGAACATTTATAATCTTTCACTATATTATGTATAAAATATACACCATGTCTCAAGATGATAGAACAAAATTTATATTTCTTTTCCAATTTTTTGTCACTTTTCTGAATTATTTTCAAGTTTTTTTGACCCACATTTTTTTAATAAGACACTATATTTTATAGTATAAATAGATAGCCCTTTTAAAGACGAATTCAGCGATATAAAGTTATACCTTACTTTTTTGCCATAATTGTCACTATAAAATATTCTTATTAAAAAAATGTCGGTAATGTTATAGGTCTGTCAAACATAGGTCAAAAAAATAGAAAATATTGCACAAAAGTGACAATTTCTATTTACTAATTGACCTGTTTCAGCGATTTATTTAAATTTCAAATGGAGAAAAAAATTTTGTTTCATCATTTTGGGAACAGTGTATAAGCAGCACTTAGCAGTATAGTTCTTCCGAAGTCAGTTGAATATGCAAAAAAACGTCTGGTAATAAAATTTAATGAGATTCATAGGCGTCCCTAACAAAATTTTCTGCTAAAGGTAAAAAATCATAATAATTTGTATATGTGTAGAAAATTTCTATTATATGGCCAACAACATATTTTAATTATTTATGTTCTCAAACAATTTTATTGATCATTATATTGGTGATTACATTATTGATTATATTGGTGGTAAATTTCGTTTTGTTCAGTTTCAAAAGATCTCCAAAATGTCGTGATAATATTAGTAAACAAAATATCCCTCTTATTTCTCCCTTTCTCAATTATTGTAATATAAAAGATTGATAGAAGGTGCCTATAATAAATTAAAATTACCTGATTCACTCCAAATTCCGCATTGCTGCACTGCACTGCTGGGCAATTTATGAACCATTTGTCGTCTGCTGTGATTTATTGCCCAGTAGCCCAATACAACTGTAATCGTTTTCTTTTACCCGCGCTCGCATTCTTCAACTGAGCGTCTACATTTCCATCATCATGTTTAATTCGACCAGACCTGTTTATCGATATGGCTAAATAAATATGGGAACAAGTTTTTCAAATATTTCAATGCCGAGTTGCTGCGTAGCGAGCGAGCCTGGTACATACCTTGACGTTATTAATTCTTCAATTGACTTCGGAAAAACTATACAATGGCTCGCGTACACATTGTAAGCTGATACTGACTGGTATAGTAAATTTGCTTCAATTAAAGAGAATAGCTTTACCTCAGATAAATCACATGTAATTTGGAAATCCATCTTTAAAGATAATGCCAGTTTGTTAAAGATTTATTAAAGCTTCGTTGTCAACCTACTCCGTGACATTGTGCAGAATACCCCCAACACAATATAGTGAGAAATATACATCTAGAATTTTTGTGTGCAATTTATTCTCCAATCCGTACCTACAGGGTGAGCAAACTATTATAAGGACTAAGAGTCATTTTATTTGTAGGTTGGCATGCCATTCATTACAACTGAAATAAATTTACACCTTATTCACTTCCTCTTTGCCTCCGCTACAAGAGCTGCCGTTTCACACTAACTATAAGTTATAATTTAAACTTGAAAACAAAATCAGTTACTGCAAAGAGAGGAAAACTGAAACGTTACCTTGTTTCGACTCAAGAGTCGCCGGTCTGGTGCGAGTAATTTCTCCACGAATTGTTGTTCTACCACGGACTCCTCCATTCCCGGCACCACGGCTTTTATCTTGAGTTCCACTTCCTTCCGCTGCTCCTTGCAACACTATATTGAACAATTTATTTTAGCATACATACTGATCACTGATAGGGTGTCCTACGAGGAGGTATGCAAATTTTATGGGAACATTGAGCGGGTAAAAATGAGTAAATTTAATTGAATGCCTATTCATACCTAAAAAACGTTACTTCTAGATCAAGGTTATACGAGTTTTTTGCTTATTTTAACCCGACGAATATTCCTTAATTGTGTACTACCTCGCGACACATCTTTATATTCTGATGGGGTATGCACATTTTTTAGATACAAAGCTGGAAGATTGATGAACTCTGTTACCTTTATTCCAAAAAATGAAAAAGTTACTGCGAGTTAATAATATATTTTACCTCTCTGTTGCTCTACGATAGCTTCTGTGTCTCCACCGCCTCCTGCCCCTTGCCGAGAACCACGTCCAACCAGAGGCTAAAGCAAAAATTGATGTAATATAATTCAGTGTTTCTATAATTAATAAATCTTCAAAACCAACCAAAATCCGATAGATAAGTTATCCATATATTGAAAAAAAGACATTACAGTTTAAAAAATCAGCAATGTGTAGGTATTAGTATTCCTTTGACTAGGTAAGCAATTGACAATATCAAATAAGATTACAGTAATTTTGCGAGAAATATTTGCTGTGATAATTATTCAACAATAAAACTTGGAAGCAAAATAAAATGAAAGCAATTATATCATGTAAGTAAAGATATTAGATTTTCAAACAATAAGGGTAAAAGTTTAATATAGAGGCCACTATTTTTTACATAAGAGAGGTATAGTTTTTTACACATCATGTCTAGCATGTCTATGCGCTTTAAACGAGGTAAATAAAAACACAATTTATTTAGGGTGTTATGGTCTTTCGGGTTGTTACGCTGTGGCTTATGTACCTGACAAGTTAGTTACAAACTTATAATACACTTCCTTAGTCATAGCTAGGAATCTATGAACTGCCCTTGTTGTTTTCGGGTTAGGCTCCATGGAAGCAGACTCCCTATCAGAAACCCTAGGTTTGTCCTGATATTAATTCCATTTTTTTTTTTAATTTCAATGACCGTAGCCAATATCCATAGATATCTAAAATATGACATGGTTTGCTGAAAACCACTAGATAGCACATATTCCAAAGATTCACATCTTGATATTTTCATTTTAAAATTTTATGAAAATTTCATTACTATTCAAACATTTTGTTGTTTACTCATCATTAAAGAAAGTTAAAATTGAATCAAAATTTGTGAGTTTATATGTCTGAGTACTGAATTTTAAAGAAAAAAAAATCTAACAAATTCGGTGATGCTATTACAAAAGGTTGTTGGCATCAAAGCAGTTCAGTAGATGTCCGGGCTAGCATTGTTGGTGATCACCAAATACGGACTTTTTACGTTCTTTTTTGTTATCAAAATTATCTAAATTTTAGAAAAAATAAATTGTACATTCTACTACAAGATATGCCTTTAAGATATCAAACAGGTGGATTGGTAGAAAGTGTAATCCACTTGTTTTTGGTGTGATTTAGTCACATGTTTACCAACAGTTGACAAAAATACACTTAGATTTGCCGTAAAAAATAAATTTTCAGATAATAAAAAAAAATAAATTTTTTTTTTATTCAATTGTAAAGCAATTAAACACACAAAATGCAATAATTCAAGCCCTATTTTCTCAAAAAAAGTAGCTTGTAAAAAAGTTCAAAAGACAACTTGGTTTTTTAACTTCCCATATTTTACTAAAATCAAAACAACCGAGGATAATACAGTAAAACCTTGCCCTTCTCAGATTTAAATTTACGCGGTAGCCATCCATGTCACATTTTCTTTGTCATTCGAGGGACATTTGCTTTGTCGTTCCGAGTCCGAATTTTACACATAATTCTACAGATGAAAACCTGATTATGAGAAACTGTAAAATCATAAGTGTACATATGCAAGAATTTACATAACAAATTCTTGGCCTTGTCTCAATTCATCAATTTTCAAGGATAGTATAAACACACTTGAAGTTACATATTTATTGCATTCTCCATAATAGGGTCCAAAGCAGTGCATATGTATGAGCAGCTTTTAAAGTGCTAGCTTGACGATTGATGGTTGGGACTATGATTTTAACTTAAAAACTAAAATCATGTTGCTTTGAATTTAGTCTGAAATTTACGGTCGCGTAGCTTAGAAAATGTATTAAATTCTTTGCATTTCTTTCAATTTTTAACACATAAATTAACAATTGGGAAATTATGTCCTTAAAACGCAAAGCTTCTGCCATGGACTGTCTATAAAAAGACCCAGAAAAGTATTATCTTTAAGTGATAAAATTAAAATTTTAGACAAACTGAAATGTGGCTCAAGTGCTGCGTCTGTTGCATCTGAATATGGACTAAATGAATCAACTGTCCCATATATTAAAAAAGCAGAAGACAAAATCAAATCTTCGGTACAAGCTTCAGATAAACACACCCTAAAAGCCGCTTATGTAAGCCATAGAAATCTTTATTTAGAGAAAATGGAAAAAATTCTCAATTTCTGGATAAACGAAAACAAACAAACAAAAATGCTCATGATAATTAGAACTAAAGCTGCAAGCATTTTTCAAGACCTTCAGGATTCTGTACCTCTCACAACAACAAGTAAAGAACCTGAGCTTACTTTCCAAGCTAGCAGGGGCTGGTTTGATAATTTCAAAAAACGTTTCAACCTTCACAATTTAAAATTGATAGGTGAATCAGCTTCCGCCGATCATGAAGCCGCTAGGACCTTCCCGGCTAAACTACCCGCGCATATTGAAGAGAAAGGATACCATCTGGATCAAGTATTTAACGCAGATGAAACGGACCTTTTTTGGAAAAAGATACCGACCAGGACGTATATATCACGAGTGCAAAAGTAGTAGCGGGATTTAAAGTTGCCAAAGATCGTTTAACTTTACTGTTTTATGGAAACACTTCTGGTGATTTTAAGTGCAAACCATTGATAGTCTATCGTGCAGAAAATCCTCGTGCATTAAAAAATAAAAAAAAATCTGAGTTGCCCGTTTTCTGGAGAGCCAACCGGAGAGCTTGGATAACTGCACAAATCTTTGAAGACTGGTTCCAAAACTGTTTCTATACTGAAGTAATAAAATATTTAGAGAACAAAAAAAGTGGCATTTAAAGTTCTACTTTTAGTAAGTGGATACACAACGAAGCTGATACAAACATTGAAGTAAAAAATTAAAGAGAAGAGAAATAATTAAAAATTTTTTAGAAATACGTAGACAAGTGGGGAGGGAAGGTTGCGAAAATATAAAGGCCAAAGATGTGGAAGAATTGACCCGAAATGAAGACGACAGTCTTACTTATATACAGAACTTGAAGAACTAACTCGACAAGAGTTCGTTTTGAGTTCAGAAGAGGATGAAGAAGAGCCCAGTGTTATGAATCCATTAACAACAAAAAGTGTACAAGGAGTGTTAGACAAGATGTCGCAGTTACAATGTGAGATCATTGAGATAGATCCAGATATGCAGAGGAGTATGGTTATTAGCAGAGGATTNCCTCGTGCATTAAAAAATAAAAAAAAATCTGAGTTGCCCGTTTTCTGGAGAGCCAACTCCGGTTGGTACAAGGAGTGTTAGACAAGATGTCGCAGTTACAATGTGAGATCATTGAGATAGATCCAGATATGCAGAGGAGTATGGTTATTAGCAGAGGATTGGATAACCTCTTTTCACCATACAAAGAACTTTTAAAAGAATTGGAAAACCATCAAATTCAGAAAACAATGACAGACTTTTTTCAGAAGAGGTCTATTCCAGAATCTGTCCCACCAAGTACACAAAATTAAGTTTGTAAGTGTTTAAGGATTTTTGTTTCTGAAAACTCATTTGCCTCATGTTTTAAAATCGATTCAATGTATGCTAAACCTTAAACAATTATGAAATTTAAAATTCATATGCATGCAGAAACATATAAATGTAGTATCTTTGATTTTGTTCCAGAATAAATATACATAAATATATAAATAACTGAATTCTGTTTCTGATATTTAATTCCGTTTTAAACACTAACACAAAGCGCTTCGAGGGAATCTTCTGGTACCTACTCCCCGCGAACGGCAAGGTTTTCCTGTACTAAAAATATTTATTTTTACTTCTTGTCGTCACTCTTGTGCATTTCAGTAACTTAGATTTTATTTCGAGATTTGTATTTCAAAGATGAATTAGATGTGATGAATGATTGACAGATAGAACAGAAATTGTCAAACTTGATAACAAATTTTAGATTTCAGGTATCGAAAAATGTTGTTTGATAGGATTTGTATTGGGGTACACATGTCTACAAGTGACCCATTTTTAAGTATAACGTCACGAGCGCCAGCCTAACACCAGACCAGTCTAATAGTTGCAAGGACAAAGAACAGACGCGGGATGCACACACCATGGTTTCAGGAAAAGGACCATGGCAGATTGGCGCTAGGGACTACATACATATATCTGCGAGCGGCTCCACAAAAGCCGACTCTCCAACGAACGCTTACCCCGACAACATTTATTTTCAATACACTTTGTTTTCAATAAAAATTCTTTTATTTTACCGTTGGGAGAGAGTTTCATTTTGCTGCACATCGAAAGGAATCCATCAGTTTGAATTAGCTAAATACTTTAATAAAGAGTAAAAAGATGTGATAGCTAGTAAGAAAATATAAGTATTTTGGCATTGACAAATGTACACTAATATTATTACTATTTCATATGAAAAGATTAGCTTGTACAATGTTAACCCCTAACGACTGGATTATGGAAAAACAATTTTATAAATTGTCGTCTGAATCTAAATTCGTTATTTAGCAATATAGTCTGCTAATGATAAGTTACAGAACAAGTCTGGTAATTCAAAATGTCTAGACAAAAATTCTGTACCAATCTAATTTTAATAATGTATGTATCTCATTCTTCCACAGGATTATGCCAACTTTCTTTAATTTCTTTTTTTTTATATTAATATTGCCCGTTTTGTTAAATCTATTCATGCAGCATACACATTTTTTTCCTATTCAATTTATGACGTCACATGTAAAACTGGTTGATTCTGCCTTGAAACTAGAAATGCATAATACTTCAAAAAATACCGGTACTGGCATATACTGTTTTGCTTAAAAAGTACCGGTTCTGCGCAATACCATATGAGAAAACACCAGTACACAAAAAAAACAACACATTCACTATCCGCATTTATTTAAAGATAAAAAAAAACGACATTTATCTATGGGTATTTTAGAATAAATATAAAATATAATATAAATGTTCCAAATATTACATTTTAAAAAAGATAGTGTATAGAAACACAAAAAACAGCATAAAAAAAAACAAATTAAATCGTAACACTTCTGATACCTTTTTTTACAATTAAAAAAAGTAGTAGTCGTGTCACTAACGTTCAAATACATCAACAACCAGGATTCCATACAACTGACTGAACTGCAATTGCTAGTCACATATATTTTAGCTATTTGCCGCTAGATTGTATGTTATTATCTTGAAAAAAATGCCGGTAATCAGTGAACTCTAGCTTCAGCATTAAGGTTCACATCACTGCCAATAGGCATTGCCAGAAAATGAACCGGACCATATTGTACCGTAAGCTGTAATATCAGCACAAAGTATTGAGTATCGAAATGAAAAAAACTGTTACTCAGAAAAATCATACTGTACCTTGCACCTCTACTTGAAACATTCATAAGAATCATTCTGATACAGTAGACTGTCATATTTAAAATATATTTTCTGTATATTGTATACAACTTACTCAGAGGCATGAGTTTTAAAAACTGAATTTAATAGTCAGAAATCGGAATTCAGATTAGAAATTAGGTTAAGGACATTTATATTCTCAAAGTTATCATATGTAGGTAGGTATATGTACTTTAATTTCAACTGTGATAACACTAGAATTTTATTTTAATAGGCTTTAAGATAATGTTAATTACAAAAATTAATAGAGATTATATCATTTTCTCCGAGATTATCTATTACTATGTTAAATTCATAACACTTACTGCTGGTGGAGCTTGCATCTGTGGCCTCACCCAACCTGGAGCTGCTTGTACTGGAGGGGGTTGTGCTTGGGGAGCAGGTGGTCTGCCCCAAGGAACTTGCTGACCAGGTGCTTGAGGAGGTGGTCCAGCGGGTCCTCGGGCTGGTCCAGGCCTAGGCCCCTGTTGCCCACCTTGCTGTACGGCACCCCTTGCTCTGCCTCTGGCACGACCTTTACCTCTAGGTTCCATACCTATAATTCGACACAAGTTAATGCTTTTTTCTCTTATAACTATGTAACAACTAATTATTTTGGCGATATATTTTTACATTATTTATTCAGGATGAAGTGAATTGTTTATAAAACATATTTTGTAAAAATCTACCTACTTGATTATGTTGAATAGTAGATATGGAATATAAGTGTGACAAATTCGGATATTTGCTACTGAATGGTAACGTTAAAATCTAATGAAAGATACTCATCTCCATTTTCCTAACTTCAATAACAATGGCGACCTACAATCAAATGACGAATGGCATAATGGCAAACTGGCGGCATTTTGCCGATAAAACAGGAATTTTAACGCGCGAAAATTTAAATTCCCAATGATCTGAAATATTGTCTATATTATTTACTTTAACTCCAAAATATTATTTTTGACAAAAACAAGAAAATTAAAGAATATTAGTCTACTATAAATGTTTATTAAAAATCTAGTGAAACGATAATGAAGATGTTTATTGTAGATACACGAAATTTAAGTAACAGAAATATCTAGGTACTAAAAAGCGCAAACAAAATTTTAGATTTTATATTTATTCAAAATACTTAGTTAAGAAAAAGCCCCATTGTATTATTTACAAAGTAAAAAAAAATTATGCACGACCTTCATGAATAATAGTTAATGGTAAACAGAAAATAAATTAACTTTAAACCTATGAACAGCAAATCATTAAACAAACTACATCTGGTACCGTCAAAGTATAAATCGTGCGCTCGACTCCACACACACCTGAGCGACGAAATAAATTTTAATAATGTCGCTGGATATATTTTGTTTATTTAGTAAGATAAGATAAAAATAATTATCGCTTGTTATTTAGTAACAATGTTCAAAGAGAATGATTCACCTGGCTTGCAGAAGTAACCTAAATCATTGAAAAAAAGTTTAAAATTATTGGAAATTCAAGTGCAATGGTGAAAATGTGTTAACAATTATACGTGAAAGTGTGTACCGTTTCGTATTATCAACAAAATGAGTTCAACCCAGACCAGACGAGAGGGGCATAATGAGGAACTCGTTATCGATGGAGTTTTGAGTACCCAACCCGAACTGGGTCCTAGCATACCTGACGGCGGTTACGGTTGGGTCGTTTTCTTAGCAACATTATTTTTCCAAGTAGGTACAAAAAATAAATAGTATATAACCCGATAAAAATAAATAAATTATCACTACCTATTACCAAATATTCAAAATAAAAGTTATTACCTCGTTACTAACTTGTTACACTTATTATGTACTAAAAAACGTTTTGTTTACTAAAGTATACGGGTCGATAATAGTGAAAGTAAAGAAACTCGAAACCTAATAAGTAGTGGTAAACTAGCAAAACGATTAAAAATTCCCTGTATCGCTTTAGCATTAATTGATATCAGATTGGGACGTAATTTAACTACATGTTTTGATAATAAAAACGGGGAGAATGATAAGGGACTATATCTAAGGTCACAGGGACACAGCTTAAGAAGTTTTGTTATTTGAAAGGTACAAAAATTTTAGATATTTTGGTACTTAGTTTGTAATATAAGGCGGAGTGAAAAACTTGAATCTATAAAAAAATGATTGGTAATAAGACTAATAAGACTGATTGTGAATAACCGTTTATTGAGATCATAATTTTATTATTAAACAAATTTATTTTTTTAAAATAAGGAACCATCTTATTGGGAAAACCCATGTTTTGATAAGAAATATTTTTCTTTAATTTTAGTATCAAATTCCTAATATGTCCTAGGATGATGAAACGATGATCATCTAAATCCACGCCATAGATAAATAACTGATGCATGAGTACTAGTCAGACAAGTAGCTAAAATTGCACATATACAGGGTGTATCTAAATAACACCGACAAAATTCAAGGAGCGATTCTCCGATGAAAATTAATAGGGGTCTTTGGTATAACATTTTTTGAAAAAACCCTTCCCTGAAAAGTTACGCCCCTCCTAAAATTACAAAAAAAAATTGTATTTCTTTTTTATCTTCCATGTACATCAAGCTAAAGAAACCAAACTTGGTGAACATTATCTGTCAATAAAACTACACTTTTTGAATTTTTTTCAACCCTGAACTATTTTTGTAAGGGGTTGAAATAATCAACCCCTATGACATTTTTTCTTATAATTTTTTTTTCGATAAAATTTTTTCCTTTTAAAAAATATGTCTAAAAAACCCCATTCATTTACTAACTTTTTGATCTCTTCAAGTTTCTTCGAAAAGTTAAGGATTTATGACAAAAAAAAAAAAATGTATTGTAATGTATTTTTAAAAAGATGAGCTGTTTAACGCGAGTGTATTTTGCCGAAAGATCTAGTGGCCTGTTCTTTACAATGGAATCCGTAGAAACAAATGTCAATGTCATTTATTGTTACTGTTTCTTACTATTTCACAAGTTTCATGATTTTGTGTAGAAAATATTAGTTAATAAACCGAAAATATGGTTAACTATTCGAATTTAGAAATGGCAGATATGCATTTTACATATGGGTATGCTAACGGTAATGCATTGGAAGCGCAAAGACTTTATGCTGAACAGTACCCAGAGCGTAGATTACCCCACCATACTACGTTCACAAATATTCACCAACGCTTGCGGGAACTTGGAAAATTTGAAAAGAGAAGTCATGACTGTGGCCGTAGCCGAGAAGTTAGAACTGAAGCTGTCGATGAAGCCGTACTTAATTTAATTGAGGAATCCCCAGAAACTAGTACCAGGAAAATAGCTCGTGTCCTAAATGTAAGCCATTCGGTAGTTTTTAGAATTTTAAAAGAACAACAGTTATATCCCTATCATCTCCAACGGGTGCAGTCGTTACTGATTCGAGATTTTTTACCACGTGTGGTTTTTTGTCAATGGCTTATTAATATGATCGGCCAAGCGCCGCAGTTCTTAAGAAATATTTTATTTACTGACGAGGCGAATTTCTCAAGAGACTGTATTAGAAATTTTCGTAACAATCATATTTGGGCTGAGGAAAATCCTCATGACTTTTTTGAAGGAAATCATCAGTATCAATTTTCATTAAATGTGTGGCTCGGAATTATCGACGATCATTTAATTGGTCCCTATTTTCTTCCACGACGATTAGATGGTGACTCATATTGTCATCTTCTCGAAGAATTACCTATTATTCTTGAAGAAGTTCCCATTCAAATTAGGCAACGTTTATGGTTTATGCACGACGGTGCACCAGCCCACTTTAGTATACGTGCAAGACGTCACTTGGATGAGGTGTATGCCAATCGATGGATAGGTCGAGGAGGATATGTAAATTGGCCAGCCCGCTCCCCTGACCTTAATCCTTTGGATTTTTGCATATGGGGATATCTGAAATCTTTGATCTACTCAAGGCCAGTTGAAGATATCAATGATTTGCGAAACCGCATTGTAGCAGGGTGTGAAACGATAAAAAATTCACCAGGAATATTTGAACGCATACGCAATTCTATGAGAACAAGAGTAGATGCTTGTATTGAAGCTGAAGGCAATCATTTTCAACATTTTTTGTAGATTGTATTGTCAATATCCGACAGATTTTTATTTTTTGTTACTGTTATAACATTATTCATCATTTGTTCACTTTTAGTCTAAGTTCCAAACTTCTTAGCCTAGTAGAATCATAGGTCAACTATTTGGTTGAGTGTTTTTTAATAAAATGTTATTTAATATGACAATAAATGACATTGACATTTGTTTCTACGGATTCCATTGTAAAGAACAGGCCACTAGATCTTTCGGCAAAATACACTCGCGTTAAACAGCTCATCTTTTTAAAAATACATTACAATACATTTATTTTTTTTTGTCATAAATCCTTAACTTTTCGAAGAAACTTGAAGAGATCAAAAAGTTAGTAAATGAATGGGGTTTTTTAGACATATTTTTTAAAAGGAAAAAATTTTATCGAAAAAAAAATTATAAGAAAAAATGTCATAGGGGTTGATTATTTCAACCCCTTACAAAAATAGTTCAGGGTTGAAAAAAATTCAAAAAGTGTAGTTTTATTGACAGATAATGTTCACCAAGTTTGGTTTCTTTAGCTTGATGTACGTGGAAGATAAAAAAGAAAAACAATTTTTTTTTGTAATTTTAGGAGGGGCGTAACTTTTCAGGGGAGGGTTTTTTCGAAAAATTTTATACCAAAGACCCCTATTAATTTTCATCGGAGAATCGCCCCTTGAATTTTTTCGGTGTTATTTAGATACACCCTGTATATACCTATTTATTAAATGTAATTAGATGACAAAACGCTTAATAAAATCCCAATTTTAATTCATAACGTGTGCGATTGCTTACTTATTTGTTTATAAATATGTAATTAAACATTATAAATTTAATATACATATACGCAACAATTAGCATAGTAGGTACTAATTAATTATCTATACAGGGTAATTCATTAACAATGGGAAAATCGAAAGCTGAAGATACTACACGTGAAATGGTGACCATTGGCGCAAACATGCCTTATCCGAAAGTTGATAGTTTCGGAAATACAGGGCGTTGAAAGATAAAATTTTAAATCGTTTTTTTGCGATTATTCTGAAAATATGTAGGTTAGGAACTTAAAAATTTGTGAAACTATATTTTTTTAGGCGATGAATAAGATGCGTGTTGTAATTTCGGCATTGCTCATAGAGGGCGCCCTTCCGACCAATTTTACCGAAAATTTAGTTAATAACTTTTTACCCTGTGTGTCTAACATGAAACTTGATTCAAAACCTGAAAGAACAATAATTTTTCCATTAATTATGTATTCTTGTTTCATTTCGGTATCTCGATCCGTTTTCGAGAAAAATCGATTTAACGAACACTATGTTTTGATAATATGAGAAATTAAAAGCGAAACAAGCCAAGTGCTTCTTCGTTTCCACCGTTGACATTTACACACTTTACACGTTTTCTGAAAGATCTTCGAGTTTGAAACAACATATTGGGATTGCGTTTGACTTCGTTGGCAGCGATTTGTATTCTTTGCCACAACTCTTCACACGAACCAATAGATTCTTCCAAATAGAAAAATGAAGAGGATTGAAGTGCGGACTTCTGGGTGGCCAAGTAGAAATGCTTCGACGGCTTGAAGAAGTTCCACTTTATTTAAGAAGAGACATGCGGTTCATACACGACGGAGCTCCACCGCATTTTTCTTGGCCAGTGCGTGCATATTTAGATGCAGTTTTTCCAAATCGCTGGATTGGCCATCTACTAAGTATTTTTGCTTGGCCATCCAGAAGTCCGGAGTTCAATCCTATTGATTTTTCTATTTGGTCTCGAATAAAAGATATAGTTTACAAAGAATCTATTGGCTCGTGTGAAGTTGTGGCAAAGAATACAAATCGCTGCCAACGAAGTCAAACGCAATCCCAATATGTTGTTTCAAACTCGAAGATCTCAGTAAACGTTGTATAAGTGTGCAAATGTCAACGGTGGATTCTTCGAACAATTACTTTAAATCATAATTACGTATTATATTTGTTTTATTGTTAATTGTAATAACACGAAGAAACACTTGGTTTGTTTTGCTTTTAATTTCTCATATTATCAAAACATAGTGTTCGTTAAATCGATTTTTCTCGAAAACGGATCGATACCGAAATGAAACAAGAGTACATAATTAATGGAAAAATAATAGCTTTTTCAGGTTTTGAATCAAGTTTCATGTTAAATATACAGGGTAAAAAGTTATTAACTAAATTTTCGGTAAAATTGGTTGTGAGTGGCGTCCTCTATGAGTAATGCTGAAATTGCAACACGCATCTTATTTGTCGCTTAAAAAAATATAGTTTCACAAATTTTCAATTTCCTAACCTACATATTTTCAGAATAATAAAATAAATTTAAAATTTTAACTTTCAACACCCTGTATTTCCGAAACTATCAACTTTCGGATAAGGCATGTTTGCGCCAATGGTCACCATTTCACGTGTAGTATCTTCAGCTTTCGACTTTCCCATTGTTAATGAATCACCCTGTATATATGTATCCAGTTTTGGCGCTGTTATTAAAAATAACCACTTTTAAATGCCATTTTTAATCCTGTAAATAAAGATTAAAATATACTCTTATTAACGTTGTAAAAAAATAAAGTAATATGTCAACTAAAAAAAAAGACGTATGTACCTACTCTCCCACATTAGATTTATGCAGCAGAATAACTAAAACCGTTTAAAAATATCAATATGAAGAAATAGTTCACAATATTAAGAGTATTAAATTAAAAAAATTGTACTGTTATAAGTAATCTTGACTGCTATACTTTGTCTGGAAATGAGACAGTGTAATAAAATTTTGAAAGTGCTGCGACGATATGCAAATCCCTTAAGCATTAGTGAAGGTACTTATCTAATTTAATATAAATATTCCTTCATATCTTATATTGGTTACTTAGAAATTCAATAAAAACTTATTCAAATACCCCTACTAGGAGAGACCTAAGGTAAATATTTACCTGCCTGGAATTATAAAAATTTAGAGGTCCATTTTCCTCTACCCCTCTGAAGTATGGATATCTTTTATCTCTTTTATTACATTATCTGCATATGCAAGCATAGACGCGTACTAGGGAAATTTCGTTCAAATCTCATCTTTCTTGCTTAAAAAATAGCAACAAGTCCTTTTTGTTAAAAACTTGAAAGTATTTAAAAAAATATTTTAAATCTATTAGATTAGTAGGTGTCTTTATTTGTTTTTCATCATATACATTTTGTAAGATAGCAAAACTAATTATTTTGAATCATAAATTAACTATTATATAGTAATTTATGCCTCTCCATATACCATATTTTATGAATCATACAAAAAATATTGATTTTTAAGAAACACTCGATCTTTTTTTAAACGTTCAGCGTTTCATACACAATAATATTACAGAAAAATAAATATGTGACTATTTAATATGTACTTAAATATTTCAATATTTAATTTATTTTATTTATCAATGCAGTTTCGTTCTTTACGACTCGGTTAGTTTCATATTGTTGACTAAAAAAAGTAAAAACATGTAACAACGAAAAGCGCGTATATACAACCGAGTTCGAGTACCTAATGGCGTAGACAAGAGTGTAACTATAACTATAGTAAAAAAAACTCGACTATATATTTGATTTAAAAAAAAAATAGTTCACTTTAGTATTCTGGAGAACACCTACTGTTAGCCCTAAAAAATAACCTTTCTTTTATTATTAATTATATTAATGCGTAGGGATATTTCCTCTACAGATACTTATTAAAAAGTCTAATTAAAATAAATGGATTTATTAATTCTATTTTCCATATTATGTATATCATTACCATTTGAAAAATATCTTATTACTCTAAAGGACATTCATTTTTATAATAATCCTTGCCATTAGAAATAGGGGCATTTTCATGACTAACAATAGAAATATTGATACACTTTCCGTTTTTTCTTATAATAAAAAACAAACGTTAATTAAAATAGTTATTAATTTAAAAAATATATATTACATTACCTTGAGATAACCTTAAATGAGGCTATCAGTAGTGCGTTAAACTTAAATACGATGTTCGATTGCTTAAATGACACTAAAAAAGTATGAATGTGTTTTTTTAAATATGTACGTTAGGAACACACTATTACACTAACATAAATGCAACTGCGTCCATATCAGTAATTGTTGATACAATTATTAACTAAAATTATATGTTGCAGGCTTTAATTCCAAGCTTAATCGTAAGCTTTGGAATATTTTTAGCTTTCTCGAGACTATCTAATATAACAGGAGAGGATATAAATCCCATGTTGTGGGATGACAAACTGGTGTACACCCCATTGCTTTTTGTTGCCACTTGGACCTTTTTCGGTAAGTCCCTGATTCATGATCCGCTTTACAAATCTTGCATTATCTTTAAAATATTTATTCGAAACCTATACAATGAAGACAAAAATTATATTAATATTAAATTTGTATTTTATAATATATGTACTCGCTAAAATGTCGCCAGTAACCTAAAGCATTCTCTGCTAAATCATAGTATCCGTGCACAACGAAGACGTGAATTAGCTGAATATATCTAAACATTATAAATGAAGATTAATATCTACGACACTGACACCACGCTAAATCATCACTGTAGTTGTTGGCAGCGGTACAAGTTTATTAGTAAGATTCTTCTATATTTTAGTAAATATGTAAGTACATCTAATGGAGTGAATTTAAACGTCTATCATGACCGTTTCCTCGCATTTCCTGTAATATACTTTTATCGCAATTTTGACAACAGATCTTACGTAAAAAGGGCAGATAAACGTGTACTATTACTATTTTCTTATCTACATTTATGAAAATATTAGGCATATGTTAAAAGCTTTATGTATTTTTATAGCAGCATTTGAAAAAATCAATTATTCGAGAACATGGTGGGCAACCCGAAAATGTCTTTCAAAAGTATGCAAATTACATATTTAAAATATTTTTTATGCTTCACATATCCACATGATAAACAAAAATTTTTTTTGTCCGATTCTTTCGTGTCTGCAAATTCACCGTAGTCTATTAATAATTATAATTAACAATAACCTTGAGCTGAACAAACTATTTTTTAATCGCAATTCAAAAATTTGCTTTAAATAAATAAACTCGTTTTTCACCTTATTCAAAAATAATACTGAAAAAGGTGTGCAATATAGTGCCTTGAAAGAATAATTATAAAAATTATTTAGCTTTGCAATTCCAATTCTTCAAATAATTTCAACATAATAGATCCTAGACAGGTATTTTGAATATTTTATACCGATACCTATAATTATTAAAATAGCTTAGGCTTTGATAATATTAAATGACATTCTCAGTTGCTTATTTAATTACATAGTATACCTACATTTTAAGATTTATTAGTAGCATGTTTTGGCTAGATTCAACTTAAAATTGGAATAGTTGTTCCTTTATTATTATTAGTTTCAATAAGAAATGTTATGACGGATACTTTTCATTCTGGAAAATTTATAACACACGCCACTGGCTCACATCTCACATACGACAGCTGCTTGTGTTATATAATACATAGACAAAGTTATATATTTATATTACACAAAGTAAGCACAATAAAAATTGCACCATTTGATATAAATTATAAGTAACTCTTTAAATTTTACCAAAATAGTTACATTTATCTATCAGTTATTTTATTAATTTTATTTTATGTTGCTTGTTTTCCAGTAAAAATAAAAATAATTTATTTGACTATAGTTCGTTCCACATATTTTACATAGGAATAAAAAACGTGACCGGAATCGAAACTTGAAATTAGTGTTATTTATATTTAGGTTGTAAACACAAATCTACCAGAAATATTTACTAGACGTGCTGTTTTAGACTTTGAAGAAGAGTACTACGAGCCGACTAAAAACCTGTGCTATATTACATATAATTATAAGTTATTCTTTTATAATAAAGAATATAGAACTTTAAAAAATATAGTTACCGTCATTTATTTAAGATATTAACGATAAAATAAAAATCAATCCCACTATAATAAAAAATATTTCAATTTAAAATTCATTCAGTTAGGCACTTCAGGCTCTGAAGTAAAAAATAGGGCTACCATACCTACCTAGGTATATTTCAATACCTATTTCCTTCGTCATAGATTTAAATATATTTTTCTCAATTTACGAAATTCGAAACATTTTTCCACTTGTAGTTCTTGTTTCATATTATTAATATACCTACATATTTTTATATTCTATGATTCTACCTTTTATTCTCAAGTAAATTAAGATTTAAATACTTAAATAGGTGTTTATATAGATACCTTTTTGTTTCGAATATACAATTTTCATAGAATTTAGTTAGTTGTAAGATGGTTGTAGGCTAATAGGTACCTACCCCAAATTAATTCAAAGTAGGTAGGTACTCTAATAAACAAACCTAACTATAATGAACCGTTTCTAGGAAAGAACCCAAAATTGTAAGCAATGTGCCTTGTCCTTGTTCAAAGAGGCAGGCAAAGTAGGTCTAGGTACCTCTTAAACAAAAACAATATCTCCTTATTTGTGGATCGTTTTCAAGTTGAGAGGTATAAATAATTCTATAATTATACTAAAACTATTACTTTTAGTAAAACACAGATTAAAATTTACTTAGGTATCGCGAGTGAAAATAAAGCGTTTATTAAAATGAAATTGCTAAAACACAAATAATGTTAATTTGCAAAGCTAGTAAGTACAAGCTTAACGAGCTAATAGGTTATATTTTACAAGGGTATTATGTAAAATGTTATATAGCAACAAAACCGACATTAGTTACTTAAAAAAATACGTTATGATAATTTAATACTTAATATAAATCATTTTCTTACCGTTCAACTGTACCCGACGTTTTGTTTTTCTTTGTAGATCCAACTGCTCGTGCACTTATTTCCAATAGCACATGGCCTCGACTCGTCGCAACTGCCGGTACCTGTTTAACATGTGCGGGCCTTCTCTTTTTGTGGATGGGGATGATAGGATACGGAGGGACTTTAGTTTTCATATTGGCCGGTGGTGTCTCGGGTGAGTCCAATTTGGCGGCTAGTATTATTTTTAAATTTGTATTTAGCCTACAGCTTTGCATTTTATTATTGGTGTGAGAACCTAATAATTTCTTTTTATTTTTATATTTAGTCTTCATGAGGGTATAACTTGAATAGATAAAATATTTAAAAAGTTATTTCTTGAACCATTTTAACAAAAAAAATTCAAAGGAATCTTTATCTTAAGAATCTTACTTTTTGAAATACGAGATGGTAATGTTTTTAAAAAATATAACATTTACGTAAACATCTCTGAAGGTGTCCGACGTAAATTTAAAAAAGTTAAGTAAAAAATCTTTAAATTTGTATACCTACAACTCAAAACCTGATTCGTATTTCGAATAAAATCTTAGAAAAATATAAATAATTAAACACATTCCAGAATGTCCAGTGGCATTCAAATTTTGCAATTCTTCTTCTTCTTTTCTTGAGAGTCTCCCAGTATAATCAGTAATTTTTTACCTCTTATAATTATAAGGACAGATCTTTTCACTTCCTGATAAATTTATCTTCCAGTTCAACCTATACTGTCTCACAGAACAATGCATAAGAAAATGACAGACGTAGATTAAACTAATAGTTAAATTTACCTGTCGGTTGGAAACACAGGTTGGAAATGTTGACCAGTGGCGTACATGCGGGGTGTTATTACAACTGATAGCCTCTAAATTTCGACACCACTGAGTATTCTGAAAATTCTATTAGCATTTTTCATTTCCAATGGCTTTTGTACAAAAAAATTCTATTTTGTTCTGACAACAAGCCGTTTTAGGGGTTTTATTTTATCGAAAATAATCATTATTTGCATTTTCATTTTACAAAAAGTTTATGGAAATTTTTTTAGAACTAAAATTTTAAATACAATATAATTTGTTAAAAGTCTAAAATATCATTGGCTTAGCAATGTTGACATTGAAAATTCTGACAAAATTGAAAACACAAGGTTGTATTTCAAATTGTATTTCTAACAAAAAGTTTGTATAAATATTTTAAACATCAACTCTACTCAACTGAAAAACGGCTCGTTTTTTAAAAAAGAAAGAGATCTTTTTTCATAGTAATGTCATTGGTAACGAAAAGCACTAATCGAATTTGCAGAATACTCAATGGCATCGAAATTTTCACGTTCTTAGTTGTATTAACATCTCACATTACCACCATTTGCTAACATATTTATATTACCTTAGTAATTTTTTTCTTCTAAATATATAAATCAGAGAACCAATTTTCATCAATCTATGACAAACATCCTCAGTGATATTTCAGAAAATGTGCTATTTTTCTTCTGACATAAGCACTTTTTACAGAAAATTATTCGTTCTATATTTTGACAAAATTTCCACATTAAAATCTGGACCACACTAATAATTAACAATTTTTTTTTAGGAATTGGAGCATCAATTCAAATCGCTCAGTGTGAAATATTAATGGCGCAGTATTTTAGATTAAAACATGCAGTATTAGCTCATATCACTCAAGCAGTATCAGCGTTTGGTTTCTTAATAGCACCAATTGTCGTGGGACATCATATTTTAAGTTCAAATTTACTTCATGTGATCTTGTGGTATCAGGCAATTATTTTACAAGGCCTTGTCTTGAATTTAACATTCAGGAAACCTATGTATTTAAAATCAAAACAGACTAATAACTATAATTATGTCTCGGTAATAAACTTAAATTTTTTTCTTCGCACTTTGTGATACTTTGATTATTTTAGGCAACAGCAGACGATGAAGAAGACATATTCTCAAAAAATTCTAGGGAACTACAAATTAAGAGGCTAAACAGTAGCGGTTCAAATGTAACAATAGAAAAACATACAATCACGAACAGTTCTGAGGGTGATGTAGCTGGAACGAGTCATAGTAGTGACGATAATGATAAAGTCAGAACGGAAAAACAAAGCTGGGAGACATTTGAGGATAATGAAGGCCTAGAAGAACCAAAATATAAAAATTTACAAGAAGAATGGGAAATATTTGATGAAGAAGACGAGGTCACACCAAAAATTTCTAAACCAAAATCTACAGAATGGGAGAAATTTGAAGAAGAGGAACCTCTTCCTAAAAACCAAGCAAAGAACTTAAGACTGGAACTGGCATTTGCCGAGGAGTTAGCTGAAGCAAATAATGTTCCAACCCCTAATAATACAACAGGCGTGCCGATACCTATATTTACCGACTTACCGGTGAACAATAATAACACCTATTCTTACGATGTATTGGAACAGCACTCCTCTCCACTTTCTCCACCAGTCTTCATGCCCACAACAATTGAAAGGCGGTCTACATTTTCAAATTTACAAATTCTTCAACAGCCCACATTTTACAAGTCTCTGTTGATGATCATAACTCTGAAATTTTCTATATTTGTCTACTTCACCTTGTTCCCCAGTTACATGTATCAGGAACTTAAGGGAATTAAAATGAGATATATCTCTACAGTTGTGGGAGTGGTGTCTGTAACCAGCTTATTTTTTTCTGCCGTGTCATATTGGGTTAATATAGACAAGAAGAAGAGACCTATATGTATGTGGTTTTTGTGTTGGGTGGGATCATGCGGATACTTCAGTAAGTATCAGATAATAACATTTGTTTTCTACATGCTATTAAGTGTAATGTGTCAGTAAACTTGAGGGTCATTAGTCGACTGCTAGACTGCTCACTATTTTTGAGGATTGTCAAATCTTATTGTAACCCTGAAGGTGTTATATCTGAAAATATTGAAGATAATAGGTAACTTGCATCAAAATCTTTTTGAATTGCATAAATGTATAGTCTATAACATACAACAATCAACATTAGTAAAAAATTCATTTTTGTAATGTTACATTAATTATAGTTGTTTAAAATTATGTAAAAATTAAAATTTTGCTATGCGATCAAAAACGCATCGTGACCTCATTTAGTGCAAGCAGAGAGCCTCGAAATAAAGTATTGGCTGTTTCTAGACTCGTCATCTTCTCGATCATCAATCACACTAAATGACGTCACGAATTCGCGCAGCAGCAAACATTTGTTTAAAACATTTATTTTTTTGCGCCCGACTATAATAATTATTAATTAACAATATCTACGAAATTCCTAATATTTTCACTACACAATTATACAGGGTGTTTTTAAATGAAGTAGCAAAAATGGTAGCAGTGAATGTAGAGCCAAAAATAAGAGGATTGAAGTAAAAATACCATATATGAAAGTTGCACCCCTGAGGCAATATACCCTCTGAAAGGAGGGGATTGAAATTCACATTTTAATTTGTTTCTTTAACATGGGGAATGCTAGAGACACAAAATTTGGTTTGAGCATCCTACTAATAAAGAGACAACTTTTCAATATTTTTTCGATCATTGGCGTATTTTATAAAGGAGTGAGTGAGAATATTTTATTAGAAATTTTTTATATGAAGCAAATTATTTATTGGGATGACTGATTTATTGCGCAACTTTTTTACCTCTTGTAATTTTTCAATAAAACCGATAGTTTTCTAGTAAAAATAGTAGACGCGTCATCGTTCACTAAAGGTGTAATTGCGAAAATTTGTAAAAATAAAGTAGGCGGATGTCAAAACAAATAAATTGTTATTTATTATATTCATAAATTGACACTTTATGTCAATAAGCTGGTAATTTAACAATATACATTAAGAATAATTTGCTATTAATTAATGAAAAATATATGACTATGGGACATGTATTAGGTAAAGTTATTTATCTGAAATAAAATTTAATACAAACGAAAAACAAGAAATGCAAAATTAAATTAAAGAAAATTCTCGAAATAATTTCCATTTTGCTGCAAGCATAACCTAATACATCTGTTGAAGTTATAATGCACTCGCACAGTTCTTGGTTATTGCGAAGGTCATCTGCTGCCTGAAATATTCTTAAGCGTAGTTCTTCTAAGGAGGCAACAGGAGTGGCATAAACAATACTTTTTATGTGTCCCCACAAAAAGAAATCCATAGGCTTTAGGTCAGGTGAACATGCAGGCCAACAAACAGGGGCATCACGATCAATCCAGCGATTCAGGTAATTTGAATTTAACCCTTCTCTAACGGCAAGTGTTCTATGTGCAGGCACCCCATCGTGCATATACCACATCACCTGACATGTAGCGAGTAATGTTGGAAGATTTTCATTAAAAAATCTAAGATCCAAGCATGTGTGAAGAATAAAAGGACCAACTAGAGTATTTCCTACAATTCCCATCCAAACGTTTAAACTGAAATTATGTTGACATCTTGAAACAAATATTTCATGAGTATTTTCTTCCGACCATGAACATGAATGAACATTATGAAGGTTTACTGCACCTACTCTAGGAAAATTTGCTTCATCGGTGAAAAGTATATTCATTAGGAAATTTAAGTCATGCCTGGAAATATTAATGTACCATTGACAAAAATCCACATGGTTAGGTAAATCAAGGTCATTCAATTCTTGCACGGGTTGATGGTGAAAAGGGTATAAAAGATTTTCATGAGCTACATTCCACACAAGACTGTGAGAAACTTGCAGTTGCCTGGACACCTGTCTTATGCTTGTACCACAGTTTTGTTCTAGATGTTCCGTATAGCTTCCTCAGTTTCAACACTTCATACATTCTTGCGGCACCCTCACGATTGGGCTAAATTTTACCAGTTTCGTGAAGCCTTCTTTCCACCGAGGCCAATGTTTGTCTATGAGGAATGGGTCGGTTTGGATATCTTTGGTGGTATAATCTTACTGCAACGTTACTATTTTTTTCTGGATTCGAAAAACACTTGGAGCATGTCGACATATCCGTCATTGGTATAAATATTATTTGCCATAATTATTCTGATAATAAATTAATCAGTTGGTACTAATTATTGGTTGACAGAAAGTGTCAATTTATTAATATGATAAATAACAATTTATTTGTTATGACATCCGCCTACTTTATTTTTACAAATTTTCGCAATTACCCCTTTAGTGAACAATGACACATCTAATTTTTTTTACTATAAAACTATCAGTTTTATAGGAAAATTACAAGAGGTAAAAGTTGCCCAATAAATCAGTCTTCCCACTAAATATTTTTAAATAAATAATTTGCTTCATATAAAAAATTTCTAATAAAATATTGCAATGGGGTTGACTGTTTCACTCCTTTATAAAGTACGCCAATGATCGAACAAATATTGAAAAGTTGTCTCTTTATTAGTAGGATGCTCATACCAAGTTTCGTTTCTCTAGTAAAAGAAAAAAATTAAAATGTGAATTTCAATCCCCTCCTTTAAGAGGGTATATCGCCTCAGGGGTGCAACTTTCATATAAGGTATTTTTACTTCAATTCTCTTATTTTTGGCTCTACATTCACTGGTACCATTTTTTGCTACTTCATTTAAAAACACCCTGTATAAGATCATTTAGAAAATGATATGCAAGTTGCTCCTTTGATTTATTTTAAGAAAGGTTCGTATAAACCTTAATTTTTGAAATGCAGAAAAAGTTGTTAGATTTTAAATAATGTGAAGTTTCCACAAATGTTGTTGATACTTGATGTAGTCATGAAATAGGGCTAGTGATTTAAAAGGTAAAAGTTAAATAATCATCAATAACGTTAAAAGTATTCCATTTTTTGTTAGAAAAGCGATTTCAAATACAGTCTCACCATCAAGTCTAAAAAAAAAATGATTTGCATAAAAGTTTTTTTTTGTACATAGTGACTGAGTTATTTTTCTATTTAAAATTATCCCAGGCATCTCCTCCACCTCCTGAAGTATTTTTACGTGTTTAAACTGTAACTGTAACTTTATTTTGAAGTTTTTTTTTGACTGGCAGAGAAGTTACTGTAACTTAATTTAACCAACTTTGTTTCCCCTATATTAACAAAATTAACAATACGAGCGTCCTAATTTGAAACACCCACAATGTTAAATGTTACATTTTTGTTACATTTATGTATCTTTTTGATGGTTAAAATATTTAAATATTTCAGTAGATGAGAATAATTGTACAGGAATTTAATAAAATTGCAAAACCGTAAGAAATTTTTTGCCGACAAAAAATACACTTTTATTGATGTGGTATATCTTAGCAGAAATGAAATTATAAATATTTCCTAACGTAAATTTCTGTTTTAGTGGTGTCTGATTCAGATTCCGAACGAGTCCTTCTTTTTGGAGCTGTGCAAGTAACTTTAAGCATAGCTAGTTTGCAGTATGTGGGATTGCCACTGCTTGGTCTAACTTTGAGAGGGGAAACAAACAAGGAGTTTGCTCTTATTAGTATGATGAGCGGGGCAGCGTTTCTGTTTTTTATAATCATTAGTAAGTAATCTTTTGATGACGTAATATGTGATAATTTATTTATTTCTTTTTAGATTCTAGTTATAAGGACTGTTTTAGACTGATGGCGCTGTTACATTTCTTTACAGGAGCCGTGTGGTTTTCAAATTATTTATACAAAAAATTAAAGTATTGATATCTATTTTATTTACGTGTAAGTGTATTAAATATTATACAAATTGTTATTTTTTAACCGATAAGACCTAGAATAGAATTTTGTTTCTTTTTGTTCTTACCTCCACTTCTACCACCCAAGATATTTATCGGATCTTTAACTATTGGAACATCTTTCATATTCGGTTTTGAAAGAATATTAACTACAGTATTATTATTCAATAGCGGTGTTAGAGGTATATTGTCAGACAAAGTTTTGATATTGAAAGGATCTAAAAATGCACACGAGTCACTTTTCAGCTTTTCTACCAAGTTGCTCCAAAGAGCCATCTCACAATCTCTGAAATTATTGGACAAGGAAGGTTTCGCTTTAATTTGTATGAAATTATTTTTGTCGGCAGAAAACGGGTCCACGTCACGGCCTTCAATATGTACTTTTCCGTAACGGGCAAAATCTGATATCATTTCCGTAAAAATACTGCGCACTTTTTTATCATCTTCAGTAACTATGTTCTCAGTTTCCAGAGAGTTACCTTCTACATCATACACATCAAATAAATAGGCCAAATCGTCGCCATGTCCGATTGTATTGTTAAAATCTAAAAGGGAAAAATTTCTAATAAGTATTTTTGTTGTGGCGTTACTATAATAAAAAAAATACTACACCTTCATCTATTTTAATCGTGTCATTTCCAATAACAGGCGACCCTCGTAAGAAAACATCCCCTTTCTGACGATTTCCCAAGTGTTCAAAACTATATAAAAAAGTAGGTGCTCCATTTTGAGACCAACGATTAACAGTTAGGAATGCGGGTAAGTTAAATAGTACATCACCTAAAACACATTTGATGTTCATATTGTTCAAAATACTTTTAGAAAAAAAATATTCTATTTTGTACACTCGTAAATTGTTTTTTAATATACAGTGTTTTCTAAGGCTATGTCATAACTTCAGAAAATTATTTATTTTTCTGGTCATTTTGGATCAAAAAGCAACAAATATTCAATACAATTTTATTGCAATATCTCTGAAGATGTTAATTAAAATGTTAAATTTTAAAGGTGAATTCATAAGACGCACTTTGAGTGTTTATTTTTTTTTTAGCTTCAACTGCCGATTCTAAATTATAAAATGATCCACTTACCTGTAGCTTCAGCAACTTTATCTATTGCCGTCTGTAGGTTTTGTACTTGGTTTTGTAGATAATTTCCAAAATTAAGAGGCAAGAGGGAATTTGTGGACAGACCAGATCTTCCCTGAACTAAGTTGTCAGTGAGAAGAGTTTCTCTCAATTGTTTCACTAAAACATTATTCAAGAAATTTGGTACCGTGGTCAGTTTATCTTCAATATCTTTTCTTAAATGGCCTATAAATAAAACAATAAATAGCGGCTATGTAAAATGCAAGTTAAGTTGACTGTACCTTTCACAGCCCTTTTAGTTTCATCCCTGGTGATCCCCGTGAGTAAGGGAATCTTAGGATTCTTTGCATTATTCAAATCATTGATTGGTTCATCCTCAACTAACCCTGGTAACGAACGACCGTCATTATATCCCTCGGAAACTGGGGCAGTACCAAGTCCCCCTGACAGCCCAGACATGAATCCTCTAGACTGAAGTCTTTGAAATTCAATATCAGAGTCACCCTAGAGAAAAATATATTATTTTTTTAAATAATCATTTATTCCGACATACTCTTATAATGGAATCTGGAGGTAAATTCTGCAAGCATTTAACCATAGTAACGGTGGATGATGTTGGACAACCATTTTCATCAGCTACGTTTTTGGCTGTATTTTGAGGAAAATGATCCACAGCCCAGTTTGAGATGGCACTGCCTGACATAGCTATGACGCCACTTGCTATGCCTAATATTCAACAAAAAATAAACCGATGCAAATATTGCGTATAGGTTTTTTCTTATTATATTAAAGATTAATATGATTAATATTGATTATTGCTTTAAATAACTGTCTTTCTTATGCAGCCTGGGAAGTCTTTTATGAGAAAGTTGGTAATTCATTTTTAATACAGCAATTAAATTATCAGTTCAATCAAGAATTAAAATGTTTAGTAATAAAAAAAAAAAACACTTCAGACGTAGGCGATATGGAGAACTGACGATTATATGTGAATTATTAAAATTAATTTGCAAAGTAAATGTCCACAAATAACTGTTCCTGATATTAATAATATTGAAAATAACATATCATGGAATCGTAATCGCCAAACTCAACTGTATTGTACGTCTTGCCAATTTTGTGATCCCCTGGATAAATAAATAAATTAAATTTAAGAAAGTCTATTTTAAGAGAAATATTATGATGGAGTTTTATACCTTTCGCGATTTTTGACAAAGCAACAAGTAACGCACTGCTAGCGCCAGTTCCGTGACCCATCACAACAATTCTGTAAGGGTTCCCGCCAAAAAATCCTATGTAATTTCGGACCCACTGAACAGCTTGTACCATATCCCATAAAGCCACGTTCCCAGGCAGATGCTTATCTCCTGAACTCAAAAATCCAAGTGAACCCAAACGGTACTGAATGGTAACTATCACTAGACGCCTTCCTACCAAGTGACGGACCTATATTAAGAATCAATTTAATATGGTTTTGTCGGTATTTATATGGCATTCTAAGAAATTAATTCCAGTTCTAATTTGGTTAATTGCAACACCTTTTTACATTAATTGGAAATAGACTGATTCTATTGGCAGTAATCTGATTTAACTGAAAATATTACTTACAAAATAAGCTTACCCCATACTGTGAAGCCGATCCATATCTAAATCCACCTCCATGTATCCAAACAACAACAGGGAGACCTACAAATACAATACAACTGAAAGTGTTTATGTCCAAAAATGTTAAGAAGCTGATTTTTCTATTTATATGCAACTTGAATAAAGAGAAGTTCTTTCCATTAAAAGAAATTAATCATACAGTGGACTCCTCCTAAATGGACCACCTTTTAACCGGCCTCCGCTTTAACCGGCCGCACTAAAATAAACAAAAGAAAATCTACGATTGTCGATTGTGTTAAAGTGTTTCATTTTTTTTTCTACCAAGTTTTCTTAATAATTATAGATATCATATTACAATGAATTAGGCTATATATGTGCAAATGTATGCATTTACACATTTAGCTTTATACTGCAAAAACAAAGAGAGTATTTTAACATAACTTTGGTTTAACCGGCCAAATCGTTATCCGTTCAGGGTCCCGGTCCCGAAGTGATCGTTTAAGAGGAAGTCCACTGTATTATTACTGTATGCTTCTAATTTTCTTTTGGCATATGTATGCAATTAGTAAATGTACTTCCTTGGATAAAAAGCAACTTATTTGTATCATGATTCTGTAGTGTGGATGCCGAGTATTTGTGGATATTCTTGTGCAATCCACCCAATAAATTATATTCTGTCTACTCTGAAATCACATTAATGTGATGTTTAATAAGACTAGAACTAATTTTTTAAGTAACAACTGCAGTAAAAAAAACTGTAATCCATTTGTCTTACTTAAAAAAATGTGCGATTTCTCAAAATTCTACCAACAATAAAATATGGCAAGAAAATGAAAAAAATAGTTTCAGCCAGGACACATACAGCAGACAGTAGGAGGTCGACTACTTTTTTAAAAAACACGATCACATCTGTGAGTTTTCATGGATACTCGTAATGTTTTATCATTTGCCAACAAAATAGTTGGCCGCTAACTGTCTGTCATGTGCACCCTTGCCTATTAATTAAGGCTGTTGGTTATTAATTATAAACAAATAATTTAATGTTCTACGGTATGAGGGTACCTAGGACATACATCGTCCACGGTTAATATAATAATAAATTATGCAAAATTATCGGAGCCGACCATGTCATCAAAAATGAACATGAACATGCTTACACAACCAACAATATAGTTCTGACATAACAAATGCAACACATTTCATTTTTTGTACGATTTTACTGTTGGTTTAGAGAATAGAACATGTATTTTTTTTATGCATCTGACTGACGTCGTGCAAAAGTTCCGTGTTTTATATGAACCTTTTGGAAAAAATACCATAAGAAAAAAATCAAGAAAAATGCATGTATATTTGCTGCCGATGTCTAAGAAAATATTGGTCATACGCACCTGGCCTCCTAAAAAATACAACACATTACTATGGTTTCTTGGTGACCACTATGTTCGAGATAAAAAATAAGTATATGTATTTAACCCTTTCACTGCTCCAGACGTGTTTATTCGCTAAAAATTTATAGGACTCAAACTGCTCCAGACGAATTAATTCGCTTCAATAGTTAAATTGGATCAGGCTGCTCAAACCGTAAATATTCGCAACCATGCGCATTAGTGACTCGGTTGTTGTAATTGGTATAGGGAATTTTTGCGGGCGAGCTTATACCGATTGTGACAAATATTTTTGTGGAAAGAGGTACTGGTAATAATACCAAGATTGTTCATCTCTTTTTCAGTTTCTATTTAGTGCGGTTGTCGATATATTGTATTTTATTTAAAATATCTAGAAAATTGACAGACAAAACTGGAAGAAATTTTAGTGAGGAACAATAGCAGCGACGAGTTTGAGATTGAGGAACGTACTGATGGAAGCTTTATAATAAAATATTAATAACTAAACTATTACAATTATTTTGAAATCTTTAAACATATTTTAATTTAATATAAAAATATAAGTATACTTGCACGCGGTAAACTTTCGCGCACGGACTAACAACAAATATTTGATACCTCATTTCTTTTGGAAGCGTAATTATAGTAAGTAATTTAATCAGTTTGCTTTCAACTAAGGAAGCTAACTGGAAGGATGGCAATTTCATTTCTAGACATTCTATATTACTAGTATCACCTTCTAGTCCAGTAGGTAACTCTGGAGTAAAAACATTCAATGCAAGGCAGTCCTCACTTCCAATCACAGTATTAGTTCCAGGCCGAGGTTGAATACAAGGCTCAGAAAACTTAGTTGCATTGACGTCGCCTTCTAAAAGCTTTTCTCTTGGTCTCTGGAATTTATATGAACAGGTTTTTCAATAAAACATACTGTGGAGCTAAATAAAAATAAATGAATCTTTAATATGTATCAATTTAGTATAAATATTTTCGATTTCATCACGATTTTGAATATAAAAAATTACTCATAAAAATAAAATTCTTACCAGGAAACGATTTTTTTCCGTTGGTGGATGCGCATATTTAATTCCCCTGAAGACGTAATGCGGGAAGTCTCTGAAACCCGTAACCTTTGCCGATTTTCCAGCGTATCTAGTATAAACTACTGGATCATCGGCGGGAGGGACATCTGCGGGTATTCCACCTACAATTCTCTTAACCCTGTTTACCCTTTCATCACAAAATATTGGATAAAAGAAAGCGGGTATAATTAGAAAATACAAAAACATTATAAAATCCTCCGATATTTAAACAGACGATGTTACTAAACTTGTGGCAGTAAAAAAATTATAATTTCATGCAGGATGTGTTCAAGATTACCTATCTTACACCCACATGACATACCAGACTAAGGAGATAAGACACACTAAATTATACAATTACAAAACATTTTTTTTAATCGGAATAGTTCACAGTACATTATAATCTAAACACTTAAACAATATGAAACAAAGATAATTTCAAACTGTATTCTTTTGAGTTAACGTATCATTTTCATAGGTTTCAAGGAGATCTGCCAAATGTTCATTGTCTCTTGGCTTCTTAAATACTTTTTTGCGACGACCCGATTTACTTCTTTTTGGCGCAATTGGTTTTTTAGGTCCGTGATCTTGCATTGATCGAATTCCTCAAAAAAAAAATTATTTTATTTGTATTATGAATACCAAAAATCATTATTTGAAATATTTATGTAATACCTACCTTGTTTATCTAAATATTCCTCAATTTTAGCATCATCCATAGCATCTACAGCCACCGATCTCCACAATTTCTGAAATTCCTCATCGATAGGTAGACTAGCTGTTCTATCGTTATAAAATAATACTTTTTTCTTATCTATCGGCCTAGTAATAAATATAATTTCATTTTGATTTTGCAATATCTATAAATGTTTTAAAATATTATTATACCCAATTTTATTTCATATGCAGTTTACTTACCCTTAAAGCTTTGTCACAATGCGGTAATGACTCCTGCACATCATCTAATAATACTCCACCTAAACCTTTCAGATCTTGTTGTTTTAAGAGTTTTAATAAGCTTTTACGATCTTTCAGCTTATATAAAGCCTTGAATAGGAACTTTCCATCTGGAGTTACTTCTATTTTTGGATTATTAACTAAAGCTTCCGTCTGCAGCCACTGTAAAGTAAATTTTAACAGGTAATGTCAATTCTACTATGTAAATATTGATTTAATACCTTTGTCGAATAATCTATTTAATGCAATTTTTAAAATACAACAAACCTGTTTAACTTTATTGCCTACGTCAAGCTGATTTGTTTCGTCTAAAATTTCTTCTAACGTTAAAGGATATGTTTCTCCCTCTTGATGTCTAGTTCTCATATGCTTCACTATTTTTGCCAAAACTCCGAAACGATATTGAGAACTTCCTGTAGCAGTCTTGTAACTTTGAGAAGCAATTGAGAAGAAATATTAAACATTATAATGGCATAAGATAATTATTCTTACCTATTTATATCCAATTTGGGAGCACTATTAGTCCCACTAGAAGATTTAAACTTCTTCTTGTCATCCCTTACAGGTTCTGATTTCGACTCAGTCTTCTTTTTCTCGACACTATTATTACAAATATTTAAAATATATTGTATAATACATTTCCGTTTTTTTACTTACGCAGGAGTAGATAACGCTCTTTTTTTAAATAATTCTCTCTCTTTCAATAAAGCCGGATCCATTTTTTAAATTTTAATAAAACTCATTAATTAATTACAAAAATCTGTTTGAAAATAATATAATTTATGGTTAAGTTAAATCACTTGATAATGACAGTGATTATATATTTTGTGATGACAGTTTTTCCAGGGCTGCCAACTTAAGGCGATAGTTGATGAAAAATTAGCCAGTGTCGTAACATAGGGAAGGGAAAGTCGGTTACATAACATGCACGATCAAAGAACGATTTAATAGAATTTATTCTTAGTAACTGGTATAATATTCCTGGCCTACATAAAATTCTAAAATTTTATTTTATCATTTTACTGCTATGCCCTATATTTATTTCAAATTATTTATTTATGTTGTATTGTGGATTTGTTGCAGAATATTATGAAAATTGAGATGGAAAAAATAACTAAAAGAAGTTTAAACGAAATTTATTAAAATACGTTAATTTGATATAAAAATCAAAATAATACTTTCATATAACTAATAAATAAGAGATTTTATAAATACAGTCTTAAAATAGTAACCAACATATATCATTCCTCAAAACATAAGTTTCACCAACTCCTTCTTGTTGATTTTTCCCATTGAGTTTTTCGGTAGGCTTTTAGTAACTTTTAATTCAGTAGGCAGGCAATATTTTGGCATTTTAGGTTCTGCCCATTCAATTAAAGTTTCCAAAGTGATTTCTTTACCGTCCTGAAGCGCTACTATAGCGCAAATTTTCTGACCCCATTCTTCATCACTAACTCCCACGACAGCACATTCCCTTATATCGGGATGTGCCAAAATATGAGTTTCGATTTCTAAGGCACTTATTTTGTATCCACCAGATTTTATGATATCCACATTTTTTCTACCCAATATCTTGAATTTCTTTTTTTCAGTCGAGTATTGGCATACATCGCCAGTTTTAAACCAACCGTCGGTGGTAAACTCTTTTAATGTCGCATCGGGTCTGTTGTAATATTCTTTAAACACTCCATCACTCTTGACTAGCAACTCACCTGCAATTGTACAAATTAATTAACCGCTTTTTAGATAAAGATGAAGATGCGGTTATTCACTAATACCTTTGGGGCAACCATCTTTGTATTTGCTAAAAACCACAGTTCCGTTATCATTTGTACACTCTACAATAGTCTTCAACTGTTCCCCCGTGTCGTCTTCTTCGGCTAATTTTACAGATACCCCCGGTAAAGGGATTCCAACGTAACCTGGCTCTCTGTCAGAATCGTAAGTATTAGATAGCACCATTCCTGTTTCAGTCATACCATATCTATAAAAAATTCGTCTCTGTTTACACAAAAAATGATATAAAACTTGTCTTACAAACCAAAAAAATAAAAGCCAAGATGGTAACCACACTATCAATAAAGGTATATGTATTGGGGAAATCTTGTGATTCCTGAGTATTATTCTACTACCTCTACTACCACACGATTGAATAATTCTTTTCAGTAGAGACATTTTTGTTTCATTTTTGAACGTAAATTTCTAATCAAATTTCTTAAACTATACCCTATGCCCCTATTAAACTGTTTTCAATAAAATCACAGTTTTGTTGTAAATGTTTAATGTCCTACACGAGGTTCTATAATTCAGAAAAGTTGGTGGAGGTCAATTTAAACAAATGTTGAAATAATTTTTTGCACGAAATTTAATTAGTGATTTTAAGGCTTTTACGGCCCGCGCTAATATTTAAAATACGAGGCTTTTTGGGTGTTCGAAAAATTTGGAACCCCCCTCTATCTTAGAAAATACTGCTCAAACAAAAAAATGATTAGGGCAAAAGTTGCAGGGTTCTGAGTGAGCAATCCAACAGTGACCTTGACCATGACCTTCAAGGTCATTTAGAGGAAGTTGAAAATTTTAAATGGAACCATATACTTTTGATCTGGGAAATGAAAAGAGCAAAAAATATCAGGTCATTTATTAAAAATTGACTTGACCTGTAAACGACCTTGAAGGTCATGGTCTAGGTCAGGGGTCGGCAACTAATTTTAGGTGGGGTCCGGATACTTTTGAAAATTCTTAACGAAGTCCACAAAAAAAAATTCACATTCCTTACTAATTTTTTGTTTTAATTTACACTCACAAATTTAATCTACCTACTAACCATTAAGAACTCAAATCAATCACGCAATTGTAGTAGAAATGATAAGGGTGGCACTCAATAGAAAACTATTTTTTAAATAATTTAATTGAGTAATTTATACTTTCAAAAAATTTTTGGGAGCCCATTATTTTACCTTCCGCGGTCTGGATCTGGACCGCGGTCCGCCAGTTGCCGACCCTTGGTCTAGGTCATATCCGAACGTAAAAATTTCTATTTTTTCCATTTCGGGGTCAAAAATATACGGTTCCATTTAAAATTTTCACAAGAACACCCTTGTAAAATTTGACTGAACTGCGAGATTTCAGGTTTTTTGGATATAAAACCCTCCTAGCTTTACTTAGGAAATGTATTATGATGACCGGATTATAAATCCATGGCGTGCTGTTTTTCCAAGTAATTATTCAGAAATTATATTAGTGATTTTTTTCTAAAAAACTGACAAGCATTGTGCCACATTTTCTAAATCCCAAAAACTCCAAAATTCATGAAAATATTATGTTACGAAAACTTGAAATTCCTAGAATAGGAAAAATTCTAGTTAGTTTGATTATTCAGAGATTTGGGATTAAATAAAACAGTAGAAACAACTGTCGAATTTTATACACTTAGGTATGATATGGACCAGATTCTAATTTATAATCTGTTCAGTATACAAAATACAGTGTGACAGATTTGACAAGTTCGAGTGAAGTAAANTTTCATTGAGTAATTTATACTTTCAAAAAATTTTTGGGAGCCCATTATTTTACCTTCCGCGGTCCGGATCTGGACCGCGGTCCGCCAGTTGCCGACCCTTGGTCTAGGTCATATCCGAACGTAAAAATTTCTATTTTTTCCATTTCGGGGTCAAAAATATACGGTTCCATTTAAAATTTTCACAAGAACACCCTTGTAAAATTTGACTGAACTGCGAGATTTCAGGTTTTTTGGATATAAAACCCTCCTAGCTTTACTTAGGAAATGTATTATGATGACCGGATTATAAATCCATGGCGTGCTGTTTTTCCAAGTAATTATTCAGAAATTATATTAGTGATTTTTTTCTAAAAAACTGACAAGCATTGTGCCACATTTTCTAAATCCCAAAAACTCCAAAATTCATGAAAATATTATGTTACGAAAACTTGAAATTCCTATAATAGAAAAAATTCTAGTTAGTTTGATTATTCAGAGATTTGGGATTAAATAAAACAGTAGAAACAACTGTCGAATTTTATACACTTAGGTATGATATGGACCAGATTCTAATTTATAATCTGTTCAGTATACAAAATACAGTGTGACAGATTTGACAAGTTCGAGTGAAGTAAATGTTTGCTCAAGCGTGAAACAAAGCATTATTAATGAATTTCTTGCCAGAAAATGCATGAAATCATGAGAATTTACGAGCTTGGAAAGTTCATTTGACAAAGAAATGCTGTATGATCTAAGCATTTTTCACATTGGTTTCTCAAGTAAAAAATGGATTATAAACATTAAACATTACTAGATTTAATGGCTCCGAAAGAGAATCGTCTGTTTTCTTCCTCCAGTTTAAAACATGTTCTTATACGGATACAATTAAAAAATTCAATTGGACTGTTCTTCCCCATCTACCCTTCAGACTTCTTTCTATGTGATGTTTTTGGACCCAAGAGTTTTTAGTCAAGAAAATATCTTCATTCAATGTTTTTTTCTTGTTAGTTTGTTATTAATTAATAAGTTATAATTTAAATTTGAATGCTCCTCTTATTTAGCTTTATATATTAATAATAAGTCAGGTACTTTTTCTGGCACTAAAATGAGGTATTAGAACATCTACTTTCAATAGTATTAAACTGGATTTCAAAGAGTTTCCTGCAAAATATACACATATCGCAGAGAGTGGTGACCACCAATTGTTGATAATGCAATTAAAAATCATCTATACAAAATTTAAACTTGAAACAATAATTGTTACCGTTCTAAAAGTCGGTGGCCCGATATCTCCAACCATTTCTCATAAGTGGTTGCCGGCAGTGGTGAAGATCCGCTAATCATGACCCTAATTTTATTTTTTAGAGTATTCTTGATGTGTTCCACCATCTTCGGATCATCCTTAAAGACTCTCTTGTACTCCTCTAGAAGTTTAGAGTATATTGTAGGAACGGCCATGTAAACAGTAATTTTCCTGTCATCTGGCACTGGACTAACGCCCAGAAGATAAGACCAGACGGTGTTTGCGTTAAATTTCTGTAACATGATGGTTTTGGCCCCAATAGTAAGTGGACACAACAGTGCATTGACGATTCCATGAACATGATGCAGTGGAAGTGTGTGAAGTAAAACGTCGTTTGAAGTCCACTTCCAAGCGTCCAGTAACATTCCTATCTGACTTTGAAGGTTTTTGTGGGTCAACACAACTCCTATTTAAAAAAATATGTATGTGCCCATTAAAGTTTTCTGTAAAACAAAATTTACCTTTAGGAGATCCTGTTGTTCCACTCGTGTATAAAATCATAGCATTACTATTATCATAGAAATCCGATGGTTGACCTCCTTCTAAATCATTTTGAGTTTCTGCATGCATCTGTGCACAATTTAATTTAAGTTTCTCATCTAACACATAGAGAGGACTGTGAGCATTTTTAGACACCTTCTGCATAAGTTCAGCATACTTCGGAGTTGTTATAAGTAATTTTGAATTTGTATCGTTGGCATAGTACAGAAGAATATTTTTGGGATGTAATGGGCTTAAAGGAACAGCTATAAGACAACAATTTATATTTAAATATTAACAGATTTAATCTCAAATTTAATGCTATACAAATAATAGAGTATTACTTTGTCACTATCTAGTTGTATATCATACTTAAATCTGAGATAAGTTACTATGTACAAGTAATAAGAAAAAAAATGTATGTATATAAAATAGCTTAAATTTAAGAAATTGTTAACATAGCTAAGTGCACTGTAAGGGCAAGCAGTACTTTGTTCAAAATACCTTTGTATGTGTGAAGTATCTCAGATACCTTATATATAATTTTTCAAAACTTACCAATTTGACCTGACATCCATATTGCCCACAAAGTGATAACATAATTGGCATCGTTTGGGCACAAAAATAAAACTCTTTCATTCCTCCGTCCATTAACGAGATTTGTAATTCTTTTAGACAGTCCGTGTGCGCTCATAAAAATATTAGCATAAGTGTAGTTGGCGATATTGTCTCTTAAAGCAATTCTATCAGGAAAACTTTGAGCATTTTTGAAAACAGGTCCACTAGGTAAAGAGGGTGGCACATTCACTTTAGCTTGAGTTTGTTGGTATTTTCTATTGAAATTAAACACTGTGCTTCTTATGTGACGATTTAGCAAGGGCATTTTTACTTAATTGTAGGTCAATAACTGTAATGGAGAAAATGTTGCATATTTAAAATGTTAAATGGGTACGCGTTATCTCATTATCAAGCAAAAATAAACATTGTGCAGATGTCAGAAGGTTAAATTTATTAATAATTCATTCTAAATACAAATAGCACATTTATCTTACCACATAAGTCGTATAATGTACTTATATTACGCACTGCTGTTTACAACGAATTTAAAACTATCACATTTCATTACAACCGATGCTAAAAATGTCTCAAAACAAAATATTTAAGGTTAACTTTAAATATAAATTCAAAATTATGCCAACTGCGTAAAATTGAACTTGAAAATTGACCACCAAAATAAGTTATCTTTTATCTTTGCATAGCACAAACTTGTTCTTTGATTTCTTCTAATTGCTGAGCCGATTTCAGCATGGAGTCATGTTGGTAGCCCAGATGGAGGCAGAGCAATTGCATTTTTTTTAGATTATTTTCGCTATTATCCATCGCCTGCTCTTGTACAGCGAAATTTCTCGAGGAGTGCATTAGTATCTAAAAATAAACCTTTAGCAAGTTGTTTAACCGTTTATTATTAGTGTACAGTTCACCTCGCAACTTTTTGAACCCCTAGTTATTTGCCTTGCCAACGAAGAAATGTTATTTACATTAACCTGTACGCGGTCAGCTAGGCGCATTTTTGAATCGGCAAACAGCGATCTCGCACTTGTGCTACTTGCTGAAGCCATTCTTCTTTTTCAGGATCGTTTATAAAATTAAAATTTATGTTTAGGACCGCGAAAATCTACTTATTGGAATATTATTTCAATCGATACAATTTGGTATTTTTTCATTCTTGTTAGATAAGATACGGTTTGGATAAGATCAAGAAGAAGACAGTTGGCAACAAAATGACATAGGAGGAAGGGTGATGCAAATACTGAGAGATATTTTTCTGATATGAAATCCACATTTTTTAATTTGTGATTGAAATTACTCATTTAAAATTGAATTGACGAGTCTGTACCATCAAGGTATCATGTAACTTAGCCTCCATTCTTCGTGTTCGATACACTTGAAGGTAATCAAAACATGTAAATTATTAATGCTATCAGGGTCGACTCGTGAAATTTCCGAGGCCTAAATTTATAAAAACAAAAAAAAATGATTTTATTGTGTGGGTGAGATATAACCATAGAATAATACTAACTTATGAAGTACATATAAGCATAGTATAGAAAATATTTATGCTGTGGTATAAATATTTGTCATGTTAAAGCCCATCGTTATTCAATGCCTATACAAAGCGTTGAACTAATTCCATGTTAGTTAAAGTTATCATTTTCATCTAAATCCCGAATTTATTCATCAAAGTGAATAATCATGATAAATCTTTTTATAAATATTGTTTTGGGAATATAAAAGAATATGTAGGGGATATATTAGCAACGTTTTATTTAAAAAATATGTTTAAAAGCAGACAATCAAAAGCTCTATAACAAACATTAATTAAATCATTAAAAATCATTAATTATAAAAAAATAAATATAAGACTATTTACAGAAATTGAATGTTTATCTTTGTTTTCTAAATATACTTAACCGTTTGGTCCTGGGTGTGACACTCTGATTCTGAAAAATTAAAATAAAACAATTCAATTTTTTTTTAACACATTCATGAATAGAAAAAATAAAACTACTAATAATATGTTTTTTGTTTTAATTATAAGATTAAGGAAGAATATAATTTCATTAACATTAGAATATGTGCTAAAAACTGTATTAATTTTCTAAAACATTTATAACAGCTCAAGGAATAGATAAAAACGGACAAATAGTAAGAGGAAAGAGAAGTTCTTAGTTAATTTGTTGTACATAAAAGCTTTGAAGGAGATACAATTTTCAGACGACACAAAGTTATTAAATTGGGAACAGGGCAAAGCGTTTGCGTCTAATATGGAGGTATTATCTAATTTACAACATTGACAAGTGCATACAGGTATAGATTGAGAGAATGCAGTTAGCTTAGTGCGGTTAATAACTGGTGATAAGCAGTTGGAGTGTACCTCAGAGTTTTCCCTCAAACTGTTGCTGCTGGGACGTCCCATGAAAAGTGCTTTGATTCTGCTCGGGGTCACTTTTTTAGGGGTTTTGTCGTTATGTTCCCTGAGAGGTTGTATTTCATTGCCTTGTAAAGACAAACGTCCTCCGTTCTTGCTCGGAGTGGGCGGGCCTGGCTTCTTATAAGAGGTTGTACCAATGTCTTTTCTTTGGCGTGGTTTTTCTCCAGGAAGGAGACGACACATGCTGTCATCTCCCTCGACATTGCCCATCTAACAAATTGTAAAACAACAAGACGTTACATTATTGAACTATAAAATAAATATATTTGGTACCTTAATATCATCTTCTTTAAAATGTGTCGGACTGAGAAATTGCGTTTCAGCTGGATAAGAGCTCTTTAGGTGAGGCGGCACCAATGAATTTCTCCAAGCCAGCTCAGAAAACCTATTAGCGTTAGATTCACGACCTGTTAAAGGTAGTGTGCAACGTCCCTCTTTTAGATCTACCAAATATTTGTTATTAAAGAGATCATCTTCTTCGTCTTCCATTTCAATATTATGGCCTAAATAAGAAAAAAAATTAGAGAATTTTGATCTGCAAGATTTTAAAAAAAGTATATTTATTTCCTTATGCGTTTTCATTTAAGCGCATCTTCAGTTAAAAATTAAAGTTAAAAAATAATTTTTAAGGTAAGCTTATTAGCGGTGCTAAAAACATTTGGCAAAAGGGGGAATTTAAACATAAACTTCTACAATTAATTTTTCGTATTTAAAATCAGAAATAAATAAAAAATAAAGTAATATTGAGGTAAATCAGTAAACCTTAAATAGTCCAATTGTCACCAACTTTTTCTTGTGGCTATGGATAAAAAATATTGTTTTATACCTTGCTTATGTGCTATTATGACATCTTCGATTATGCGCTATTGTCCCACCTGTTGTTTAATTTCACAATATGTTACTGTATACCATATACTAAGCTTTACAATTCAATTTAATATTTTTTTAAGTAGTTCTTAATACAATATAGGTACAAACGGGCGTTAATTATAAATTCTATATTTTTTTGTTCGACTATTATACAATATGCTTACGTAATGTTGCATTATATGAATTAACTTACCAATACTGCTTGGTACCCCAGTGATTGAGGTCCTCCTAGAAATTGTAACTGTTTCCTGGACCTCTGTAAAATTCGACCTGGGTAACGTCGCCATCTTTCGTTCACCCTTCTGACCAGGCACTTGTATCATGGTTGAACTTTTTGTTCTCCTCGTGAGTTGATTGAAGTCTGGTTGATTTTTGGTATTCTTAGACACAGCACTGTGCTGCGCAGTACTTACACTATTGTTCTCAGACTCTCTCTTGGATTCCTTTATATGACGCATATCTCGCTCTGTTTCAATAAGGTGAATTTTCTGTTCTGCTTCAAATAAGCTACTTTTGAGCTCATTTATAGTTTTCTGACAATACGTCTAAAAACAAAATTAATGTACCTTGAGGAATATGTAAACTCTTTCATTCCCTATTACCGTTTCATTTTGTTCCGCCTTGACTTTAGCCATTTCTTTGTTGATTTCCTCTCTGTACAGTTTCAGCTAAAATATTAGGAAAAAATCCAATTAAATTCAACAGGGCAAAATAAAAAAGTTAATAATAAACTTAAATGTAAAAACATTTGCTCGTTAAGTTTACATGGTTTAGACAAGGTTTCAGTGTCATATTATGCTCAAGTTTTCTGCAGTAAAATTTCAAATGTTTTTTTATTTATTGTTAACTTGTGCTAGATTTTTAAATAGACCCTAAAAAAGCATGTTTGGAAATTATAACTTCCTCAAAATTGCAATTCTAACGCATATAAAGATGCAATAAGTTTTGTATTATTTTTCACTGTACATTTTAAAAATATTTTAAATTCAAAAGATTCAAATACCTAGAGAAAAAACTAGTGATAACTTTTTATAATTTAGATAATATCAAAATAAATTGGATTTTCCGTTTAATCAATATTTAATGACACATTTTTGTTATTTTTTTTAAAGAAATGTGCCTAAAATAATATTAAGCTATATTTAATATATTCTGTTAAATTAAAAAATTAAAATATATTTAAAAAAATACTTTTTTAAAGGTCTGAAAGTGGATATATGAGTATGAAATTTTTTATTTGATACTTTTTGAAACTTTAACAAATGTGACACGACTAATTATGTGCATAAATAAGAACAAATAGCAGTCAAATATTTGAAAAATCGATCAATAAGCATTTTTTATACAGGGTTTTCAAAAAGTTTGGAACCCTCCTCTATCTCAGAAAATACTGCTCAAACAAAAAAATGATTAGGACAAAAGTTGCAAGGTTTTGAGTGAGCAATCCAACGGTGACCTTGACCTTGAAGGTCATTTAGAGGTCAAGTTGAAAATTTTAAATGGAACCCTATACTTTTTACCCCGGAAATGATAAGAGCGGAAAACTTTACGTTCGAATGTGACCTTGACCATGACCTTCAAGGTCGTTTAGAGGTCAACCTGACAATTTTAAATGGAACCGTATATTTTTGACCCCGGAAATGGAAATAATGGAAATTTTTACGTTTGGATATGACCTTGACCATGACCATCAAGGTCGTTTACAGGTCAAATCGATTTTTAATAAATGACCCGATATTTCTCACTTTTTTCATTTCCGGGATCAAAAGTATATGGTTCCATTTAAAATTTTCAACTTGACCTCTAAATTATCTTGAAGGTCAAGGTCATATCCGAAAGTAAAAATATCCATTTTTTCCATTTCCGGGGTCAAAAGTATATGGTTCTATTTAAAATGTTCTACTTGACCTCCACGTGACCTTCAAGGTCATGGTCAAGGTCATCGTTGGATTACTCACTCACAACCCTGCAACTTTTGTTTTAGTAATTTTTTTGTCTGAGCAGTATTTTCTGAGATAGAGAGGGGGTTCCAAACTCTTTGAAAACCCTGTATATGACACATACTATGGCTGTGTTCAGCGAATGGTCGGACTACTTCGGTCAAACTTCTTTGGTTAAACGGCATTTACCAACAGTATTAAAACCTGTCCAATATTCCCAATCAGCTGATTGGGCTGGCCAACGAAATATTTGTCCGCTGAACGACATTGACCGGTCCGACCATTCGATGAACACAACCTATATTGGTGACCAGTGATGTAAAATGACCGTCATTTAAACTCGTGACCAGGCCATGACGGTCATTACACGTCATAAATAGTTTCAGTTAGGAAAAATAACAGTACTTAAATGTAATTTAATGTCATCTTTCTAAAATATAAATTACTGAATCTCAATATTGCCTTAATAAATTCATCAACAAAACTATATTAATATCAAAAAAGTTTTTAACTACAAAACAAACAACACAAAAAACACATGTTCTTTGGCTATAGATGACAAGTATAAAGTAATAAAACAAAAAAATGTTACCATTGGTTAAGTTTTAAGGACACCACGTCACCAGGTGGAACATAAATCTACTTCTTACCGCATTGACAATTAATATTTAATACATATTAATTTAATATTAACATTAATAAAATCATCAAAAGTATCTATAAAGTGATTTTATTTTATTGTAATAAAAAATAATAATAATTTAAATATTTAAGAAACAAAACCTATCATGACGCGGTCGACCGCGTCATGACGTTTAAATGACGGTCATTTTACATCACTGTCGGTGACACTATGTTAATACATACCATTTTGTCCTTCATCTTCTCTAGTTTTGCTTCATAGTCATTCCGGACTTCCCTGATTTTTTTACTTTCTTTCGAGTTGGCTTCCATCCGTTGTTTCTTCAATAAATTTGTGAAATCCTCTCTGTCCCTCTCCCTTTTGTATTTTATGGTATCAATTTCTGTCATTAACTTGTTGTTTTCCTCCAATAATTTCTCATAGGCTTCTTTAATTTGTGCACAATCAGCTAACTGTTTATTCTTATCCTCGATTTTTTTACGCAGGTTCACATTCTCCAATTCATATTTCGAGTTTGTACTGACAACATTGGCGTACGCCTGCCTCATCACTTGCAAATCACTTTCCAAATGCTTCTTTAAGTTTTGTTTTTCGTTCTCCGCAAGTTCGATACGTTTTATTAAATCATTTTTTACTTCTATTGCGTTTTCGTGAGCAAGCAGTATGTTGTTTTCCGTTTCTTTCATTATTTTCGTTTGGCTTTCCAGGATCTCGTTTCTATTCTTTTTCACTTTTTGTAACTCGGCGCAAGTCTTTTCAAAAGTTTCCGCTAAGTCGTGCTTCTCCTGTGACAGTTTTTCTAGTTCTTTAGTTATGAGGTCTAAGGAATCAGCAAGTTCGATTTTTTCTCTGGACAGCTTATTAATCGTCTCTAATATGTCTTTGTGTTCTGGAAGACGACACTCTGTTTTTGGTTCTTCTTTAAGGGCACGTTCAAGTTGCTTTTCTAAATTTTGTATTGTTTTAGATTTAGCTTCCAGTTCCACCGAAAATTCTTTGTTTCTGATTTCAAGAGACTGCATCGTTAGTATCTTTTTCTTGATGACTTCTTCATAACCTTCTGTTTCTTCAGCTGTTGTGCCCAGTGCATTTTTAATAGCTCGTAAGGACTGGATTAACTGCATTTTTTCTCGCGAAGTTATAAACAATTGTTCTTTTATATCCACGTTTTCTTGGGAGACTTTATCGAGTTGTACGGAAAATTCGGCTTTTTCTTTACAAATCCTTTCATATTGTTCCGAAATGTTATCTTTTTCTCGAGATACTTTTTCTGATCTGTTCTGTAATTCTTCCAAAGTTCTTTCTAATGTTTTGCACTCATTAGTTAGTACACAAATTTGTTTAGAAAAATCATCTTTTTCCTTTAGTACAGCCTCTAGTTCCTTTTTGCTTAATTGTAAAGATTCGGCCAGCTCGATTTTTTCTTCGGATCTTCTAGTAAGCTGTTCCAGCAGATGAATTTTCTCTTGCGACATTTGTTCGATTACTTCGTTTTTTTCTTGTAAAATCTTTTCAACTTCTTTGTTGCTCATTTCAAGTGCCTCTAGAATATCTTCTTTTTCTTGACTTACCTTTCGCAGTTGACTGGTATTGAGGTCTAAAAACTTGGAAATAACCTGTTTTTCTTGTAAAAGCTCGTCAGACTTCTCGTTATTTTCTTCAATGAGTCTCTCCAATTCGTCCCTTTCACGTATAACATTTTGCAACTGCTCACATATGTCGTTCTTTTCTTTTAGAGCCTCTTTGACTTTACTCAACATTTCAGTTTTATCTTTCATAGCATTCGCCAACTTGTCTAGTATTTCTTGTTTCTCTGAAATCATGATTTGTAATTCTGTACAAGTTTTATCTTTTTCCTTTAGGAGCACTTCTATTTTTTCCGTCAATCTTTCATTTTTTAAAGTAACTGTTTCTAATTTCTTTAGAAGGTCTTTATTCCTAATATCAAGGTCTTGCAATTCCTGTTCCTTTTCCCGTGAAATATGTGACAAATTCTCAACAGCTTGGTCTTTTTCGGCTTGAGTTTTTTCTAATTTTTCAGTGGTAATACGTTTTTCTTCGGTAACTATTTTTAAATTTTCCAAAAGCAGTTCTCTTTCAGATTTTATTACTTTTAATTCATCAGACAGGTCTTTTAGTTTATGACATAGTTCTTTAAAATCTTCGCTAATTTTCTGTCTTTCTTCAACAGTTTCATTCAATTTACTTGATATATTTGATTTTTCTAAAGCAACAGACTTTAATTGTTCACAGATGTGGGATTTCTCTTCATCTGATTCCGTTAATCTTTCTTCCAATATATGTAATTTCTGAGATATATCTAAATTTTTTTCCTCGAAACTATTTCTCTCGGAAACAACATTTTCTAATAGTGAAGTTATCGTCTCCAACGTTTGCGTAATTATCTGCTGAAGTTCTTGTTTCTCTTCAGAAATTTCGAAGTTTGGGCACTTATCTGGGACGATTCCTTCTAACTTTTGCCAGTATTCTTTTAAACCTAGTGCGATGTCTATTTTCTCTGATCTCATGATCTGTATTCTTTCATTATGTTGCGCTTCTGCTTCTAACATCTGTTTTACTTTCTCACATAACTGATTATTCTCTAAAATATATTCACTTAACGTCTCTTCCACAAGCTGTAATTTTTCAGACATCTGATCTTGCGTATGATTAGCAGCTTTGTACTCTTCTGAAATTTTTTGTAGATTTTCCGACATTGTTTGATTTTCACTTTTTAGTTTGTCCAGTTCTTTATCCGTCTTGTCTTTTTCAGATAAAATTTCATTTAAATTATCGGATAGCGAGTTTTTCTCTTTAATAATACTCTCTAATTGGCAATGAAGTTGTTCTTTGTCTTGTAGCACTTGATTCAAATTTCCGATGGTTGTTTTCATTTTAATCTCAGATGCGTCTAGCTGCTTATAAATATTCGAATTTTCTAGAAGAGCTTTATCTAATTTAATAGATAATTCATTATTTTCATTGGCGTTTATTTCTAATTTTGTATTTAAAATTTTAATTTCTTCCAAAACCTTCTCTTTTTCTAGAACAAGTTCTTGGTGTTCGCTTAATGTTGCGTCCAGTTTTTTCCTTGTTTGAATAATTTCAAGTTTACTGCTCTCTAATTCCTCAAAGAACTGTGCCTTTTCCTTGTTAAGTTCGTTTAATTTTGCAAACATTTCTTGTAAATTTTCATCTGTGGCATTTTTCTCTAATTTAAGAATAGCCAAATTTTCATTAGCTTTGTCCTTTTCTTTAGTAATTTCCATTAAACTTTTAAATAAATCGTTTTTCTCGTTAGCAATATTGTTTAGTTGTTCAGAAAGTTGTTTATTTTCTTGATTAAGTTGATCTATATTTTCAGACAACTTCTTGTTTTCTACGTTTGCATTTTTAAGTTTTTCAGAAACGTTTAAGTTCTCCGTAAATACATCATTTAATCTATTGGATAAAATTTCTTTTTCGAATGTAACACTTTCCAAATGGGAAGTCAATAGTTCTTCATTTTTGAGAAGATGTTCTTTCTCAAGAAGCACCTCACGTAAATTCTTTGAGACTATTTTGAGTTTGTTTTCTGTGTCACTGTATTCTGACTGAATTTTGTTTAATTTTTCGAATAAATGCAATTTTTCTTCACTGACCTTGTTTAACGTTTCAGTTAGTACGTTTGTTTCGGAAAGCACTTTTTCCATTTCTTCAGATTTCTCTTCGAATTTTTCAAGTATTTCTTGCTTTTCGTAGAAGACCTTTTCTAAATTTTTGGAGAGATTTCCCAGATTATCACAAATTTCACAATTTTCTTTAACAACTTTGTCCAGTTCCTCTTGAAGACTATTTCTTTCTAAAGTAAGTGATTGTAATTCATTGGTAATAGAGCAAATTTGTTCGTTTGCTTGTATCATCTTCGAGTTGAATTTATCAAGTTGTTCCAAAATAACCGACTTCTTTTGTATAATCTGATTTTTTGCACAAATCGCATCATTCAAATCTCGTAAAGCTTCCTCTAAACTTTTTGAAATCTGTTTCTTTTCCAACCGTTCTGTTTCAAATCCCTCAACCATTTTCTTCTTCTCTTCAACAGTGACTTTTAATTTGTCCGATATGTTCTCAAGGTCTTTGGAAATCTTTTTATTTTTTAATTTCTCAATTTCTAAATTTTCGCGATTTTCTGCATTCTCGTTTGTCACTTGCTGCAGCTTACCGAAAATTTCTTGCTTCTCCAATAATGCCGCTTCCAATTCTTTTACTTTTGAATCAAGTTTATTAGAAACTTCTTCCTTCACGGATTGCACCCTTTCCAGTTGTTGACACACATCAGTAATTTTTTGTAAGGCTTCTGTCAGTTCAAGGACAATATGTTCATGTTTCTTTAAAAATTCTTCCAATTCTTCGCTTAGTTTTTCTTTTTGTTTCGTAACAGTTGCATTTTGTTCAAATAATATTTTATATTGCATTTCTAAGTTTTCATGTTCCAAAGCCAGTTCTTCACAATCACTGTTTCTCTTCTTCAACGCATCCTGAAAATCATTCTTCTCAGTTTTCAGTAACTCTAAGTCTTGCAGAAGTTTACTAATATTTTCTTTTAATCTTTCTGAATCAGTTTCTGCTTCAGAAAGTGCGGATTTAAGCTGTTCGTTTTCTCTTTGAACATCCTTCAGCTGTATATCAACAACGGAATGTGCAAGATCCTCATCAGAAGGAGGTAACGGCTCCATGTTTTTCCTCGTAATGTCCAAATTACCAAGACTCTGAAAGCTTTCTTCAATAAAACTGTCATTCTTGTTTTCACCTTTCAGCTCGTCTAACAAAGTTTCTAATTCACGACAGTGGGCACTGAGATTTATAAATTTAGTGTCCCGTTCTTTTGACTCTTCCGAGAGACACTGCAGTTTGTTATCACTTTCTATGAATTTCTCTAACCACAGTTTGCATTGTGCCTCCAAAGTTTTAACCTGAAAAATCAAAGAAATAGTTAAAAACAAATTTCATATATCTTTGGTTCAAACCTGAGATTTTTCAGCATCTCTTTCATCTATAAGTTCTTTTATTTCTTTATCGCACTGTTCCAATATCTGTTCCAAGCTCTCTATTTTTGTTCTTAAAATTCTCTGAGTTTCTCTGGAATCCTTATCTTGATAATGAGGTGGTGTTCTATCTTCCAGAACCAAAACCTCACTTCTTAACCTTGATATTTCTGTTTCTTTCAGGAGTAACTGCTTTTCTGTGAACATATTTTTTTATTCCAATAACTACGTAAAAAGCTTTTATTCCTACATATAAAAAAAATTATATATTTAACTTACCCAATCTAGTATTATTTTCAATTTGCAATTTTAAATCTTCTTCTAAAGATTCCTTTTCGTCCTGAACCAATTCCAATTCTGTCTTTAATTTATTTAACTCTCTTTCCTTCTCCAGTAATCTAACATTCTTACTTGCGGGAGTTTTCAAAAGATCCTGTAAAGGACTCTTTTTATTAATCGGCGAATTTACAACAGCTAGTAAATGGCAAGATATATCAGGTTTTTTTTCTATCTCATTCACACAACACTGAATTATACTTATTAACTCTTCGTTTGTAATTTTCGAGCATACTTGAATTTTCTCAAGAAAATTCTTTATACAAATCTGAGTTATCTGTTGCAAATTATAACATAAAGGAGAAGTCAGAACATCTCTTCTGTCATGTATACATGTGTAGTGAAGCAAGAGAGAAGTAATCGTAGATAATTCGCTTGGAGATAGGTCGGTAAGGTGAATATTCGCCTTATTATCTATGATAAAATCAGGATAATGTTGATTCAGTACTCGAAATAGGCATGTTAGCACATCTGTATCTATTTCGGTAGTTTTCCTCCTGTGGATATAAAAGAGGATGTTACAATGAGATGATTCAAGCAAATATAAGAAAGTATATAAACTAATAAGAAAACTTACAAAAGCTTTTGCAAATTTGTAAAGAATATTCCATCTTTTAACTCATCTAACTTTTGAATAGGTTTGCATAATTTCAAACAATTTACCTGAAACAATTTAAATGCATTATATTTTCACAAATCTTAGATTTATTGGCTCTTACCCAGTCCACTAAAATGCGATCCCATTTCTTACAATCCATTTTACTGGTAATTATTAAGTGAAAGGAAATATATTAAAATTAACTAAATCAAAGAGTAAGTGACGTTTTCATAGTTTCTTTTATTTGTATTATTAACTACACTTCAATTTTGAAAAAACTAAACAAATAACGCGTCTTTCTAAAGTGCAAACGACGGTTGACATGTTTATTTAACATTTTTAAAATACTCAAATTTTATTGGCTATTTCAACAGACTACTTCTTCCTCTGCATTTTCAAGTTAGTTTCGGGTTTCAAAAATGTGCTCAATCACTATTCTTGGACAAATTACTAACTATTATGAAATGTAATCTGTAAGACGATGTTAAGTAGCTACGAAAAAACAAAATGGTAAGAGTTAAAAATATAATTAATTTTATCATTTTTTGATAACTAGGTACCACAATTTTGTTCGATGGTACCATTGGTAATTGGTACCACTGATATTTTTAACGGTTTTTGTATCATGACAGTGACAGTTATTTGACACTTTTAAAACATTTTTAAATAAGTGATTTTTCTCTAATAGTGAAATTATATTTTATATTTTATTGAAAATAGTAACTAAAAATTAACCATTATACAAAATTTATTTTATAATTTATTTGTCGTGTTTTATATCTTACATATTAAGTGAATGGAGGCACTACAGTACTTTTAACTTTAATTAAATTAATATACAATTAATCTCAAGTTACTATCACATGTCAGGGGACATAAAAAACTTCGTTGAAGAACAAAAATTAATTATTTTAGAAGAAAAAAAGAGGTTGGGCTTATTTGAAGATAAGCAATATGAGGTATGTATTGAATAAGTTTCTTTAGTCCTGAAAGTAGAAACATTATTTTATTTTTGGTGTTAAAATCAAAAATACTTTTATTTCAATTATGTACCTACACAAAAAATAGTATACAAAATTTTAATAAAAAAATATATTTGTCAATTTGCATTTGGTTTTCTTAAAATAGTTATGGTAAGGATAAAAGTAAATTGTGTGCTATACTTATGCAGTGCAATAATGTACAATTTGTTCATTAAATTGTAATAAATTACAACCCACTAAAGAGAAGAACCACCCAAACACACTAGTGGTAGGAGTGGTTCTTCTGCATCTATCTGAACATTCTGAACTGATACCACAGTACTTGTTATATACTGATACTTCTGACCTTGTTGGATATTGATTTTACCTGAAAGCCGAATATGAAGGGCTGAAAGACTGAACAATTCTATTTTCAGTGTTATTTCACCCTGTTTACCCCACACAAGCAGCACCCATCCATACTTAGGTTCGTGTTGATTTGTTCGAAATTTTGTTTTTTCGTTCTTTTTTTTTAGAAAAATTGTGATAATGAAACAACACAGAACAATAATTTGGAACAATCACTCGAAGAAAATAAGGAAAATGTACACATAAACCCCGACTGTGTCTTAACATCAAATGAAAATCAAGTAAGTGTAGCAGTGCTTGATAAGGTATTTGCCTTTTAGAAAAGATTTGTTTACTTAATTAGTGTTATATGATTAATAAATCTGTTTTGTTAGCAGGCTTTTTGAAAATACATTTTAGCGTAATATATCCAATTCATATTTTTTCATCGATACTTACCTCTTAATATTTTTAAATTCAGTAATGGACGTTGTTCTGATCCACTTTAAGAAATTTAATATCCCTATCTAATATATTTTTTTAAATAATTTATCTCGAGTAATTTGCAAAAAATTAATAAAGCCTGTTAGCAAATTACCTTTTTCAGCTTTCATGAAAAAAATATAAAGTTTTTCTTGATCTGGCCTAGCATTGTAGATTAGACATTCATTGTTTGTGTGATTTATGCTAATGCTTCCTGTTGTGTTTTTTGAATTTATTTCTAGACTCTGCCATTTATCGAACCACTCAATTTAAATAGTAACAGAGATAATAGCAACATTACGTTAGAAGAGAAAAAGCAAGCTTTTATCGATAAACTTGTTAATTCAGAGAATTCCTTAACTAATAGATCGGTAAGCATGGAATTCATTTATTTTTTTTTATTATTTTGAGCCATTTAGTCAAATTTTACCTTGTAGTAATATTTAGTTTTTAATATGTTCTGTTTTATGATGTTACTTTGCATGACAGCAGAAAATTTTGTCGTAAAATGTTAAATAATATTTAAGTTCTTATTTTAAACATTCTTAATTAGCAAAAAAACAATAAAAATATTGTTTAAATTTTAAATGAGTTGACATTTGCAAGGCATTATATAAACCAGCACGTTCACTCCATTTTCAGCGCTTTGGTCCTTTTCAGCTGCTTTCGGTGTCCTTATATTTGAAGTATAGAAGCTTTCATTATTTTAAACATTTTTGTCATCGTGCTATTCAAGAAATAAAAAATTATAATAGAGGACCCATAATTTTTGCACTTTTTTATAAAATATTTTCACATTACAATACATTTGAATTCGAGGAAAGTACAACTAAATATTTGTGCAGAAAATACAAGGAAATATTTGGAAATGCTTTTTTGTTCAAACTATTACGCAATATATTGTCTGAATCGTTAGAAAACATTTTATTTTTAAAATGTATTGCAAATATCATTAAAATATTTTTATCACCATGTATATCTACTTTTTTATAATGTAGTTGTATAAATTACGTATGAATTTACATTTTTAGAGTAACCAAAGAAACAAATTATTTGCATACTTAAAAGGTACCTATACATCTGTTAATTTCACACATTCTGAGTTTTACCGAACTGTGCAATTCTGAAATACGTCTCTATTTATTTAAACACAGCTGGTGAGCAGTAGAAGGTCTCTAGGGAATGATGCGTAGTTTGCTACTCACTTCCTACGGTATGGGCTCATCTGAATTAGCTGGTTTATATATGCTCTGGTTAAGATAATTTTTAGAAGTTGTGTATGCCATTTACAAATCGTATAAAAAAATACATTTTTTTATTGCAAAGCGATGTGCCACAATTATTTTGTTTGTAAACATTTTTTCTAGTGTAGTGGATATATTCTACTGATGTGTTGTCAACCATAAAAATTTAATTCACTCAATAAACTGCATGGTAATTAGATTCATTTCAGTACAATAGGCAAGGTGAGATGGACAAAACACTTATGAACAACCTATGTTTTAGGATGACAGCATCGGTTGTGCAATGTTACGCTACGGTGAATACAGCCCAAATAACCCAGAACTGAGAGTGACTGCTGCACCTTACCTAGGCCTGGGGGAGTATGAGCAGAGAAGAAATTACTTCTTACAGAAACAGAGAGCTGAATATTTGAGGCACATCGCAAAGGTATGGTCTACGTACTTTAGCTTTATCTTTTTTTCATCGTGGCTTTAATTATAATTGAACTTTAGTATAGGTTGCATACAGAGTTTATATTAAATAATAATGTAATCCCTGTTTGGTTAGAAAATTCATCGTCTTTTTTAATAAAAATTGGCTTAAGTGAACAGTGGATAAAATTATTCATAGGTAGTCATAAATATTGATGCGTTTTTTTTTGCTCAAGTTAATTCTTTATTATACCTACATAAAAATAAAATCATTGAAGGTGAAGGAAAATGCATAAAACTTAATTTAGAAGTGGCACCACTATATTACTATAACAAATAGATTTTTATTTTAAAAGCAATATTCCAGTGATGAAATTTACAGGTGATAAGAAAATAAAATTAGGTCTGCAAATGCGTTGATTCTAAGGTTCATGATGACAAAGTTTTGTATATATTTTTTTTTATTATGCATTTTTTTATGTAATCCATTCAAATTCAGTACATTCATCATTTGGCATGTACAGTGGTGAAATGCTTATAGTAAAAAAATTTAATTTAAAATTAATTTTCTTTAATTCATTACGAGAAATATTAACGTAGAAATCGTATACGCTTATCATGTTTTTACATCAACAGGATGAATATTAACGTAATAGTAGGAGTTGCCATAAAAAATTTAAAAATTTTTAAAAATTTTAAAAATTAAATAAAAGCAGTTAAAATATAAGCTATAGAAATGAATTTTACACATATTAAGAAAAGAAAACACTGAGCTAACTAACATTACACGTTTAATTATGTCAAAGTAAGTATTCGATATGTCCATCATTCTCTTCGATGCATTTATCCATACGTTCCATAAAAGATGGCCTCATATTAAATAACATGATTGGTCCAAAAGAAACTGCAGTTGCATTTATTTCTTCCCAAAGTTGGTTGCGAGTATTTATGGGACTTTTATAAACAAGTTGATTCATTGCGCCCCATACGCCAAAATCGAGAGGATTAAAGTCTGGGCTACGTGCTGGTCAAGGGAAATTACTACCACGACCAATTCAGCATTCAGGAAAGTTGGTATTTAAATATGTATGTGTATATATAAACAATTTATTTTGAATTCATGTTGAAAATATCTTTCTCTTTAAAATGAGGATTTTCAATTTCCCAGATATGATTATTTCTTAAATTAAAAATACCACGGCGGCTAAATGTTGCCTCGTCCGTAAATAATATTCTATTAATAAAGGTAGGTGGGGTCAAGATTTTGCCTATTTTGGATATCATTTGCAAATTGGTATCTTAATGGTAGATCTGGTGGCAATAAATTTTGCACAGGCGTAAAATGGTAGGGGTGATATTTATCGAGATGTCTTTTTAAAACTGAAGTTTTACTGCAATGTGAACCAATTTCATCATCTTGATCAGGCCTAATGATTCCCAGTCGGCCTAAATTATCACGTTTAGGACGAAATGAACCACTTTCGCCTAAATTCCTAAATAGATTTTCAAATGTTTGGTGTTTAGGTTGTAGCCTGTTTGGATATCTTCTGAAATATTCCCATTTCGCAGTACGTCCGTTGAAATATTGCTGGCAGTAAATAGTAACCATATCTCTCATTTCTGTATTAGAGAAATTATTGTCTTGGCATTTTCTGTTATTCCTTAATTATTATCATATATACTCAATTAAAACTGTTTCAAATGTCATACATTATGAAAACAAGAATGTTTAGCTGTTAAAATCATTCGTGACTTCCGTCTACTACGTTACTATTTCTCGTAATGAATTAAGGAATTATGCAGCCGATTTTTAATATTCGATTATCTCGAAAACCGTTAAGTTTAGAGGTTGTTAACAAGTATACATTTTTATTCTTACAATGCCGTGCCTTTAATATTTTTTTCCCAAGAGAGCGCTACCTTGATGGGCAAAAAAGTTTAGTGTACATTTATGCCACACATGTGGCTTATGTGGCACCCTCTAAAAGATACATTAAATTAGATATCAAATTATGATTTCTCATACCAAAAAAGCCCCAGATAAAAATTTTTTTGTATAAATGTCCAAAAATGTTCGTTATTGCGAAAAATAAATTTTGAAATTTCACTTTTAACACCCTGTATCTTTCTTATTATCGATATCTTATTAAGGCAAGTTGGCTCAAATCGTAATATTTTAAAGTCACAAATCTATCATACTTCTATGTTTGGTCGTTTGGTGTATTGGTGATTGTTTCTTTTATCAGTCTGTGTCTGTGTCTCAGGATAAAATATAAAAATAAATTATATTTTCCTTAGTAGATCACCTAATTTTTGTAGTAGGTATCTTTGACGATTTTGGAAATTTTTAAAAATCTTGAGCGACCTATAAAAAATTTTTTTTAGAGCTGATTTTTTGAGAGGGCTCTTAAAACATGATAAACCAACATATTTTCACGAGAGACGCAAAAAAAAATATTTGTTTTTTTTTTTGGGCCACCCAAAGGTATCTACTATGTATGTACTATGTAACCAATGTCAATAACTATTTAACACTAAGACTATATTACAGCGTTATTTAGTTATTACCTATAAAGAAAGAATCTGATTATTCGGATGAATATGTGGGCTCCTCATAGCTGAATCTGAAAAGTGTTGACAATGGTGGTCATGGTTACTGTAGCGCAGCAGTAAAACACAGTTCAAAATAATCTACAAGGCCTCTCAAGTCTCTGTTTTTTTTTATTTACCGCATTGGAGAATCACCTATACAATTTTGTCAGTGAAATATTGCAACATCCTGTATATCTAACAGGAAAAGAGATTGTATGTCTAACATAATTTGCATTGTTTCTAAGACAGACTGATGTTTTTGCAGAAAAACGAGGGTAATAAAGAACTTAAAAAAACTATATTGTCTGAACACAGAACACCTGCTAATATTTCTGAAAATACAAATCGGCTAGAGAAAAGTGTCCAAACTGACATACAGAATATTAAAAGTCAATTAGTAAGTAGGCATGTGGGTTTTAAGGATTTTGTAAATATTTGATGACTGCTTTATCATGTAAATTATTAACCTAAGGGAACTTAAATGTTCATTAAATAAGCATTGATACTAAAACTGTAAATATGTATTTATTGGTAGTAGGGTAAGTGTGTGTGTAAGTAATTTAGGTTCCCTCTGTGATCAGTTACTAACACAGCTAATGTATATATGCGTTTTACTAAGATTCTGTATAGCAGAAATGGCATATCCTCTTCATATCAGAACATTAATCCTATTTCTCTTTTAGGCACCCTTTTTATTGCCAAAATAGAAATCCCTTGTACAGGTACGACTTTTTGGTATAAATATATTTTTATGCCTTTTAGAGTTGTAATTATAAGTTTTAAGCTAATTTAATTTATATATTGATGCTTTCAAAATGCATTTATATGAAATAATTGAGCAATAAAATACTTCTAATTAGAAGGTAAAATATTAGTTTATTTATACCGAATTCAGTGGACATACAAATATGAACAAAATAGGTGATAAAATGTTAAAAATTTTTAGTACTTGCCAAATTGAATGAATTTTAAATATCCCCACTGGCCATTATTTAATGTGCACAGGGTGTCCCGGAAATGGTGGTCAATCTCTCGGATATGGATAGATAATGAGAAAATAATGTCACAAGTTCATATAAAATTTTTTCCTCCGGGCTCACCCTGTAGAGTTATTAGCTCTTGAAGTTGAGAATTAAAAATGGTTTTTTTTGCTGTAACTTTTGTATCTTTCAATAAATTTTGAAAATTTTTTGGCTGGATCTATAATTTTTGAAGCTGCTTTGGATGATAATATGAAATCCTCGATAATAATTATGGGGGCCCGGGGGCAAAGCACCCCCCACCAAAATTTTTAGAAATAAAATTTTTGTTCCACTATACTCAAATTTTCCATCATTTTATAAAATTTATGGTATTTTACGTAAAAAAGATATACTTGTTGAATATCCATAAAATAGATATTTTTTGAGATAAACCCGTTTAAAGTGGAAGGTACCATTAAATTTGAGACATTTTATTTAATTGAAACACATATTCAGACATGTCAGAGTATGCCAAAGGCAATTAAATTGTCAAACTTGTCAAGTACGTAGTTTTAAATCTAAGACTCATCTCATAATTCATAATTTGTTATAAAATATGGAGTATTCCAATGAAGAATTTTCAAAATTTATTGAAAAATACAAAATTTACAGCAAAAAAAACATTTTTAATTCTCAACTTCAAGAGCTAATAACTCTACAGGGTGAGCCTGGAGGAAAAATTTTTATATGAACTTGTGACATTATTCTCATTATCTATCCATATCTGAGAGATTGCTCACCATTTCCGGGACACCCTGTATATATATTTTTTATTTATTTACAAGAACAATACATTGTATGACAGTAATTTGTAAATATATCATTGTACTGTAACATTTTTGTAATACAATTTGTATATTGCTTTAGATCTCATTTTGAAATCAATTTTGTGTTACTTGCAAGTTTATTTCACTGACTCTGATTACTTTCTCTGATAAAACTCGTCCAGTTTTATTGGCACTTCCTTAATTTTCAGTTCTATTTTATCCTGTTTTAGACTACCAGAAAAGATCTTTATTTTCTGAATTTTATAATTTCGGGATCGAATTATTTCTTAGGCGTTTCTTTTATCTGTACATATGCTTTTGTATATGTGGTTTAATAACTTTTCAATTTTTCTATACTGCGGTACTGCAGGTTATTTGAACTAATTTATTCCACAATGATTCAACATTTTGTTTCTTTACTTCCAGTTATCATGTCATTTTTATGCCTCCTAACCAGAAATCTCGCTGGTAAATTTATTTTATTAAAAGTCAAATATTATCTTGCTGATGCAATCTAAAGTTCTCAGTAATTCCCAAAATTGTTTTATTCATTTAAGTCTATTGCTTTTACAAATATATGCCATTGCAGAGTAGAAGTGAATGCTGTATACTGCTATAATACATCAAACATAGTAGATGTCCTATGCATGAATACACTAAATTCACTAAATTGAGGGGTAAATCATGGGAAATCTGAAGGATGCCTGTATCCTCCCAATCGAAAAAAAAAAAATAATGTACAAAATGTATATTTAGTTTACTCCTCTAGCTGGGTTACTAATGTTGGCAGTTACTTTTTGCATAAACTTGTTTTAGATTCAGTATGATTTACAATGTCAAAATTCACCAGAGAAGGAACTAAGTCCTCGTCGTGTTGATAATAATTTGACCCAGAATAATCGAAATTTGGCTTCTTATAGAATAGACCAAAGGCTAACTACTGCTCAAAATGCCTTATTAAATCAAGACATGGAGAAACCAAAGAGCATATTGTCCAACAGACGGACTGGAAGCCCAAGAGGTATTATTTCGCTATTTACTAAGTCGGAAAAAGTAGAATTAAAAATTTTTGTTAACAGAAAGATTAATGTCGGATTTGTATACTCCGACGTTCATGGACAGTTTCAGTTACCAAGCTTCCAAATCTGAGGAGCACGAAAGAGTAAGAGAATATGCAATTTTTTTCTTAAAAAATTAGTTGTAGCAATACTTGTAGGAAAAATTAAAACAAGAAGTTTACCAACACGAATTAAGGCTGCAAATTGAAGAGAAACATAGGTTGCAACAGATGAGAGTTGAACAAGAAAGACGGGAACAAGAGTTGGGAAATCGGAGATTAGAACAGCAACTCTTGAGGATGCAGGAGGAAAGGATGATAGAGGAACAGAGGAGAAGCCGTAGAGATGAACAGGTAATATGTTTAGTCTTTGATTTACTAAAAATTTAGCAATATATTTTTGAATATATATTTGTGAAATTTTTTTTGTGACAAATGCGGCTTATTGAATAATATAAATCATCCCTTCTGCACAAGTTCTCGATTTCTGAGCTATTAGTTTTATTTGCAGTTTTTCTTTAAAACGTAGATAATAAAATTAAATTCACATTTCCTATAGATGAGACGACACAGTGAGGATCTATTGCGCCGCAAACAGGAACTTCAGTCCACAAGGCATGGATTCCGAAAACACATGAATTCTGAAAGTAGTGTCACTAGTTTCCATAGCAACCCCGGTGATACTGTGGGTAAACCCCTTTCTCATTATTCTCCTCCCGTTTCACGTCGCAATCCGTACTCTTTTAATATTCCATCCACGTCTGTGTTCGCTGACCCATCAGCAAGGTATGTATGTGTTAACAGTAATATCGGTCATTTTTCTAATTCGTAATACTTTCAGGTATAACCCAAACCGTTTTGATTCTTACCATCGAAAGGACACCCTTAACCGAATGGATTCACTGAATTCATATGAGCCTTCTAGTCGTTATAACACTTTCAGTAGATTTGATTCACTAAGTAGAATAGACTCGTTAAATCAACGTATAGAATCTATGAATATAAGAGATAGCCTGAGTAACGGACAGCGAAGGCACAGTGCCACTCAACAGGACCTCAGCATGCTGAAGAGAAGCCCTAGATTGCAAAGGAGGAGTAGTTCTAGTAGGTTCGAGGATTCCTTACCGGTCCCGATATTAAAAGCGCACTCACCCGTGGCCAAAGAATTAAAAAATTCTATTCCGTTTAATAGTTCTAGACATAGTTCTGATGCACTTAGAAAATTAGAAGATAAGTGGCAGGTTGGTATAGAAAATACTTTAGTTTATATTTTGATTCAGTATGCGTCAGCTTTTTTATTGTAGAAGTTTTACTTATTTTATTCTAGATTCCTGCAGTACAAAAAACTATACTCAATCATGCAGATTCTCCCAGAGATGGGCAAAAACGGAGTATTTTGACTCAGCTTGGTGCCATTCGAATGCAGCTTCAGCAGGAACAGTTAAGAATGGATGAAACTTTAAGGAAACGCGGTTTTACACAATCCAAGGCTGTTGACTTTCATTAAAAAAAAATGTAACAAAAGCATTTTACATCGAGTTATTCAAAAAATTTAAATAGTATTTTATATATTGTTAGAACTTATCTTTATATTTATATTAATTTAATAGATAGTATGTTAAACTATGATATCTCTACTTCAACCTTTCAGGATTTTTAAAATCGTTTTTGAATACCTATTGAACTTTAAATAATATTTCTACTTGAATAATGGTAAGTCGAAAACGGGTAAGTTGAACTCTTCATTACTCTATTTCTCAGTTATAAATTGTTAAATTCTAAATGATTCATAGTACCTAAATAGGAGTCATTCAAAATTACATGAAAAAGTTAAAATTTGAATGTGGCTGTTTAAACCAAACCATTAAAATATATTCAAACAAATAAAAATCCTTTGCTAGTTTAAACCCCAGGTAGATACCTCTGCGTGTTGCCCCCCCCCCGTCCGCTAACCTTTTCTGTTTCAGAGACCGCCAGGATCAAGAAACGAAGACAACGACAGACACACACATACACACTCCCCATACCCTCCTTATCCCTCCCCTCCCGTGCTAGTCTAAGGGCCACCTTAGCAAAGCGCATCCCAGGCTGCATAGCCGCACTACCCTACCCAACCATACCACACATAAACATGACACCACCCCCGGGGTTTACACAGACGAGCCGGCGAAGCAAGAAGAGCGCCAGAAGAAAGGGCCCTAGCCGGCGGGGCCCAGCCAGGACAAAAGGAGGTGCCACAAAGCGCCTACACCGGCCGCATTTGCGGTCGGGGTAGACGACGGATGGGGCCCACCTACGAAGGCTGTCCAGGCCTACACGAGATGAGGCAGGATAAAGAGGGATAATCCCCCTCGATCCCAAATCATTGAGGCCAATTTCTAGCCACGGAATAATGGCACCTCTGCGTGTGTACTGTTTTGTAGCCATAAAGTGGACAGCTAAGTGAAATTTGGCATTTTTAATTTTAAATAGTTTTCATTAGTGAAATAAAAATTGTGCACACGGTAGCCAACTTCCTCCTAAACCTACCCTCTTTCATATCCTTTTATCATTGACTCTTGTAATAGTGTTGTATGTATATCATCATCCTTTTAGTAAGTTTGCATAGTTTCGTTTTTTCTTGTTGCCATTTTATTAATTACGGTCCATTCCTTGCTTTTATAATAGCTTCTAAACAATTGTAAACTTTTCTACATTTTACGCATTGAAGGCCGGTTTAAATTAACTGAATTATAAACTATATTATGCTTATACTGCCTAAACTACAGAACATCACAACTGGATGAACGATAACATCTTGTACCAAATCTGCTAAATTATCAGTGGTCCTACTGACGCGTTCCCGTACTAAAGCACTCCATCTTGAAAGGTGGTAGAGTGAACAATTTCTGCTCTGTCTGCTTTGCTGAATCCAAGCATCCATATTATTAGAGATGGGCTAAACTGCTCTTTTTGCGGAGCAGTGACACCTGCTACTGCTCCGGCAACAGAGCAGTGACAAATAGCTGCGATTTTTCGGAACAGCTCCTGGTAGCGCGCGCATACATTTCTACCTTATTTTTGCGTCAAAGTTCATAAATCGACTCTTGTACTTAATAGCGGCTAGCGTTAGGGAATAGGGATACTTTCGTCATGCGCTGTTTTTCAAGCATGTGCCAACTTTCGTAGATTTAGCTCAATTTGTTATTTCGCTTTTGCATTATTTATTTGAATTTGATATAGCGTTATCTGTTATTTTGTCCTAAGTTACTACTGATAAATTTTTATTACAAATAAAATTGGACATGGATAAACGAAGAAAATCTTTCCTGTGGAATTTATTTTTACCAACGCATGAAAGTAAAGCTTGTTGTAATATATGCAAGCAAAATATTTGTTATAAATCTTCAATCACCAATTTAAAAAGACACATAGAACAACGACATCCTACAGTGAGTACAGTGCCAGATATTCAAAATTTTTCCGCGAGTGCAACAAAAACAAATGAAGAACAGTCGCATGTTTTTTGNGGGGCCCAGCCAGGACAAAAGGAGGTCCCACAAAGCGCCTACACCGGCCGCATTTGCGGTCGGGGTAGACGACGGATGGGGCCCACCTACGAAGGCTGTCCAGGCCTACACGAGATGAGGCAGGATAAAGAGGGATAATCCCCCTCGATCCCAAATCATTGAGGCCAATTTCTAGCCACGGAATAATGGCACCTCTGCGTGTGTACTGTTTTGTAGCCATAAAGTGGACAGCTAAGTGAAATTTGGCATTTTTAATTTTAAATAGTTTTGATTAGTGAAATAAAAATTGTGCACACGGTAGCCAACTTCCTCCTAAACCTACCCTCTTTCATATCCTTTTATCATTGACTCTTGTAATAGTGTTGTATGTATATCATCATCCTTTTAGTAAGTTTGCATAGTTTCGTTTTTTCTTGTTGCCATTTTATTAATTACGGTCCATTCCTTGCTTTTATAATAGCTTCTAAACAATTGTAAACTTTTCTACATTTTACGCATTGAAGGCCGGTTTAAATTAACTGAATTATAAACTATATTATGCTTATACTGCCTAAACTACAGAACATCACAACTGGATGAACGATAACATCTTGTACCAAATCTGCTAAATTATCAGTGGTCCTACTGACGCGTTCCCGTACTAAAGCACTCCATCTTGAAAGGTGGTAGAGTGAACAATTTCTGCTCTGTCTGCTTTGCTGAATCCAAGCATCCATATTATATTATGTTAAAGTCGACAGTCGACGTGTTCTAATTGATAATGGTCCGAACAAGCCTTCGAGCATATACTACGGACAAGCTGATTTCCAATTGTAATAATTCAATAATATTTGTGAAACATATTCAGCAAACCTAATCTCCAATTTTTGCCACCTCAATGAATATGTTCTGAGTAGTATGGGAGATTTCGAGTGAAAAATCGAGTGGTACTCGATTATTGAGATCACTCGAGATATCTCGAGATGTTTACTCCCACCACTCGAGTGACTATTACCCTACGGTTGCACCCCAAAATGTTAGTGCATACTGCAAATAGTCACTGATTGCGATTTTTTTAGCTACGCTTATAAGTAATATATGACTAATACAAACATATTTGTGCGCCGCTGGGATGAAAAAGACCAATATCTCGTATCTCGAGTGATCACTCGATTATTAGAAGTACTCGATTATCAAAATTGGTCGATTATGCCCATCACTAGTTCTGAGTTCGTGTTTTACGATTTTGATTTGACGTTTAACAGTTTGTTTTGATTTTGTGAGTTCTATTTGTTTATTTTTTTATTTACCTTATATTTCAATCTTTGTGCATTTATTAATTTTATTGTAATGTAAATAAATATTTGTATTTATATTTATACAAATTAGTTTTAATTATAATACATATATGAATTTACTTCTAAGGAAAAAGATGAATAGTTCTCTTGAAAAGCTTGTAAATAAAAAAACTTATCAATAGTACTGAGAAGCAAAATCCCATACCTACCTATTCTTACTATTAAGGCTGAGTTCTCTGCAGAGCTGAAATTCTGAGATATTTTTTAATTGGTTGAGCATAACTGGTGTTATGGAAGGAGATATTAAACTTCGAGTTTGTCGTCTATGTTTTAATATTATATCGGATGCAAATAACTTTTTATTCATAAAAGACTCTTTAGAAGATATGCTAAAAGTTATAACAACAGTGGTGGTAACATCATCAGGTGATAAATATGACAAGTTTTTTTTTACATTACTTTTTTTTAGAATGTGGATAAAACTTCTAATCCTGTGATGTGTAACAAGTGTTCCAAAATGCTACAAGAAATATTTACATTTAAAACCAATTTCTTTGAAAGTGAAGAAAAAATTGAAGCAAAAATTTCTACCCTGAATAATGTTAAATTAGACTTGAGTGATAAAAGCAGTTTTCGTAAAAGATTGGCACGAAACTCAAAGAGAATAAACATACAAGAGACTAGAGTTTGCAGAACATGTTTAAAAGTAATTAATAAGAAAAAGTTTATTGATCTTAATTCCTTAGCTAATTCAAGATTATCTTCAATTTTAAATTCCTGTGTTCCCGAAATGGTAAGAAAAAGTTTTTTTATCGGAGTAATTTGGACACATTTTTCCCTGCATAATGTTGCAATCTGAGTGAGAAGTTTGACACCTGTGAAAAAAAAAATTAAATTAAACTAATGGAACAAAATATTCCAATAGTCAGTTCTTTAAAAATGTGGGTGCAGATCTAAACTAAAATTTTATCTGGTTTTTACTTTTTTTTTCTACTTATTTATGTGAAGTAAGGATTTTCTTGCAACAGAGCTGATGTGAGACTGACATTTTTTTTCTCTTAAGCCAAAAATTGCTATTGAATTAAATTGAACATAATACTCTTTTTCTTTCATGAACTTGCCACACAGAGAGAAAGAAAAATATGTTATTTTCTTCTATTTCATTTTAATTTCATTTATTACTGCTCATATTTTTTGTATAACTTGAATCTACATGTGCTATGCAGTAGAAATTATAGAAATTAAAGTTTCAAACAAATATGTTATGCTAATCAATTTATGTTCTAACAAACTACTCACTGGTAAATAAATCTTTTAGGATTTGAATATAACTAAAAATCCCATAATGTGCCAGATATGTTACGACGCCTTGCAAAAAATGGAATATTTTAAATCCCTCTGTAACATAAACGAAAGTAAAATAGATGCTTTTTCAAGGACTGTGAGATCTGATCCGCTTCTTAAAATCAATTTATATGAAGTTTTACACTTTTCTAAAAACCATTCGTCCATTTACAATGCCGTTACGAAATTAAATGAACATACATCGGATGAAAGAGAATCAACTAATGCTTTAATCTGTAAATCTACTAAAATGGAACCTAGTATTGATGACACTGAAAAATATTTGAAAGTAGACTGCTTGGAATATGTTTCAGTCAAAATGGAACCATGTGATGACGAACAAGTGGCTGAAACTAAAATTTGTTTGAAGAGAAGAAATGTGACAAATAGGTGAGAATAATTCTCTTTTTTTTAACATACCTAATTGTGTACTAGCTACATGCATTCATTAAATGCACCACAACTGTTCAGCCAAAATTGTTTTTTGTTAATATGAACGTGCATATGATAAATTTAAAATATACAAGGTGTATTTAAATGAAGGAGCACAAATGCTGAAACATAATCTTGATTTGAAAATATTGATAGTTGGGCCCTACTTAAGTTAATCCAAAGTTGCTTCATTTGCGAATTACAGTAGGGTGGTTAAATTAAAATAAAATAAATAGAGAAATTAATTTATTACATTTTATAACTAACCAAACAAGAAAATATATACGAATTGTAAAATATTTTTAAAATACTTCCCTCCTTAAATGCAATTTTTGCCACTGACATTTTTTTATTTAAAAAACAAGTCCTGTTATGATAATAGCACACCACTGGAGATTTTTGTAGCAAAAATTTAGTTTATAATGTTATCTAGATAATTAAATAGCAATAAATACTGATGAAACACATTAAAAAGGAAATGTTAAATTGTACAGTCAATATATATTCATTTGAAAAACACTGAATACGTGGGCTCCTTATAGCTCGCCCCTGATCTGTATCGTATTTACAGCGGTGGGTATGGTTACCATCTTGCAGCAGTGAAAGACAGTAGGAGTAGCACATATGTACTATGCAGTTTGGGCTCCATTTAGTCCACCCGTAACGAAATAATAGCTCTTTACTGTTTCTTTTTCTTGTTAAACGTAATTTTCTTATGTGTAGTGTAAAGTTTTAGTGTTCAAAAATTAATGGTGTGAGAAATACCAAACTTTTATAAAGAAGTAATTGAAAAGTTTATTTTGGACAAAAGCAGAAGAATTGATTATCATTATAAATAATGTTGAGCACTTTCAGTATATTTCAATAGTACTTAAAACAAAACTAACCAATAATATTTGATTTTTTTTTTCAATATTTTGTACCTACATTTTTCCATCCTCCTTGTTATGGAAGTCACGAGCCGCCACACTGCTTGTGTATCGGATCCAGCTAGAATATTTTAGACTGGAGATTATTTGACAGGATTGTGTTTCTTCATTTAAATACACGACTTCTTGTGTCTGCCTCCCAAAAGTCAACTTAAAAAAAATTATGATTTTAATCTGTTTACCTGTATAGTTAACGTTAATGAATAAAAATATTACTTGAATCATAAGTAAGTATATATCAGGAAAAACATAAATATGTTTTTCTATTTTAGAAAGTTTTTACAGAAATCAAGAAAATGAAAGTCTCATATATTAAACTAAGAGTAATTTACTTTTCTTATCATTTTTTCATTGCATTTTATGAGTACAGTATTACCTTAACTTATCCATGATAAATTTTCATTTATACTTTTGTTGCAGGTCCAGATCAGGAACACGGAAGAAAACGAATAATAAATGCGACAACAAAAATATGATCTGTTGTTCTGATTGCAACTTCAAAACTAAGTACAAACATAATTTAAGGCGTCACTTAATCATCGCACATAAAAGGAAAGACATTGAAGTCAACAAAAAGTTTTATCAGTGTGAGCATTGCAGTTTCTCTACGAAATGGAACATAGATTTGACTAGGCATTCGTTGTCTCACGTGAAGCCAGAAGCTCTGAAATGTACAAAGTGTCCTTACTCTACCAACCAAAATGCTCACCTTATAAATCACATTTTGACCCATGTTAATGACGATAGTAAGGATAAACATAAAAAATCTAATTAATTTTTACATATTAGTTAATATATTTTTTAAAAGATATTTATTATTGCGTTATTTTAATTCATATATTTTTATTAATTTCATGGTCAACTTCCATATAAAGTGTCCTATTTATTCGAAAATATCAAATATTTTTGTAAGGCAATAAGATGTGGTTTTCCAATTCATCCAAGCATGAAAAGTCTATTTTCTGCATTACTCAATGCATTCAAAATAGAAAAGTAGTAATTACGGTCCTTAGAATTGAAAGTTTTCAATCGTGAATATTTTAATATTTTTAATTGAACTCTATGGATATGGACAAATGTAAAATTAAATTTTTATGTTGCGGTCGTTTTCTTATAGTTTATGAGTGCTACAAAATGAATACCACATAATAATGAAATGGAGTGGGAAAATTATGTTTGAGCTCATTTAATGTAAAAGTTACCTAAATTAAAAGAAAAATTTCTAGGAATGTGATTATAAACTGTTTGTTGCAACCATAATTTTATTGATAATATACTCGCGTTAATTCGGCATATAGCTTAAAAATATTTATTATTAAATATTTTTAAGCTATATACCAGACAAAATAATAAAAAGAAAAACCTCAAAATTATTATTGGGAAAATACAAAAAATATCTACTATAATAATTAAGCACATCTAAAATTTTTCTGAGATATAATCGACTGTTTTTTTGAATTCCCGCAAACATTATCAAAAATTTCGGCTATAATGTTTCTGAAAGCCTGTCTTTTTCGATTTTGCGAATCTTCCATTGTAGTGGGAGGTGAAGAATAAATTTTACTTGTCCCAATAAGACAAAATAAAATTTTGTTAGATTGAGAGATCTGGTATCTAATTAAGGGGCCTCATGCAATATATTTATGTGGAAAATATTGATTTAAAACATCTTTTCTATATTGGATTGAAAATTATTATGGGCATCCATTTTTTTAAAACTGAAATAGCAGTAAAGCAAACTATAGCAAAAATTAAAAGAAAAGAAATTAAATATTAGATCTGCTTTGTGTCAGATTTGATATAGCGTTCTTTTTTTAAAAAAAACTACATCTTGTGTCTTATTTGGTTTAGAAAATGTTTCATATTTTCAAAGACGCTGCAAACATAATTTTTTTAAACATCAAATAACCGAAATGATTATTGGACCAAATATCTTTTTACCAAAGTAGGCTTTAATAGGTATCGCCTAAATAAATGAAACACCCCGTATAATTGAAAATAACTTTAAAATGTCAAGAATTTGATTTGATGTAACTGAAAAAAGAAAATATAATATACCATTTCTATGAAATATGATATTCATACAACTTCAAGTTATTTAATTTTCATATGCAGTAGTGATGAGTAAATTCATATTTACCACCCATATCTATTGAATAATTAATGAAAACTATTTCAAACTATATTTAAACATATATTATTTTTTAAACATAATATAAAATGTACTAATATGAGAAGTTCATCAAATAAAATTGTCTGCATTGTTAAGAATGATCTTATTTATTTTTTATTATAAAATAATTACTGAATATATTTTTTTACATCTGCCTTACTGTTATGTTATACAGGGACTAACATGTGTCAAAAAACTAAAGCAATGTCTTGTCCAAATTTAAATTTTAAATGAACATACTTGTTTCTGAGATACAGATATAATTAAAAAAAAAGAAAATATTTCAATCTTCTGAAGAAATGAAGATATTGGAATGAAGTTCTGTTTGCATGCAATGCATTAAAATATGTATGTATGGAGGCAGAGGAAGATGTTTTGTAAAATCTCTTAAATACTAATTCAATCTAGAAAACACATATGTTTGCATATTGTAAATTTGTACCAAAACGGTATATCTCATCCATGCCACTGGTTTGATATTTTTGTTAAGAAAATATTTATATAACTTTTTTTTTTGTAAACTTTAACACCCTGTATATTAAAAGATAGAGCTTCAAGGGAGAATGTTTATAGAGGGTGTTCAGCACAAAACAAATAATGCAGTGTTCAGTTTGCATGATTCAAACCAGATAGTACCCTTGTTTATGTAATAGAGTTAGACAACCAGTCTAACTAGAAATGGAAACACTAGATGGCGAGTCTAATAAAATCCTTATCAGCTTTACATTTTCACAGTGGCACAAATATTTTATGGGAGGATCGCCATCTACTTTTTGCCTTTGTGACTTCGATTTATCGTTTAACTATATTATACAGGGTGTTTGTAAATAGGTGCGAAAATTTTAGGGGGTGGTTGCCGCAGTTATTTTGTGAAAAAAAGTTCATATAAACGTATGTCAAAATATGCTTCGTTTCCGAGATACAGAATGTTTAAATTTTAATTTTTTATTTATTATTAATTATTTCAGTTTTAAAGATTTTGACTCGAAATTTGAAAAACGCTTTGGAGGGATAAATGTGCATTTTTTGGGGTGATCCGAATATTTCTACTTGCACCAGTGGCGTTCATGCGGGAATGCCACAACCTTTTTTAATAAAAAAATTGTACGCCGCTCTTCCCGTTTTGGTATTTTTTTAGAAATCCGCCATCAATTCTGAATGAAAATGCTCCCTTCAATGTTTTTCGTACGATGCACCGTTTTTGAGGCAAAAATAAAACATATTTCAGTGCAAGTTGTGTATTTTTAATTTCTATCGATACATTATCTAGTAGGTTGCTGTTAATATTTCTAAATAAAATACAACCATCAAATTTCGAATCAATATCTTTAAAACTCTAAAATTATTAATAAAAATAAATACAAAATTTAAATTTAAACACCCTATATATCAGAAACGAAGCATATTTCGACCTACGTTTATATAAACTTTTTTTCACAAAATAACGTCGGCAACCGCCCCCTAAAATATTTCGCACTTATTTACAAACACTGTATATAAAAAAATATCTAGTACCGTTTTCCGTGTACAGAGCCGTATCGATTTGTTTTAGCGATTTTTTTAATATTAATACAATATGTATTTACCAAAATATCAAATAATAAATTTGTTACAAATACATGCAAGTTTTTGTTATAATTTACAAAGAGGAGTTATAATATGTATAAGTATTTGAGGCAAACAGCTTATACATAAAAAAGGACAACTAAATTGAAGACTGAAACAATTTGAAAATCAGCTATATTTTTGGAATGCTTCAGATCTATCTTGTGGAACTCTAAAATTATGTAGATGTATAATTCTAATGAATTAATGTAATAAACTTCATTTAATAGATTATATGCATGAAGTGTGCGACTATTTTTCATATTTAATATAGAATGTTCATTTAAATGTGTAATATGGTGTTGGAATGGAATATTATAAGAAAAACGCATTCTCAACTTCTTGAATGAGACGTGAAGATTTTAAATTTATAAAATTATTGTATACCACGTCTCCAAAAAATAAAATAAGACACCAGACTTTTACATTGGCGCTCTATATCAGGTGACATACAATTTTTATAATCATATAAAACCGTAAGACGATAAAAGGATGACGTCTTGGTATCTATTATGAACATGAACAACTTCAGGGTTTGATCCTACTTCAGCAATAATTTTTTTTGTATAAAAGAGCACATCAGCACATATATTGGGAAAGAATAATAACACTTCCGTTAATTCAACTTCTATGCCACTAATGGGCGCAATCAGTTTTAGTTTCAACATTCTTTCCATTGATTTTATAAGGTATTGCCAATTATTCTTATATGAAAAAGACACGTACCTATATTTATTTGGAACAAAAAATGGACCGCTTAGAAGAAAATGGCACTAAAGTTTGCACGACTTTTACAATGATGTAAAATGCACAGATCATATAACCTTATAATAAACAGATTTTAATAAATGTCGTTATTATGAACAGTCAATGTTAAAAATTGCAAATAAACGTTAATAAATGCTGTTCGTTTTTTGGGGTTTGGCGGGAAATTTAAAAAAAGAAATATTAACAATGTTTTAAAGTGAATTTAGAGTTCTAATAGCACAGAGTGGACTACCCATGTCGATATTTATTCTAATATTTAAATCTAATTTAAAAAAATATACCTTACGATCTGTATTTTTTGCGTCATTGTAAGAGCGATGCAACCATTCAATGTCAATTTCAACTTCAACTAAACTTTCTAGATACAAGCCTAGGTAAAAATTGCTCCAGTAGTGTAACAGCAAGGTTTACAAAAGGGTTACTTCTCTATATCTACGCTTCTGTATTGTAAAACATTATTAAAACAGCTCCAAATTGTGCAATCACCCAGGTAATAACATATTTGATTTTAATCTTATATGCATATAAAAAGAAAAATGCCTCGAAAACGAACTAATACGGCAATGGACACGTAAAACAGTACAAGATAGGACCATAGTTGGTTTATTGACTCATTATTTGAATAGGTATTTCATTTAGCGGTTAGGTTTTGACTCGTCTAAACTGGAACACCCTGTATTCTTAACTTTGGATGGAGAAAACGCCCCTCTATTTTTGACACGTTATGTGTTAAATTCTTTATATCGAGAGTCAAAGGAAGAAGTTGTGTGTTTAGTGTAAACTTTATTTTTAATATTTATAAAAATAAAAAAATATGTGGGTGATAAATTTCTAAATGAAAAGCTCTTTGTTTTTTTATAAACTTTTATTTCTTACGAAAATAAACAGATACATACTTACCTCAGGTGTAAACCATTTTTTGGGAATACAATTTTTTAGGATAATCTTAGAATTAATGCTGTGCTATGTTTTCTTTCTGTTCAACTTTTCATTGGCCGAATGTATTCCATGTAAATAATTGCAGATATACCAGGTCAGAGTTAACCTCAGTTAGGCTATGTCTAAGTTTACTACACAGACAAAGCCTAGGAGAGGCTACCCCATAACCCTGCGAAATTGTCTGTGGTGAGCTAGGCATTGTCATGGAAGACCTAAAATCATCGATACTGTAGGTTTATTTCAAATTTAGAAAAAAAATATATCCGCAACTAAATTTGATGCGGTTTTCATCATTTGTTCAAGCAACTTTTATTTTCGATCACGTG